CAACAAGAACGGTCTTCTGGACTTCAGCGACTGCTTCTCCGCCGACAGCGATTCTCTGTTCGATGCTGGCCTTATCTCCGAGAGCGAATTCGAGGCGCGCCGGGGGCTTGAATGGGATGTTCTAGATTCTCTCGTAAATCCCTCTTTCTTGGAGTCTGAGAGCGACTTCGGCGCGCTTGCTAGCGAGATTTCCCCAGAACCAAGCTCCTCGCTCGCCGCGATCCGTGTCGTTCCGATCCCTGGAGCACAGGCTTATGAACCTGTCGCACCCGGGTCGCCGTCGTTTGTCGAACCGGAACGTTACTACGACGACGAAGAAACAAGACGTTAAAGGCTGGGATCCCGTGAGCGAAACCATCGTTTCCTTGGCCGACAAACCCAACTGGCGCGGACCGCGGGTCTACCCTATTGGGTCGACTTATCGCTACTCCCCGGTGACGCGCGATCGCTCGGAGCGCGTCCTCTCGTCGGCCAAGCGCAATTCGATCAAGCTGAACTGTGCGCGAGCCGCGACGGTACGAAAAGGTCTCGCTACATCGCCGGACCCGGTGAACACAGCGGCGAAGGCACTGGCACGCGGTAGCGTCCCTCTTGCAGACGTGAGGTACCCGGGAATCCGGCAGGCTGGATCGGCGCTTGATCCTGTCGAAGCCAACGTTGAAACGCAGGGAGGATCTTGGGAATAATGACGACGAGATACTTGGGATAGATATGGATCTAGTTCCTTGATACCAGATACCGATCCTCTAGTGTACATTTTTGGCCATCACAAGACATGCATGTTACGCTCTGTCATGCCATCCCAACCGCATCCCGACTACCAGTAGGGGGTTCTGTTCGTTTTACGTACTACTCCATCATAACGGAGGTATCAAGCATAACGACCTCGAACCGAGGAACATCGTGTGTTACAAAAACATTTTCCCTGTCTTTGTGGTCCTCGCTGAAGCCATTGTGCATGAATCTGTACGCCGACTCAATGTGACTCCTCGCGCACTTCGCCCCAATGTCGAGGAGTTCGGCTGCGACGAAATGAATAGATCATGTCCAGAGTACCGGATCTGGTTCAACGGTCCGCGCCTGTACTTAATTGAATTTACTCGCGCCCTCAGATCGTCTCTGCTTCGCCGGGTTTTCGATCCCTGCCAATTCGATAAGTACCTTAGAGGACGTGATCAGACCTTTCACGTCCCGCGGCGGCTGCGTAGCCAGGTATGATCTTGTGATGGCCAAGAAAATATTGGCAGAGGTGCAATTTCGCCGGAGGCACTATCCAGACAGTCTGAAACCTCGAATCTGGGCCCGGTCGACACGTCGTTGGTAACGACGTCCTACGCGGAAGAACTTGAGCAAGGCGCGAGTTGATGACCGAAGTTCGTGGTATGAGTTGGGAGAGCAATCGTCGGATATCAATCCCTGCGATGAAGAGAGGACACCCTGGAAATCGGCCGGAGCTCCATCCTCCGGATGTACTTCCCAGATTTCGTCTTCACGAATAGCACTGCTTCATTACGAGAGCGGGTGAGAATGAAATGCACGACTGCAAGAGAAAGCACATACGTGTTGGCTTGTCGACATAGTATGAGGATCGTTCCTCTGGTCTACTGACGGGTTCGAGGGAGGGCGTCGACTGAGCGCAGCCTGTACGGGGCGTGCTGGGCTAAAAGTAACGATCGCGCTGCTGCAGCGTCGCTCCTCCAGTTTTCGGTCTGGGCGCGCGAGGCTCCCTTGTGGACTTGAAGACGACCGTCAGTGCGACCACGCTTTCTGGGGCATTCTTCATCAGATGACGGAGAGTGGGATCGCTTCCTGGACGAGTTTGAGAAGTGATTGATTAATGATCATGGGGACTTCGTCTTCAGACGTTTCGTCTGGAGATGGAGATGGAGCGGCAAGAAAGTCGGATGTCGGTGCAGGTCTCTGTGACGTAGACTCTGGTCGAGGGATAGACTCTTGGAGTCTACAGTTCCGCATGCCTAGGCAGGTTGGATGAACAGGCGAAAGGGTTTGTATGACATGACCAGTGCAAACCTGATGCAGTACGCTGTGCAGTTTGATCGCCAACACCTGGCGCGAGATTGACGAACTCCAGAGAGTCGTAAGATTGGGATCTGTCCAAGGATGGCGAACGTTCGGCCTGACCATATGACCCGCTCGGTCTGACTTGCCGTGTCATCGCGGCGGTGACGGAGACCGCAGATGTTCGCGCACAAAGCATCGTAGCAAGCCGTAGCGGCGAGTCGGGTCTCAACATCTAGCTTTTTACATGCAAAGGTAGCAACTCGCACAAGGATCTGGTGATCCGTCGATTCGCATGAGTTCAGGGTTGAGGAACAAGACGCTGAGCGGGATGCAGTGAACAGTAAGCCGTAAATGCGAGCCGGATGGTCCGCTTGGCGTGTTCTCAAGCGCCATCCTCCTCTTGCCAACGTAGGCTCAAGCATCCCGTGGTACTTTCCAAATGTCGGTCGGAAGACTTTCTTGGCCGACTCATCGGTGTCGCAAGTGAGAGGGGGAAAACGGCGAGCGCACGACGCGCCATCGCGATCACATGCACAGAGATATCTAAGACATCCACGTGGCAATGGCGTTGAGTAGACTTCTGCAGTCTCAGCTCAGAGCTGAGATCTACCGCATCTCATACGGGACATCCTTGTCTGTATACACTTGCTTTCATCCCTAGAATTTACTGGCGAGAATTTACGAACCGGATCAGATCCTGAACAATCCGTTTTTTCGACAGCGAGATACCCATGGTCCGCGTCTCGAAGGTCACCCGAACCTCTATCCGACTATCTCATTCACCAGCTAAACTCGAGACTGCCGAAAACCACGTCAGACCAGTCACTCGCGCCGAAAAGCAGCGCGCCTCTACCCTAGTCGAGTTTGGCAATGCTGTGCTTAAACTTGAGGCGACGACGTCCCAGCCTTCGCTCCGTACGCACAAACCCTATGTCTCTTGAGTCGTCTCATTGATCCCTCATGCCTGACATTATATAGGATCGACTCATCATGGCTATAATCTCCGATCTACTCTCAAACGAACGTCCGAAGTCTCCCCGCAAGGCTCAACAAACTCAGTGCGCAGACCTCAAGGCTTAACAACAGCATCCGGCGCTCGACCGCGCACAGGGACTGTTCCTGATACTTCCAAGATCACTCCCGCACCCCGTGCAACGCGTCAGCGTAAAAGACCTCCATCACCGTCTGTGCTGGACGAACGTCCTACTAAGGGCCGTCCTGGCCGCGATGAAGTGCCGACGAAGCGAACTGGCGTCCTCAGACGAGAACTGCTCACGATGAGGGACGAGGCTTCCACAATACACGACCTCATCGCTCAAACTGAAGAGGCCGTGAACCGGACCACTGCTAGAGTTAAGGAGCTGCGAGAGGAGACCAAGATGCTTTGCATAGCACCCGCAGCGTTACCGCTGACCAAACCCGCTCCTGAAGGTGATAGAACTCGAGGCCTGTAAGCTGCTCTTCTACTCTCGATCCGACTTGTGGAATCTCATGAAATCGCCTGCAGGCCTGCACAGGAGGGTGAATGTAGGCAGCCGCGTACCGCACAACCAGCACCTACGGACAAAAACCCCGTACCCCCGGTCACTAGTCTTGCGACAGCATGGGTGCGACCAAGTGACCCGAATAGAGATCCCTATGACTACTCAAAGGGCGAGCTCGCCTCCCTATATCACCAGTTGCTCGACGCTTCTCCCACTCTTTGCACATGTCGACGGACCGCCCTACAACAGACGCGCGTCGACAAAACGAAGTGCTCACGACCCAGGCCTCGCTTTGGTGTTGACGCGCAAGGCATGTCTTTCCAAGACTGGGCTGTTTGCGCGACCACGCGTCGTCGTTCGCATTCCCAACGACGCATGATCAAAGAAATCATCATTTCCCAAGAGCTGCTCTTGGAATGGGAAAGGCTCGACGACGATCATCGCCTGTTACTGCCAGCGCTACTACGACCGCGACGTCCCAGAGGTTTTACGACCCAATTCACCCTCCAGTTTCGACATCTACCACGTCATGTCTTCGATACGCTCGAGCTCTGGCACATATCCACCGGCAGGTGCTTGAACTGCATCGTCGTAGCCATGCGTACGTTTCCGCCATGGATCGTCGAGACGCGTGGGCCAGAAGAAACGGAGGACGGAAATCCGGTCTATGTGAATTTGAAACGCAACGAGTTGATCGAATGGGACGACGACAGGAAAAGCTGGCGGCACCTGGTGCTGGACCACCACACGTGGATTCCCATACAAGAGCTGGAAGAGAGGTCGGGTGACAGCGCGGCTGATCCCTCAGTGATCAACGGCTCGTTCAACAAACCTATTCCTCAGCCGTTTCCTCTCTGGTACGGTACCATACTGGACACGCCCTTGGCTAATGTATAGTTTGGATCATAATGCGGCATCGTCAAGACGATTGAGTTGTAATGGAGTGCATGAGGTCTGAGTGGATCCGTACAGACTCTCATGCGCCAATTCGATCATTCGTCCGCGCCATCGCTGAAAACACACCACCCAGGTAAGCATGCATACCACAGCTCCTGCAACTAACCAAGTCACCACCGGGTATGACAACCGTGAAATAGCATTTATAGAAATATGTTCGCGGGGATTGAGTCCGGCCAACTGTGCATCAAGGTGTTAGTGCCACCAACACAATGCGAGAGCGCTGTTATGCGATCTTGAGCCGTCGATGCACGGTCTGGGGCTCTTGATAATGCTTTTAACCCACCCCTACATTCTTGCCCATGGGGTAAACGGGGGTGGCCGGGTTTTGCATGCACTGACGGGGTACCCAGCTATCTATGCTCGACGGCTGAAGAGGACTCCGATAGGTTACAGTACATGCATATCGATGAGGTACTCATGTACCTACCAGTAGTGCACCGCTGGACTTGGTGCGGTCGACTGTTGCAACTCAGGAAAAGCAGGGATCCGGTGTAACCATGGCTGTACGCCTGACGTATATGCGGCAAGGCAACCTCTACCGGCCACTGTTGGGAAAATAAGGCCAGGCCTTGTCTCCCCAGGCAGACTCTAGAGCGTCAAGACAGTCACGCAATGGAGGCCATCGGCAAGCCAAGAGAACTTTAGGGGAGGCCCCGGTTTGCTGCGCTTGTGGCGAACACGAGATTCCCTCGCAGAATCTACTTACTAACACCGTACCCGCTGCAACATTTGCCACGTCTTGAATCTCGAACGTCTACGGAACACGTCGATCGCCCAGTGTCGCTATCTTCGATTGCTAGGTTGGCCTTGCGTACATGTGCACAATGCCCCACAATATGGACAAAGCCACTGGCCATTGCGAATCACTTTCCGTCGTGCCACGGACACCACAAACAAAGCGTCGTTAACCGATTGTGCATATAAACGAAGGACCTTGGGCCCTTTGAACGCGTCTCCGCCTCTCACGAGACCCTCTTCAGCTATGTCCCTCACTGACGAACTGTTCACTCGGCGAGCGTCCCTTGCTTGCGAGCTGCGCGACCGTAACTGGGCCTTTCTGCAGTCATATACCAAGTCTCAATCGCACATTCTGCTCGATAAATCTTCGGATAAGTGGTACCTGTGCTCTCTACCACTTGGACATTCACACGTCAAGGATAAGCCAGAGAAGCAAGGTCAGTGCCTGCTGTGTCTGCAACACGATGTGTCTGACGCTCGAGTAGCCGTGGCCATAGTTCGAATCCGTAAGGGTGATGAAAACAATGCGATCGAAGGCGGCGACATTTCCACTCAGTTGGAAATTGAGCCTGTCGACGATGAAGCCCGCATCTTCGTGAGTGCGAAACTGCGCTGAGCCGCCCACATGGACTCAGCAGCTTTTAGCTCAACGGGTCATTGGCCGAGGTCGGAGATTGCTACACGCTCGTACCGAATACTATCGTCCGTATCAACGACAAAGGTTCACCATTCCAGCCATTGCGCGCGTTTAGTCGTGCTTATTGCTCTTGATGTGGCAGAATACATCTACCGTCTTTTGAGTGATACTGAAGACGTCCCTTATCATGCTGAACGCTACGAGATCAACCAAAGTCGGAACCTTGGGTGGCCAGCAAAGCGTGAGTAACGATTCATCCAATCCGTCGGATTTCCGCGTCTTACCTCTTGCTTTATTCCAGCTGTCTATAGTGCGACGCGCATCCGAACTGGAGACGCTGTGGTCGTCAAATCTTGGAATGTATCGCTCCCGAAGTTGAGCAAGGCGGCGGATCTATTGCGCACCATCGAAAAGCTGAAACACCGGAACATCGCATCGGTAGACGACTGGTTCATGCTTTTCGAAGACGTTGGAGAATCGTTCAGACGAATCTGTGGGGCCTCAATCAACTTCCTTTCCACCTCCAATTCCACTGATGACTTTACCAAAGGCATGGTGACATCTCTAGCTCCGGGTGGTAACCTGTACGACTATATTAAGTTTGGCCGGAAGCTCGGTGAGCCGCACATAACTCACTTCTGTTCGCAGGATACTGACACACGATCTCTAGGTGAAATGCACGCCCGTCCCGTAGTTGCCCAACTCATGGACGGATTGATGGTAATGCGAGCCTTATTGTCTACCATCTTCCACTCACAGTATCCCTACAGTATATGCACGACCAGGGTATCATTCACCGTAACATAGAACCAAAGGTACGTCCTATCTATTCTCAAGCTTGTTTTCAGCGACCTCACACGGGATGTGACTAAGAATATCCTCGTTTGTGACGAGAGCTGGGGCTACGTACCAACAATCAAGATCGGCGGGTTATGTTCCATACAACGATCCTCCATTGCCGATGTTCGGGTTCATGAGGAGCAAATGGTCGGGGACGCCAAATGCGCACCACCCGAGATACTGGATCACAAGTACACTGAGCTCGGCGACGTGTTCAGCACAGGAGCTCTGATGTTCTTCATGTAAGTGCTCTGCGTGCTAAGCTTGGAGGTCTTCATTAACAGCCCTGCCAGTCTCTGGGGAAAATCGCTTTACCGTGTCCAGAAGGGGAAGAGCCTCCAGGAACAGATGCAGACGAGGCGTTGTAATTACGTCAAAGAGCGAGAGTTGATGATGAGCGAGGATGGTGAGTCTACCGCACGTCGTCGTAAAACGCATTACTCATTACTCATATTTCGTCCAATCCTCAGCGAGCGATCTTCTAAATGGGCTGATAAAGAAGGACATGACCGACCGCTTGGCTCTGCACGAAGCACGACGCCACTCTTGGCTCTACCAGCGCCGGGTTCCTCCTCCCTCTCCGGATTCCTACTCCGTCGACGACTTTCGCGTCGTGGAATTTCTCGAAGGCAAGACGCCCAGACCTCCCGTCCGAAGCAGCATACTGCGGACTGTACCACTGAAGCGAGATCCCATTGGAGACAGCGACACCGAATCCGAAAGCGACGCCGACGCGGAGTCGGATACTGATTCGGACATGCAGTCGGACGATGGATCGGAAACGTCGTCCGCCTCAGCTTCTGATGCATCCTCTGATGCTGTCTCAGACGCGCGGTCGGACGCAGATTCAGAGTCATCGTCTACCTTGGAAGAGGACGAAGAGCGCACCGAACTTGAATGGTACACCCACCATCGCAGCGACCCATTGCTTCTTCCGGATACCAGTGTTGTTTTGGACCAAGATCTTCTCCCATCCTCTCCGGCAACAACCGTCTGTGCTATTCCTGTATCTGACCGTTCCGTGGGTGTCCTATGTTCAGGGAAATTTGGCTCCGACTCAGATGGAGGAGACGATGACACTGACACGGTCGTCGGTTATGACGATCGTTTGCATCCCATGAGGCTCTCCACGGAGGAGGAAGAGGAAGACGCCCAGGTTGCTCCGCGCACCAGTCGCGCCTCTCGTTCGAAGTGCGGACGCGGTGGACGCGTTGGCGGCTCCCGCCGCGCTGAAATAGCTGCATCGTCCGACGGTCGTCAACGCGCCCGCACGTCGGCCAGGATTCAGGCCGCCAAAGTCCGGGCAACCGAGCTGAAGAGGACCGAGCAGGCAGAGGCCAGGAATGTTCAGAAGATGATGCAGAGCACGGAGAAGAAGCTGGCGAGGGCGGCGGCGAGCGCCAAGAGCCTCCTGAAGAACCTCGCGAAGCTGGACGCTATGTGAGACATCGCACGCGGGTCAGGCAAATGGAAGGTTCTAAGTATGGGATCGATAAAGTCGACATCGGTGCCTCCATTATCTCTCTTTTGAGTATCATAGCTACGCCTGCCGTACCACAAGGACACTCAATCCAAAGAATCGTTATTTGAGCAATGATATGCTCGTTTCCATTGCCGAACCCTTTTGACGCAACAGCCAACCCACAACATCATTGAAACGATATTTGGGGGGGCGACGACTTTGAACTCGCTCCCCAGGCCTGCTTTGCTTTGCTTCCCTCCCACTCTCTCCCTCGCATTCCGTGTGCCACGATCCCCGTGTCTTTCCCTCCCACCTATGTCTCCACCCCCCTACCCCCCTTCTTCCCTTGAACAGGTCTCTCCGCTTGGCCGCGACCCGCGCCGATGAACGGAACTCGACATCACCCCAAAAACGGATCAGAGCCGACCGAGGAAGATGTGGGAACAAGTTCCGTTGCTGTAGATATTGTACTACATTGTCGTTTGGATATATCTTTCCTTTCTTTATCATCATCCGTGTTGTTGTTCTTGCTGATTGCTTATTTGTATGATGCTCCAACGGCGGTCGTATTGTGGACACGACACCTACTCTTCAATCTGTTCTCTCGAACATGCAACAACTGGTTTCTGACGACTGCTCACCCGGCTCGGACACCGAACTCCGGTCGACGTCCCACATTTTACTCGAATACTTCTGCGGAGATGAGCTTACTTGCTGTATGTGTCCACGTAAACGGTCGTGGCGCCGCAAGAACCACACGAAATTTGTATACCCTCACATGGGCGTGGACGCTCAGGGACACTTCTTAGAAGACTGGAGTGCTGGTCCAGCCCGACTGTTGCTGGCGCCCGGTTCCCCACACATCAAGTTGAAGGACAACATCCTCCGGAATGTTCTGTCGCGCAAGGAGGGTGAGGGGAGCAAGCGTATCCTACCGGCCCCGCTGCGTCCGCGCAGGCCAAGAGTATTCGCTACGCAACACAGAGTCGAGTTCAAAAACTTGAATCCCCAAGTTCTCAAAAGCGCTGGATGATTGGCGATGCCAGAGGGAGTGCCACGACTGCATCGGCAGGGCCATAGATTCCTTCTCGCCATTGATCGTGAAATCTACGCGATGAAGGCCGTAATTCCTGCGTTTGTCAATAAGTTATCCGACGAAGTCATCGCGTGGGGTGAGGACAAGAGGCGATTCCGCATCTGGCTCTGGACCATTACCGGTGGGTACCGGTTGATGAGCTGCAGGAGAGACCGAGCGACGGTGCTGCCAACCCCAAGGTCCTCAACGGGACGCTGGACAAGCCAATTCCTATACGTTCGAGGAATGTATTCATGACCTAGTCGATCATGAGATCGGATTTGTACAAACTGTTTGATTAATGTGTGTAGTGATGTATAAGGCGCCAGCGCTAGGGTCCACACTGTTCGTGCACAAGGGGTCATAGTAAGCCGTAGATGCGACCGCTTGGCGTGTTCCCAAGCGCCATCCTCCTCTGGCCAACGTAGGCTCAAGCATCCCGAGGTACTGTCCAAATGTCGGTCGGAAGACTTTATTGGCCGACTCATCGGTGTCACAAGTGAGAAGGGGCGCACGACGCGCCATCACGATCACATGCACAGAGATATCTAAGACATCCACGTGGCAATGGCGTTGAGTAGACTTCTGCAGTCTCAGCTCAGAGCTGAGATCTACCGCATCTCATACGGGACATCCTTGTCTGTATACACTTGCTTTCATCCCTAGAATTTACTGGCGAGAATTTACGAACCGGATCAGATCCTGAACAATCCGTTTTTTCGACAGCGAGATACCCATGGTCCGCGTCTCGAAGGTCACCCGAACCTCTACCCGACTATCTCATTCACCAGCTAAACTCGAGACTGCCGAAGACAACGCCAGACCAGTCACTCGCGCCGAAAAGCAGCGCGCCTCTACCCTAGTCGAGTTTGGCAACGCCGTGCTGAAACTTGAGGCGACGACGTCCCAGCCTTCGCTCAGTACGCACAAACCCTCTTCTCGTCTCACGGATTCCCAATGCCTCATGTTATATAGGATCGAATCATCATGGCTATAACCTCCGATCTACTCGTAAACGAACGTCCGAAGTCTCCCCGCACGACTCAACAAACTCGGTGCGCAGACCTCAAGGCTTATCAACAGCATCCGGCGCTCGGCCGCGCACCGAGACCGCTTCAGATGGGACCATCAAGATCACCCCCGCACCCCGTGCAGCGCCTAAGCGCAAACGACCTCCATCGCCGTCTGTGTTGGATGAACGCCCTACCAAGGGTCGCCGCAGTAGCGATGAGGCCCAAACGACAGAGATCAGGGCTCGTCTCGCTTTGCGACGAGAAATGCGCACGATGAGCAATGAGGCGTCCGCGGTTCGCGATCTCGTGGCTCATACTGAAGAGGCTGTGATTCGGACCATGGCCAGAGTCAGAGATCTCCGAAAAGCGACGAGGAAGCTCTGTAAACAGGCAGCGTCATTCCCAGTGAACACCGCCCTCGAGCCTGATGTAATTCGAGATAGATCGTGAGTAATCTTGCCGTTATTGCTTGCTTTACGTCGACTCATGAGATTCCTAAGTTCTGCTCCTGCGCGCGGGACACACCGTATTCAGCCGCCCTCCCCAACACAACCCGCAGATTCGAGGCACAACCCTCTCGTTATCACACCTGATGTAACCTGGCCGCGGTACAACGATCCGGAGAGATACTCTCAGGATTACTCGGACGCCGAACTTGCGTCAATCTACCGTACTATGCTCGACGGCATGCCTGCCGTCTGCATATGCAGACCGACGACCTTGCAGCGAAGACACTTCGAGCACACGAAATACAATTATCCAAGACCTCGATTCGGCGTAGATCAACAAGGCGCGCCTTTCCAGGATTGGTCCGTTGTCCCCCGGGGAAAAAATCGTCGCCGACGACGTCTGGCAAAGGAGGACATCGTTGCCAACGAGCTGTTCTTGGACCAAGCCGCCCCTGATGAAAACGTCTGTGTCTTACCGGCTCCCCGTCGACCGCGACGCCCTAGGGCGTTCTCGACGGCTTTCACCCTCCAGTTCCGACATATTCCCACTTGCGTCTTAGACACGATGGAGTTATGGCACGTCCAGAATGGTCGATGTTTGAGTTGCATCGCAATGGCGATGCGGACGTTCCCTCCTTGGATCGTTGAAGCGCATTCACCCGAGCGAGTAGAAGAAGGGAATCCCATTTATGTGAACCAGGATCGAGACGAGATGATCGAGTGGGACGAAGCCAGGAAGCGTTGGAGGCATCTGGTGCTCGACCATTACAGGTGGACACCGGTCCAAGATCTGGAGGAGAGGCCTGTTGACAATGCTGCCGATCCCCTGATTGTCAACGGGTCATCCGGGCGGCCCGTGCCTCGACCCTGTCGTATCTTCTACGGGTGTGTACTCGACACGCATTACTAGAACAGTTGCGCGCAAATGACTTCGGTTGCTCGTCCTTGCTGCTGTACTATATCAAATCTTGTCATCTGTCGAGCTTAATGGGAGTCCGGGGGCGCGTCCGGGCCGAAGTGGCCCGATGCGTTGTCGGTGCACTCACGTGCGCCAACACTGCAATAAATCGTCCGCCTTCGGCGTCTACATTACACGTATACATAACTAAGTCAGGAGCCCACTGCAATTTCATGCCCGGTATATCAGATTCTCACTAGCATCGCCAGTAGCCGCACTGTTGCAGTGGCACATGGGCCGCGCTTTGTCACGCCAGTGGCCTATAGTTTGGACAAAGCCACCCGCAATGCTTCTGGGGATGATTGGCCATCTGGCCATGGCCGCCACAGACAATGCCCCACCATCGAAATCTGCATATAAACCATGCTTGTAGGCGAGTTTTACCCCGCTCTACCTCTGCGAGCTATCCGCCAACCATGCCACTGAAGAAGGATCAAGTGTTTGCTCAGCAAGCGTCTCTGCTGTACGAACTGCGCGGCAAGAACTGGGCCTTCCTTCAAGCCTCCAAGCCTCATCAACACGTTCTGTTCGATAACTCGTCGCCGGAGTGGTATTTATATTCCCAAAGCGTTGGACAGCCACCGGCGCCGTTCGAGTCAAAGCAAGGTCGGTGCCATTACCATATAAGCGTCACATCATCTAATGCTCAACCACAGAGAATCGTTCGGCACTTGCCGTCATCCGCAAGGTGAATGACAGCTCTGAAGATGCACAGGTAGAAATCCTGCCCATGGAGGAAGCCGCACGCATTCGTGTACGTCGAAGCTCGCGTTGATCTACCTGGCTTCGCTGATGATCATGACAGGTGAATGGAAGGATGATATACGTCGGAGACGAGTGCCCACTCTTACACAATACCGTCATTCGTATCGGTGACCACGGTATGTATCGGATCATGCAAGCTTGACGCAGTACTTATTCACTGCCCACAGAGTATATCTATCGCTTTTTGGGAGACTTGCAAGACGTTCCATACCATGTTGATCGCTACAGCATCGACGATCACAATGTTCTTCGCGGTGTTCATGGTAAAGGATGTAAGCAGTTCAAGATTCTCTCCGCCCAAGTTCTCGCTCTTTACCCGAGGGATATCCTTAGTCGTTTTCAGTGCCACGCATCTCACAACAGGTCATGCTGTGGCCGTGAAGGTTCTATCGATGCCCACCAAGAAGATGAAGCACGCACAGTCACAGCTATTGAGAATGGTCGAAGAATTGACTCATCAGAACATATTGTCTTTTTCTGACTGGTTCCTGTATCCCAAAGCTGCCGGCGAAGCGGTCACGCGGATTGGTGAGTCGTTTATTCACATGTCCACGCGCTCCCTGACTGTAACACCTGAAGGCATGGTGACATCACTGCTCCCGCACGGGAATCTTTTCGACTATATCAAGATCAGAGGAAAACTAGGTATGTCCCACGGTCCGTAGAACCAGTCGTTGCCGTCCACTGAATGCAATGTCCGATTTCTAGGAGAACTACTCGCTCGTCCTGTTGTCGCTCAACTCATGGACGGACTGATGGTAGCGCACCTCATGACCGTACTGCGGTTTGCCACTGACATTGTATCCGTAGTACATGCACAGCCAGGGCGTCCTTCATCGCCAAGTCGAGCCAGAGGTTTGTCACATTCGCTTTCAAGTCCTCTCCTTGCCAAACCTCACCCTCAACACACGCAGAACATCCTCGTATGCGATGAGAGCTGCGGCCAGATCCTTACAATCAAGATCAGCGGTTTCGGATCTGCCCAGCGGTTTGCCAGCACAACCGACGGAGACGACCAGAAGTTGGTCGGAAATGCACAATGGGCACCACCCGAGCTCTTGAAGTCTAAATATAATGAGCTTGGAGACACCTTTGGCGTGGGAGCTATCATGTTCTTCGTGTAAGTGGTCAGATTCTTCCCCGGTACGCGCGCTTCAATTCCGCCCTTTAGCCTCTGGGAGAAACCATTTTACCGCGTCGATGATGAGATGAGCCTTAAGGAACAGATGCAGACGAGGCTCTCCAATTACACGGCAAAGCGAAAGTTGCGGATGGGCTCGCCCGGTATGTATACGCTGAATCGTACATGATATAAAAAAACTCACTTTACTTCGACTTAGCATGCAATCTCCTCGATAAGCTGACAAAAGAGAACACAAGTGAGCGCCTGCGACTGCGCGAAGCCCGATGCGACCCATGGCTGGAGCGACGCCAGGTCCCTCCTCCATTTTTGAAACCGTACTCTGCCGATCATTATCTGGTTAGGGGTTTCATTGACAGAAACGGGCTCCCTGAACCTGCGTTCAGACGGACATTCATGACCAATGGGAAGTCCACCTACTATAGCGACTCCGACAACGACTCCGACAACGACTCGGATGCAGAGACCGACGCCGACGTCAACACGGAGCAGGACGACGAGTCTGGCCCGGAAACAACCTCTCATGAAACGTCGATTTCGGATGCGTCTTCTTACGTAGCCACGGACGCGCGATCGGACGCAGGTTCAGAATCGTCTTCCAGCCTCGAGGAGGAAGAGGATCGCCCCGAACTAGAATGGTACTCGACCAATTACGCCAGTGATCTGCTCTTTCTCCCGGATAACAATCCAGTTTGGGACCCTGTGCCGCGCTCTCCGAAGACCACCATCTACGCAATCCCTGTATCCGACGCTCCCGTAGGCGCCGCGTCGGGTGTCATTGACCTCGAGTCGGATGGAGGAGACGATGACACGGACACGTTGGTCGGTTACGACGACCATTCGTATTCCATGGACCTCACCACCGAGGAGGATGAAGACCAAGAACCCCAGGTTGCCTCGCGCACGAGTCGCGCCTCTCGTTCGAAGCGTGGACGCGGTGGACGCGTCGGTGGCTCCCGCCGCGTCGGAATAGCTGCATCGTCCGACGGTCGTCAACGCGCCCGCACGTCGGCCAGGCTCCAGGCCGCCAAAGTCCGGGCAACCGAGCTGAAGAGGACCGAGCGGGTGGAGGCCAGGAATGTTCAGAAGATGGTGCACACCACGGAGAAGAAGCTGGCGAGGGCGGCGGCGAGCGCCAAGAGCCTCCTGAAGAACCTCGCGAAGCTGGACGCTATGTGAGACATCGCACGCGGGTCAGGCAAGTAGAAGGCTGTAAGAATGGGGTCGACAAAGTCGACATCGGTGCCTCTCTTATATCTCTTTTGATTATCATAGCTACGCCTGCCGTACCATAAGGACACTTACGCCATGTATGATCCAACGAATCGTTATATAAGCAATGATATGCTCGTTTCCATTGCCGAACCCTTTTGACGCAACAGCCAAACCGCAATGCTTTATATGCAAGAATATTGATTCTACGTTTCACGATCCATCTTCTGCCAGTAGTTCCTGACCAACGCCCGGTGCGTTGGCGAACAAAACCAATAAGATACCCGTCCTACAGAGACATACGACCGCCGTTGGAGCATCATACACACAAGCAAGCAGCAAGAACAACAAACAACACGGATGATGATAAAAGAAAGGAAAGAGATATACCCAAACGACAATACAATATCTACAGCAATGGAACATGTTCCCGTATCTTCCTCGGTCGGCCCTGATCCGTTTTGTGGGTGAAGTTTAGTCCAGTTCATCAGCGCGGGTCGGGGCACAGCGGAGCGATCTGTTCAAGGGAAGAGCGGTGGAGTGGGGGGGAGGGGAGAGGTAGGTGGGAGGGAAAGACACGGGGGATCGTGGCGCACGGAATGCGAGGGGGAGAGAGAGTGGGAGGGAAGCAAAGCACAGCAGAGGGGGGGGGAGGGAAAGCGAGTTCAAACGACGTCGGCCCCAAATATCGTTTCAATGATGTTGTCCGGATGACCGCACCGAAACCTCGTCCTCAAACTTCTGCCGGAGCGCGTCCCCGTGCGCCGACTCGGCCATGTCGATCGAGTGCTCTTGCCGGCTCTGCAACTCCTGCGGCGGGTCCATGTGTGGGTCTTGATATCTCCCCGTGAGCTTTTGGCTGATCAGAGTCCTCGTGAGCATTCGCGAGCGTCAGGGAAAAAGAAAGGGGGCATTTGGATACGCACAACCAGATGGGCACGAGGCCGCCCGGGGGTACGACCCACTCCTCCGAGTACTCGTAGTGCGCGGGGACGATGCGTCCGCCTGAGATCTTCATGAGGATCCAGGCGGTGCCGTTGATGGCGATGTAGGACCCCAGGCCGGCGATGATACCGTACGCGATGCTACGCCGCCGGGATATGAGCACGGAATCACCAACGCGAGACCAAAAAAAAAGAGCAACGTACTTGTACGATAGAGGGATGATGATGATGGTCAAGAACGCGGGTATCGCGTCGCCGACGTAGTCCCAGTTGATCTCCTTGACACTGAAAATCGGCAGGGTGAGCTCTCGGCTGAACCTCTGCACGGAAGCGTACCGCGACTCACTTGCGGATCATCAGGCAGCCGACGATGACGAGCGCGCTCCCGGTCGCCCAAGGGGGTATCGACGCGAAGATGGGCGCGAAGAACACGCTGACGAAGAACATGAGCCCCGTCGTGATCGCGGTGATGCCCGTCCGTCCACCCTCTGTCCGCGCCAAGGGAGATCATCCATCAGTAAAAAAATAAAATAAAAATACAAAAACGGCCTATGTACACCGGGATCGGCGAAACGGGACGTACCGGAGATACCGGTGGCGCTCTCGATGAAGGCCGTCACGGGGCTGGTGCCCATCAGCGCGCCCATGCTGATCGAAAACGCGTCGACGCAGTACGCGACCGTGCTCCTCTCGAAATCGAGCGTGACCGGGTCGCGCAAGCCCGCAAACTTGGCCATCGAGTAGAGCGTGCCCGTCGTGTCGAGGATGTCGACGTAGAGGAACGTGACGAGCGCGTACCACACCCGGCCGTTGCCGTAGTGGTAGTCGAGCACGTCGCCGACGCGCTGTAGCGGGCGGAAGGTGACGACCTTCTTGAAATAGTCGAAGGCGGCGTCGCCGGTGGGCGTGTGCGGGAAGGCGGTGACGGACGTCGGCCGGGGCCAGGAGATGATGGAGACGAGGAAGATGCCGATGAGGATCGCGCCCTTGACGCGGTAGAGCATGAGGAGCAGGGTCAGGATCCCGCCGCAGAAGATGCCGAGCCACATCGTCGGAAGCCGGAGAACGCCGCGCGCGCAGTAGCCCGATAGGTTCTCGACATAATCTGAATCGCGTTGCCCGAAGGTCAGGCTAAGGAATGCAGACAGGAAACGCGGGAGGAGGAAGCGTACCTTCAGCCTTGCAACCGCCGAGGCCGACAAAGTTCGTCTGGTCGCCGCCGATCACGAAAAGACCGCCGTTTGCTGTGCGCAGAGGGGAAAAAAAAGGGATGAGCGCCCACGTTCGTCGCATGAAACGCAGGAAATGCTCACACAGGCCGATAAAGGCGATGAATAAGCCAATGCCAGCGCCAACGGCCAATACTAATGACTGCGGCATGATCCGCGCCAGCCATTGCCGTAGGCCCAGGAGGGAGAGTATCACGAACACCCAGCTATCAGGGGGGATCAGAACAGGCACCAAGCCATTATAAAACGAGTAGACGCGTACCCTTCCAGGAAAACGGCTGCGAGCGCTTCCTGATACGTTATCTGGCCCGATCCATGGAAGCCCACGATGCTGTACGTGAACTACCCAAGACGCGAATTAGCGCACGCGGATTTGAGATGTAGCGCCGTGCCGGCGAGCCGCCCGAGCTCGGAATAGCTGATGGTGGCAAGCTCTCGATCCTCGAGCGGGCTCGCCGACCCAGCACACGGTAGAAAATGCTGTCGTCACGATTTCGACTCACGTATGCGTTCAATCCTAGACCGGGCGCGAGTCCGATGGGCAAATTGGCCAACAAGCCCATCAAGCACGACGCGAGCGCCGACACGGCCGCGGTCGTCGTGATCAGATCCTGCCGTACCTCTTCGACCTACGACCAAAAAAAAACCGATAAGATAGCAAAGACGTCAGCACATCGAGATCCCATCTTCCAAAAAAGAAACCTTAACGTTAAAGCAGAAGGAGACGGTATTAATAAAAAAAAACGCCGTGCGAAAACGCGATAGAGGCGCGGATCGAAGGAAGAAGGGAAGGGAAGCTTGGGGAGACTAGGTTTGATGCCGACGCGCGCAACGAACGCGGAAGCTTGGGGCGAAGATACCGATTATGGTGTCCGCTGACGCACGCCCCGCCGGCAGAGTCCGCCGAGAAGGCCGCGCCCGGGACACAAATAAGGAAAGAAAACCAGAGAGACGCGGGTGCAGTCCTGTCCGTGGCAGTCACCGCAGTCATGACACCCAAGCGACCCGCGTTTTCCGCCCCGTGTATTCATGGAACCGGGAACGCAAGCGGGCAGCGGGAGCGGGGGGAAGATGAATATAGACCAGGCAGGGCCGCGGCAGAGGAACAAAGAGGGAAAGGAGCGAAGGAGTCGAAGGCGATAACAACTCACGCAGGTCAGGTAGACGTCGTCGTTGACGCACATGTCGCTCTGGGTGCAGACGCACGTTCCGCCCGAGTCGGACAGGATCGAGGCGTTGACCGCGATCTTCGCGACGCCGCAGCGTGTGGGTCGTCGTTTGCATATGGTGGTGTGGTATGGTGTGGGAGGTGGCGTTCGAGGGAGCGGGAAGCGACAGCACGCAGCATGAGCACATGGATGCGACGCATGGCGGTACGCATCGGAAATTTTTGCGAGGAGGAGGACAGGAGCGATCCAGACGGACGTGAAAGAAAAAATGTCAGCTTGTGCGAGGAACGGCGCCAGCGAGGACGGAGGGGAGGGGAGACGTACGATGTAGGCCATGGCGGCCCATGTCGTGATCCCAGCACGAATCTCCGTCTGAGATAACGCCATTGTCAGCGGGGCACGAAGGTTATATAAGAATCACGAGCGCGCGCGGACGCACCAGGAATCGAGAGCCTTCGCGTTCGCGTTCTGCACCTGAGCCGTCGAGCTTGAACCAGCGACCGACGAACGATCTGGCCACCTAATTATGAACAGCGCCCAGATGAGCGACTAGGATGCTGCGGAGGATGACGACTGCACTGCCGCACCGCATCGTTGATTGTATGCGCAGCGCCCATATCTTGGGTGTGGGCGGTAACCGAGGAACGAGGTTAAGGAGGGCAAGAGGGGTACGGAGGTAGGTCGGCGATGTTACAAGGGGAAGAAGAGGGAAGGGAGCGTCAGCGGCTAGCAAGGGAGCGGAAGGGAAGAGGGGGGAAGGGGATGTACGCGGAATGGAGGCTGTCGCTGGGCGATGCAAATTACTAGGGTGTATTATTGAGCGTGTGGGTGAGAGGAATAAGGTTCGCAACCGCCGCCCGCTCCTGGGCACGCTCGTCTTTCGGTTTTCGATCACGCCCTCCGAACAAGAGGCCGAAGAGACGGGTGAGAGAGAGAGAGAGAGAGATCTGAGCGTTTGCCCTGAGGTCAGGCGAGCCCGCGGGACGATCAAAAGTTTCGTTATCGCCGGCCTCGGGGGAATTCTCACTCGGGCGCAAGCGACGGGAAAGCCTGCGAGGTGGACGGGGAGGGGGGGGGAAGACGGAAGAGGAGGAAGAGGACGGGATCTCTCGCTCGCTCGCCAAAACGCTGCAGAGGGTCAATTGGAATTCTCGAGCCGTCGGCGCCAAAACGGTTGAGCCCATGGGGCGCGCGCCCCTCGTCCGTACCGCCGGGGACGGTCCGGCGCGGCAAGTCCCGGCCCCTCCGCTCATTTTCGCACCCCGCGAGCGACCGTGCAGTGATGTTCCTGCGCTTCTCAATATACAAACCACCGTTGATCAGGAGGTCCACAAATGAGCACAGAGGGCGTTCGGTGTCACAGCAAAGCTTGAGGGATGGACAGAGAGGTTACATAGACCCGTTGCATAGCGGAGGCAGGAGGGTGTGCTTGGGTCGAGCAAAAGGTCCGAAAAGACCTCTCCACCGATTTGCAAAACGAGAAACGGGCGAATTTGGTGATCGCAATCAAAATTGCCATCAAGCGCATATTCGGTATAGGCTGTTACCGATACACACCCCCGTAATCGCGACGGCAAGATGCTCGACTCCACCCTGTCAAGTGCTTGGCTTGGGCGCTTGAGCTTCGTAGCCGACAACAACTTAGGATACCAGAAGATACTCTTTGAAGGCTCTTTCACTTCACTGAGACTAGCTCCATAGTACAAAAGAATGCAGGGGCGACCGAGCATAGGCTCGGTCGATAATAACTTAGCCGACACCCACACACCAACTCCATCTAGACTCATGGGGGTTTCTCCGACATGGTATCTCCCTTCCTATCGGGTATCTTCCTTTTCGTGTTCGGAGGGCCGTAAAAACGTGTCCCTCTCAGCACCCACTTTTTGTTTTGCCTTTTACGCGAAGGTGAAGAGCTGGTTACCGGTCGCGGCATCGGGGCTGGCCGCCGCGGCGTCGAGCACGCCGTTGTTGACGGCCAGGATCGTCTGGTTGTTGCCGTTCTGGGGCGCGAGCGCGACGTTTTGCGTCTGGCCGTTGAACGCGAACAGCTGCGAGTCGGTGACGGCTCCTCCGCCGTCCGCGCGGCCACCGCAGGAGAAGAGGATGACCTGGTCGCCGGCGGCGCGGCGCGGGTCGAAGTTCATGCAGCCCTGGGTCTAATACAACAACCGTCAGCAAAGCCCAAAAAATAAAAAAAATAAAAAGGTGGGGGAAGGGGGAGAGAGGGAGAGGGAGAGGGGACGTACGAGGGTGCTGACGAGGAGCGCGAACCCGGGCTGGTCGTTATGCACGCCGGCGGTGATCACGTCCCACTTCTCGTTGTCGCTGCCGTCGCACGCCTTGGCCTGGACCGGGATCAGGTTCTCGCGGAAGTCGCCCGCGGTCGGGTCGACGAAGAGGCAGTCGCCGTCGCCCGTCTTGATGCTCACGCCCGACAGCGCGCGCGTCGCCGTGTCGTCGCGCGGGTTGGCCTCGGCCGCCGCGGACGGGTTGAGCACGACGCCGGCGCGGGAGACCGAGGTGACGTCCGTCGCGGTCGCGGTCGCGGCCGTGGTGGACGGCGCGGGGGTGACGGTCGCGGCGTCGGCGGAGGAGGAGGTCGCGGCGGCCGCGGCGGAGGAGGAGGAGGTCGCGGCGTCCGTCGAGGCAGCAGCAGCCGCGTCACCACCGAAGGTGAAGAGCTGAGTGAACGGAATAAGATCGTTGAGCACATGGGACCGGAAAACACGGAACGATTTTTTCGTGACCGTACCTCGTTGCCGCTCGCGCTGTCGGGCGAGCCGGAGGCCTGGTCGAGCAGACCGTTGGTGACGGTCAACAGCGTCTGGTTGTTCCCGTTCTGGGGCACGAGCGGGAGCGGGCCCGAGCCGCCGCTGAACGCGAACAGCTGCGAGTTGGTGACGGCTCCGCCACCGTCGGCGCGGCCACCGCACGAGAAGAGGAGGACCTGGTTGCCCGCCGCGCGGCGAGGATCGAAGTTGAGGCAGGCTTGCGTCTAGCGGTTCGCAGTGTCAGCAAAAAGCGGGAGGGAGGGAAAAAAAAAACGGAGCGAGGATGTCCCTTACCAAAGAGCTGACGATGAGGGCCTGGCCGGGCTGGTCGTTGTGGGCACCGGCGGTGATCACGTCCCATTGCTGGCCGGCGGAGCCATCGCAAGCGCCGACTTGGACGGGAGTGAGGTTGTTGCGGAAGTCACCCGAGCCGCTCACGACGAACAAGCACTGTCCGTCGGAGGTCTATTCAAACGAACGTGCGCGCGTCAGTAACGATAACGCGTCTTCGACGCCGGAAGGACGCGAAAGACGTGCCTTGATCGCGGTGTTCGAGAACGCGCGCGTGGCGGTGTCGTCCCGCACTTGCGCCTCGGCGGTGGCAGCCGGGTCGAGCGTCACCAGACGCGGGTTGAGGGGGGCGGCGCGGGAGAGGCCGAGGAAGAGGAGGGCTGAGACAGTCGAGAGAATCATGATGGATACGAGCGAGTGTGGTGAACAGGGGCGAGTCGAACTGTGTCAGCAAAGTAAAGGGAACAAAGAAACTCCTCTTCTAGAGGCCGCGCGCTGAAAGGGCAAGGAAGAAGGAAGGAAAGAGCAGATCGGAGCAGGAGAGAAAGAGCAAGAGGATGGGTCCGTAAACGCCCCTTGGCGCATGTCTTATACGCAACGCGGTCGTCGGCAATTGCCTAAGCTGGTTCGCGGTTGGTCGTGCATCTCCGTGGGTAAGATGGCTACTACGGCTGGCCACGGAACAAAAGCTGATGTTGATTTGGTGTTTGTTGATTCCATCTAAACAGCGATGGCCTGACAAGTTCGTCGTCAAGCGAAGGAGAAGGTGCGGCCCCGATCCCAGGCCGTGGCCCTCGGGCTCTTTGGCCGTCTCCTGACTTTTGTGGTCCCAGTTTGGTCCTGGCATTGCCCCTGGACTGGGCAATGCTTCTCAGACTCAGAGGCAGACAGGTCGCCCGTCGCCGAAAGCGAACGTGAACGGACGGTTCCATATCATCAACCGGGCGAAATGCACGCAAGTCTCATGGCCTCACTTAGCGCGGATCATCAGCGACAGTGCCAGGTGGTGACCGAGGTGCAAAAAGCGTTCGCGACGTCCTGAGGCTGCGGATCTGGGTGGTCGATGGCGGTGCGAGAGGTTGCTAAGCAACCGAGCGCGAGAATCTCATCCGCAACCGCGGTATGTGCGCTCGCTGCTAAGTTACTTCGACGTCACGACTCACAAACCCCCAGCTAACACGGAAACCGTCCAGCCATGATCCCTACCGGAATACTGTCGCACCACTTTACACAAGTGCATTCGGTATGCAACGGCTTGCGCATCCGCTAGTCGCGAAGGGTCTACATCTCTATCCTCATCAGGTCTTTGTTCGGAAGGCTGACTGCGCTATGATTATGGTCAGGAATCTCATGCATTTTTGAGACCGCGAACGGATTCTCGATTACGAGAGAGGGGACGACGAGCGTCATCATTTTCATCATCCGGGCATCAAACCGACCTTCGGGCCTTGATAAAACCGACGACATCCAATAACTTTGATTGCCTGGTACGAAGCTGCATCCTGACGAATGCCCGCGGCGACATGCCGGCACATGGCCTTCGTCGGCGGTCATGCTTTCAGCGATCATCTCTGTGATGGAATGGGGTTACCATTGCTATTCTCGAGATCAATCCGGGTTACGACGGGGAAAGAACACGTTTTCGTTCTTCGTTCACATCCCAATGTGAATATAGGACGCCCACCGACTCGGCTCTGGATATACCCTTCGAAGCTCTTGCACGGCAGCATCGAGTGCGTACGGAACGTCGTCCGGATCTAGGTATCCTCGCTCATCGTTGAACAAGTCTGCGTAGACCTTCCGAGCAATCATGGGACCGTCGATATCTTCCATTGACCTTGGAAATAGTTCTTATCCTGCGGCGCAGCGCAGACAACATAGGAGGCACTCACCACAGCGTGGCAATGACGCTCTTGAAGCCAGCAAACAGCATAGTGGCAGCAAGATGGATCGTTTGGTCAGGTTGGTCCTGGAAGATGGACGCATGATTCAAATCCCAAGTACTGCGCGCGAGAAATCGCGTACGGACCTTGTCGCCCTTGGCGGTCTCGCAGGCGCTCAGAAACGCGAGAAAAGCACGAGGAAGAGGCGTAGGCATCAGTCTCTCGATGGTCACCAGCTCGTCGCGCATGACGAATCCGCTCTTGAGCGGATTCTCGGGGTCTTGCAGCCCATGACACGCAAGGTGCAGGATAGTCGCACCCGGGAGTTTATCGAGCAACGTCCGGGCTCGCAAGCCGTTGCTTTCGTCGATCATCGCGTTCTCGTTGGGGGGTAGTGGAATGATCGCGCTCGACGGCATGATCTCTGCTACCGCACGAATCTCTTCCGGCGTGGAAATCAAATCGCGCCATCTTTCGGCGTATGGACGAGGAACCGCGGCAAGAAGGGTCTTGATATCCGCCTTTGACACCGGCTCGAAGTTGTTCCTAGCGTTGATTAAGGATCCTAATGTAGGAATGTAGGAAGAGACCACATAATCGGAGCACGATTCTTCGCGTGTGCCTGCAGCATGGATGGGGAGATGGACTGTACTACCAGTGGGGCACCACCATACACGGGGTCGAAGACGGCCTGAGGATTGCTGGAAGAATATGTATCATGTCATCGCTGGACGACGTATGAGATGAGCACGAGACGGCTCACCTTCAGGCCCAATGCAAGTAAAACGGGTTTGGTAACCTTCGCCCACAACCCTTCGAGGATCTCCCGAGCAGCGTTGGCTCGTACAGATGACTTGGATACTATCGGAACCTTCGCCAAATGTAAGCGCTCTCGGACCGCCGACCGTGCTTGGGATACTGCCGATCCCCACGTACTGCTCGCATCGAGCACCCAAGCGTCGGTGAGCTCGGGTAACGACACACTGAGCGGCGCCCGAGACGTCCTGATAATGATGGCATACCCTGCACCCGCGCTGGACACCAACATCACCAGAGGGCCTTTATCTGCCGCTTTTGCGAGTAACGAATACTCGTCGTGTAGCATAAACCGATCTAGTCCCGGAAGAACGCGAACCTGATCTATCAGCGAGGCGAACGTATCGCTCTGCTTCCTTCGAAGGACCATGGCCCGTTCAACGACCTTCCGGTCCGCCGAGCCATAGGAGATGTCGGTATCGCGCTCGAGCTGCTGTGCGAGCAACAGCAGTTGATCGCGGTAGCGCTCGGGAACGGTATCGAATTCGGAGCGTAGACGGAGTGCATGTGTCCAGAATATGGCGCGCCCTTGCTCGAGGATTTCCACGGCGCGTTCGGTTTGATGCACGTGCAGAGCGTGAGAGGAGCCAGTCGTAGCGACGCTCTGACCAACAGCAAGAGCACTCAGCCGGGATGATAGATCAACGCCGAAATAAGCAATGCGGGGCAACAGGGCGACCAGGCTAGCGTAGATATCGACAAGTTGCTCCCTGACCACCGCATCACCCGCGGTGTTAACCACATGTCGAGCCTCGACGATTTGGAGAAGACGGACGGCGCCCTGAATGCGCGAGCGTACATCTCTGTGCTCGTCGGCAAGGGCTTCAGCGAGGTGCTGCAAGGCGATAGTGATGTCCCGGAAAGGAGTTCCGGGTTCAAGATATAACCGTGCTGCTTCCAGGAAGCATTCGTGGCGATCTACCCGCCCTAGGACCGTTCTGTCGAGCAGATCCCGCTGAATCGCCAATGCTGCGTTCGCGTCCTCTGTATTCCTGTACGCGCGATATCTTGCCATGTGAGCCTTGCATGTAACCTGGCGGTACTCCACGCCAGAGTACGATCCCAGGAATGATCCATCTGTATATTGCTGGAGTAGCTGCATGGATGTCTCCAAGTCGGCCAACGAAGACATCCGTTCGAATCGCAGGATCAGAGCTGTGGCGAGGCGAGAAACGAAACGCTGAATAAAGCGATGACCGCTGGGGATCAGCTCCATTACCCTCGTGAGGAAATCAATTGCCTCGTCCAAATCAGAGACTTGGCTGAGTGCTTCAGCGCTGGTGCATAGCGCAGCCGCGAAGGATAAGTACTGGTCGTAATGTTGAGGGTTTGCTACTGACGTTGACTGGGAAACAACGCGGTAGGGATGTATGGCCTCCGTAAGATCATCTAGACGCTTATATTCCTTGTATCGAAGGTATAGGTCTGCGGCACGATTGCCTGTTGTCATCCACCCGTGGGGGTTGGTGTCCGTTCTGCTCTCGAGCGCATGTCTGCGTAACTCGATAGCTTCTTCGAGATCAGCCGGGTCCCCACTCCACAGGTAACGCAAGCGCAAGGCATTGGCGAGGTTCTCCGCTTCAATCCAGCCCGAATGTTGCCCTAGCACATTGATTCGGTGGGCTTCACGGCGCAGCAAGACAAGTTCGTCGAGATCCGCGGCGACGGTCGACGCGACGAACACCCGCTCCGTGAGATTGGTCGCGATCGCCTCTATGGCGTATCCTCGGCTGGAGCTTCCGGGCATACTTTTGGAGAGTGCTTGCTTGGCCACATTTAGGGCTTCTTCCAGGTCTCCAAGTTCACCTTTGATGCGGTACCGACAGTGCAATCCCTGGCTGAGCCTGAAAAGAACTGTTTCCCGTTCGATATGCGAGGAAGGACAGAGGTTTACGGCTTCTCTAAGCAGCGGTACCGCTTCTTCTAGATCATTAGAATCGCCGGCGACCATATGGCGTACCCACAGATGCTGGCCGAGAATGCTAAGATGATGATGACGTTCGTCGGCACAGACCAACGCGGCATCTGTCGCTGCATCCCGCTGAAGGCGGAGAGCTTCGTCAAGATACTCAGACGAGCTTGTGACCTGGAAGCGTCGATGCAGGACCATGCCGAGATTCCTGAGGCACGCCGGTCGTAAGGGATGGTCAACGCTAAGCAACGAGAGCGCCTCGCGTTCCAGTCTTTCGGCGATGTCTCGCTCTTCAGCGCTGCCGTGGTACTCGGCGTGAAGCTCGAGCACATCGCCATAAATGACCAACACCAGTGGGCAAGTCACTGCGGCACTTGCGCTATTTCCCAATACTTCGCGCGCGAAGTCCAAGGCACGCTCGAGATCTTGTTGATCCCTGAGATAGCGATAACGTGCGCAAAACGCACGAGAGAGCTGTATGAGCACATGGCGTCGTTTCAAGTCTGCAGGTTGCTGGGCCGCCGGTGAGAACGTAACTTAGTTACGCAGTATAAGTTTATGCATACATCTTCAGTGGAATGCTCCAGGAGCGCGTGCGATGCTTCCACGGAGGCTGAGAATGTTCCCGGATCACTGGTTTGGCAAAATCGATCGAAGAGTTCCGCGGGATTCTTGTTGAAATTCGCGTGCGATAGATCGAAGGCTGCTACCCCGTGCCTGTCGTCATCATGTCGAGAGTGGATACGACGGAGACAGCTCACAGGTAGCACATTCACACAGAGCGCCAGAGGGCGACGAAGGTCGACTACGCTCAGGACCATGCGCTATTGGTGAACCTGAGTCGTTGCAAGTTCAAACGCGAACTATGATCAATCATGATGATTTCACGTAGATATGTGAACTTGCCGTTGGGCCAAGCCTTCACGAGGGCACTAATGCTATTGCCCATATCCTGGACGCTTAACAGGAACGAAGACTACAGCGTCGGGAGGACCACCGTGAATGAAGTGGCCAGGGGGTGAGGCGTTCGCAATCTCGGGCGGTGAGCGTTTTGTACGCTTGTGAGCGTAGCGCATCTATTCCGAGCAATCGAAGCCCCAATGCTGGTATCTCGGGGCCTATCGTAGCTTTCTATAGATTTGGGGCAGCAGAAGGCAGCAGAATGAACTGAATCGCCCGAAATAACACGGTCTGAGGCTATTGTGGGGAGATAGGCCGCCGTTGTACTTCCGAAATGGATGAGGGTGAGGTAAGTCATGAGAGCTTTCATTGGCTGCATGTTCTCGGATAAGCACTTATATGTGATATTCCTGTCCCTAACAGTGACGGCGAGAATCTCAGTTGATTGATATGCAGATGCAAATGGGGAGCCACCCTCACTATATCAACCAAGACTTGCTTTGGTCCAAGTATTTCCCTCTATAAGGAACCACGCTTTGCCATGCGGGAGCATGATCGACTTTAGGGTGGGACACGACCCGTGCCATGCCTTCGCAGTCTTCTCCTGTGCTTCCTCGTCCATCTTCAGGTTGGCCGTCATCAACGCCAGCTCCCGGAGCGCCGTGAACTTCTTCAACGGTTCCCTCATATCGAGGAGAGTGTCCTGCACGTGACCCGATGAGCGAACGACGACGAGCGGGCAGGTAGAGGGCGCTACGTACGACGGAGCCCTGCGGCTGCAGGAACACCATATTGAGCATCACAAGCGAGGTCATGCGCTCCGATACTTGCCGTACAACGTCGTTGGGCGACATTTTCTCCAGCACCATGAGCGTCAACCTCTCCGCCGGCATGGCGGAGCGCGCGATGGCATTCAAAAAGGGCTCGAGGGCGGCCACCGATATGACTAGGAAGAAATCTTGAACCGGCCGCCCGGAGATGATATGCTGGAGCAATATGGGCCCGGTGTGAACTGAGCGCAAGCTGCGTAGGCGGGGTAGCGCGCTACACGGCAGTAGGAAATCGGCATGCGGTGGTGCGGGCGGGCCACGGAGGACCAGCTCCTCGATATGGGGCTGGCTTGCGAGGAAGGACGCGAGCTGCTCGTCGGGGAAAAGCGTGACGGATAGGTGACGGAGGGAGAAGGCGTGGGAGGCGGCGCAGAGGGTAGCCATGAGAAAGGGGTCGTGGTGGGGGTGGGCGTGCCTACATTCGACGGTGAGACGCCGGAGTCGAGGGAGGCGCAGAAGCACGCGACGCAGCAGATCGTTCAGACCGCGCAGCGGTCGCGATATCGGGGCGATGTCGATGTTCAAGTCGCGGACGTGTTGGACGAGGGAGTCCTTCCTGAGCAGGACTCGAAGGCACTTGATGAGCCTGACGGGGCCCAGATCCGGTATGCGACGGTATAGTATCCGTGAAGCAATCGTGTAGAACACCGAGCATACCCGCAAGAGCGGAAGGAGGGCGTTGAGCATAGCTTGATCTTGTTTCTCGCAGTCTTGAACATGCGCGACATCATTGGCTAAGCATACACACACGTTCTCTAAGAGTTCGGGCGGGAGCTCCAAGAGCTGTAATGGATTCGTTCGGGCAATCGGAGTGGACGTAGGACAGGTCATCGTGCTGCGATGAGTGAGCGTTCCGAAAGCAAGGTCAAATCTCGGAGACGCGGAAGCTATCTGTGAAAGTTTCACGTGCTTGGCGTCTCCACAGAGGGTCAGGGCTAAGTACCGCTCGTTTGACGGTGTCAATTATTGGATCGCGTCTAGCAGACACCTCAACAAAGAGGCAAGATGAAGAGAAAGAAAGCTTGATCGTCTCTAGGTATATTATATAAAAGATAAAATTCCACTGCGCCCTAACTAATCCATCGGACCGTTCATGCCTTCTTCTTGTCGTAGTTCTCAACCTCCGCCTCCGCAATCAATCCCTCTCGCTCAGCCTCTGCCGCAAGCTTCTCCTCCATCGCCTTCAACTCCTCCTGGCTGGCATTCTTCTTCTTCAACTCGGCCTTGGCAGCAGCAGTGCGCTTCTTGTAAGCACGGTACTTGTCGTCGGTGCCGAGGAGGTAGTCTAGCCAGCGGAAGGAGGTTGAGTAGTTGTTGACGAAGGCCATGTGGTGGAAGTCGTGGTGGTCGGCGCCGGACCAGAACGGCACGATGTGCTGGAGCGACCAGGGGAAGTCTGCAAGAGCGAAGTTAGCTTGCGTGCGATGAGGTGAACGGATGATCTAAACGAACCGTAACCGCTGTGCGCATCGATGGCCTGGAACAGACGAAGGGTGATCCAGATGTAGACGGTGAAGATGTGGAGGTTGCGGGTGAAGTAGCAGTAGAGCAGGGGTCCAGCAATCGTGCCCGTGCCAAGGATGAAGACCTCTGCGGGGTGCGCGTACTCGGCGGCAAGACCGAAAGGCGCCGAATACTTGTGGTGGATTTTGTGGATGTGCTTGTACAGAGCACCGGTATGAAGAGCTTGGTGAGCTAGAAACGAGGCAGGTAAGGAAGGCGCTCCTATATCGGCGGTGAATCGAAGAGCCTACCGAAGTAATGGAACATGTCCTCAAAGACAAAGAAGAACGCAATCTGGGGCGCCATGGTCTTCCACGAGGGGAAGGGAACCTGCCATGTGGTCATGCCGATAGATTCAGCCATGGGGTGGAAGAGCCAGATCTAAAGGAGTAAATGAACTATGAGCGACCGTGCGAAGGTGACTCTTCGCAAAGAGTGCTTACCGCCGGCAACTCAATGGTGAAGTGCGAGAACAGAACCTGCTTGGTGCACTCCCATTGCTCGAGAGCCGTGGGGACCTTGTTGGGTTGCAGCTTCCATCTCCTGAAGTACGGAATGGCGTCGATGATGATCCACGGCACGCATCGACCGAAGTACACAATCTGTGGCAGACAAGCAAAATCCGGTCACTATGTATACCCAATGTAACCCGCCCGGCGCGCGACTACGCACCTCATGCAGCAAGAAGCTCATAAGCCCCGTCGCAATGATGGGGTTCCCAATCCATATGTACCACGCGGCCCAGTTTTTCTCGAGCCAATTGAGCTTGCTGAAGTCCGTGTCGGCGTAGAGCAACTCGGGTGAGTTGTATGCGGGGACCGTCGAGTTCATTGCGGTGGCCATGGCAGCGCTGCGAGTAGACGGACTAGATCAGCGTCCTGTCTTTAAACGCCAGCGGCAGTGGAGGAGTGGGTCGATGGAGGTCGGACGCAAGGAAGGCTCCCGAGAAACCGCACCACTTTTCGGCTTTTCTGAGCGTGGGAACGTGCGGTTACACGGGCAGGTGACGGTCGAAGCACTCCAGGCTCCACTGGACTCGGGTCGCAATTCCAGCACTTGTCTGGCTCAAGCTCGAGACGAAAGTATTAGCAGGGCAATAGCTGGAGTATTTACTACGTCTCCTGACACTGAATTCTATTATCGCCACTCGCCTAAGTGTGGCGCGAGCAAAGCCGATCGGTCCCGAGCGCGCGACTTGTCGTGGATCCTGAGTTCCACCGCAAACTGTTCAGATGCCCAGAGGATGGTCCGACGTCCTGAACGGCTAATCCGCTGCGCATTTGGAAGGGGAACCATCGAATCTACGACGAATTTCGCGGGTTTTCAGATCGATTGTTCCGGTTCACGAGGATCGTCATTTAACGGGTTCGTCTATGTCCTTGCGTTACACTCACATGAAATAGAGAATAGGTCGACGATATGCCGACACGGATACCGGATTATCTAAGGTCCCGAGATCAATTGTCCAATAGGTGACCACTACGTCCCCTGTTTAACCTCCAACCCCGCAACGGCCTCCAGCAAATCGTCAACGCCTGTCTTCGCCTCCGAATTAACCGCGCCCGTGTCGATTAGCACGCCGCGGTCGATATTGTTCATGACATCCATTCGAGCTTCCTTCGGGCTGGTTGAATCGGATCTGGCCAGTTTGACCTTGCCTTCCCCGCGCGGCCTATCAAGCGCGGATGGGCCGGTGCTGGCGATGACCACATCGTGAACGGCGCCAAAGAAGCTGCGAGCACGCCTACGGTTGGCGCGGGACCACGGATTGGATGGCATGGTTGTTTCGCTATTGGTGCGTTGTTCCGAAGGGCAAAGATCCAGCTCAGCGTTCAGAAAGCCATCGTACTCGCAAACAGTGTTCGCGTCGACAGTACAAGCGTCGGTATCTGTGTCGATATCGGAGATCCCGGAAGGATGGAACGATGCCCTGTCCACAGGATCTTTGGAAGTAGGGACGGCGTGAATGGCTGCGGCAGGTGAGGTTTCCCAGTCATTACTGTCGTTGCTATTAATTCCCCAGTCGTCAATGTACGCATAGACTAGCGAGTTCTCAGGGGTCCAGGGCCGCTCATCCAGAGATGGCGATCCTTCGGGGCTCGCATAGGGCAGAATATCCTGGTCGTAAGTCGGATGTTCGGTGGAATCCAGACAGGTACCCATAACATTGGTAAGGTTCGCTGGTCTCCTGTCTTCGTTAATGAACGCTTGCACAACAGGATCATCGTAGTCGTAGGGTTCCGAGCATGGAGGTGGAACCTGCACTTGGCGCAGCCACTGGTGGTAACGGGCTCCACCCAAGGATAGCCGCCCGCTCGGGGCCATTCTTGTCATACACTTGATAATTAGGTGTGCTAATTCACGATAAATTCGATCAAAACATTTTCTACTGCAGGAAATCAGAGGGTTACCGTCGATGCTCATCGTCGACTCCCCATCCATAGTGTGATTCGAGCGCCGCTCTTCTATCTGTCGCTGAGGACTCGTTTGTCGCTTTTTGTCATCGACATAGTAGAGTGGCTTTCCCCGCAATCTGAAGGTTCTGATTGAGCACTCTGACCGCGTACCTGAGGTTGAACACCTACATGAAGAACATGACGGCACCCACGCTGAAGGCCTCGCTCAGTTCACTATATTGACACTGCAACAGTTCGGGTGGGCTCCATTCGACACTGATAGTCATGCCCTGCATGTTTTGCATTGAGCCCCGAAGAATACTCATGATAAAGAAAATATGGTCACTCGCCTCGACATCCGAGTCACAAAGGGCCTTAACACAGTCACTGGCCTCGACATCCGACTCATAGTCATCAGATCGTCGCGCAAAACTAAAGCCACTGAGCTTGATGGTCGGAATACCGCTTTCGCTCTCTTGATATACAAGAATGTTCTGACAACGTTCGGAGTCAGATCTCCGCGTATCCAGGGGAAGGAGATATTCGACTACCTCTGGCCTGACATTGCCGTGCAGGATGTCTCGTCCATGCATGTACTGTGGATATAATGTCAGCTGGGATGCTAGGGGGCTCATAGGTGTTTTACCAGTAATCCATCCACGAGTTGCGCCATGACGGAACGAGCGACTGGTTCGCCTGGGTTTGTATTTAGGTCAGTGTCATGTCCGACGTATTCAAATCCCGAATCAAGCGCACATAGATTGCCCCGTGCGATGGTGAAATCGTAGAGGTTGCCTCGCGGAGCAAGAGGCGTCACAATGCCTTAGGAAGCAATCATCAAAGGATACTCTTCCAACGATTTGTTACTCACTGATTCGCCGAACGGGTGCGCCGAGATCTTCGGGGCACATATACCAATCGCACGGACGCACGATATTCTCGTGGATAAGCTCATCGCACATTCTGATCATAGACGCGGCTTTGCTCAGCTCCTCAACTGGAACCGATATTGTCTTGACGACTACGGCATGATTTGTTTGGATGTGCTTCGCGACGTAGATGGCTTAGGGGAGAATTAGTCAGTGGCCGAGGTAGCGAGTACACGAACGCACCCGTTCGACCTACGTCCAGAATCGGTTTCGGGTCCAACCGATAATGACCAGCAGAGTATGGGGTGCTCGTGATATCCCATAAGGATCGATAGACGTAGTCTGAGAACATCGGATGAGCGTGAACATCCATGAGGAGACTGCATAGTATATGAAGAACCTACCGACATAGTTTACGCGTACGGTCGCGTCAGGCAAGAGCGCACATTTGTCGCCATATTTCAGCAATGTTCCGTCGACCTTGAAGGATGATCAGCGGATACGTCTCTCGTGGAGCGCGTTACTTGGCGTACATAAATCCGGACGGAAACGTCTGTGCGCTGGATCTCAACCCTGACACCTTCCTTTCTTCCCTCCAACACGTTGTCATCGATGAGAGAGACTATGGCCACTGGGTTGGACATGGATACCTCAGATAGCGGTTCTGAAGACGAGCTCGGTTATCGGCGCCAAAGTAACGATTCATTATGAACACTACTGACCCTCGCCCCTTCCCTCGGCTTGCAGTTGTTCCTCTTCGGTGGCGTCGTAGCAGATTCCCCACGATCTTGACTCGTTGGAGAAAAGGAGGTTCAACATACAGTGAATGGGAGACTCAAGATAAGCCCAGGCCTGCCCGCGCAACTCATACCTCGCAGACGCACGCTTAGCGAACACGGCAGGATCTGCTAGGTGAAGGATGGGCTCTGCGGATGGTGGCATGGTGGTGTGAATACGGTTTGTCCGCTCCAGCGCCCGCTTTTATGCCCTCACGATGTCCCTTTGTTCGGCGGAGTAGCTGCGCATCCGTGGCATGCTGGAGAATAGCGCCTGTATTTGTTGTGTATGAGCCACGCGACTACCAATGGAGACAAAGCCGAAGTGCGAAAGATAAGAACTATTGGTGTACGGCCATGCAGTCGTTGCGTTGAGAGGTGCATCGGCCCTGCTAGCTCGTCCGGCTCTCAATCCTGAGATTGAAGAACTGCCGTGACATGCTCACGTCCCAGTACACCTTTGCACATTGAACGTAGTTGCGTCCTCGACAAGCTGAGACGGTGTCTTTGATCATCAAGACAAAGTGGCTCGCGCATCGCCTCTTTTGTGACTGAGCGTTATACAATTGCGTATCGACGTGGTCTCCCCAGCTATGGTGAGATGGCAAACGTTCTCGACAGTATTGACATCGATTCTTCAGCTCAAGAGACCGTGGTGATGCCTCGGGCGTACTGTGCAGGGGAAGAGAATGAACAAGTGTACGGTCCAGACGGTCGGCAGTGTTAACAGGCGCGGTCCCAGGCCTCGCACTAGTTATCAAAAGGTCGGGCCACGACGCCGCAATCTCAGCTGATTGTAAGTACTCGTGTAGGAAGGCAGATTACCGGGCAGTCTTTGAACAGGAGCAACCCTGCACTCCAGGCATCTATACTACGACTACGTAAAGTATCGGTTCCACGAACTGAGCGTATGTATGTAACGTGCTCCGTTGATGATTGTCGGATCGACGTGCCTATCGGCCGGTCTTTTCTCAAGCTCTTCGACAGGTATATCCACCGATGGTGATCAAGGGCCGCCACCCCTTCCGCTCCTCGGCCCATTCGACAATTTCGTCTCCGTAGAAATTTGAGAATACAGGATTCCCTTCTTCGATCAACCCTCTACCGGAGGGTTCCCAGTCGGTCATCCACGTAGGCAACGTCCGCGTCGCCCTGTCTAGACACGTAGAGCACTTCCCGAATTTGATACACCATTGCTCCAGCATCTCGGATGCGCTGCCAGGAACGTAATCAAGTGGGAGAAAAACTTCGCCACGAATGTCCGGCGGGGTCGTGGACGGACCGTTGCCGGATACATGCGCCGACTCCGAATCGCGTCGGGACCATGTGTCAGGCCTGGGGACATGTTCTGCTTGGCGAGAAGTTCTCTCTTCATGAGCCGTGGACGCTCCGAATGGGGTTGAGGAGGACAAGCCGACCAGTCCTCGAAGAGGATTCCTTGCATATCCACGCGGAAGCGGGGTTTCGGACGCAGGAACATTTTCTTGTCCATGTACCGTCGGTGCGAGGCAGATGGTAGGCAGGTGCAAATAGGGACGGGAATGTCGTTCTTCGCTTGGGATGACGACGCAAGCTCCTCGAGAAAGTGCTGTTTCGAGAGCTGACTTCCTTGAGGGGTAGTCTCCTCACGTTTAAGTGGCTGTTTTCGTTCGGAATGCTTCACGCGTGAATCCAAATCAGAGCGTGTTCGGAAAACATCAGGCCGCATCGACGCCGCGGCAGAGGTGTCAACCTCGTTCAGTCATTTCCTGCGCTCTTGCTTCTGGTCGTGATGTGATGGTGTACTTTCGTCACTACTCGCAACGCTGAGTCGAACAACGTCAGTTAAGAGCTAGACGGTGCCTACGGAGGAGACTCACAGCGCTGGATCCGGAGTGCTATCCTGGCCAGACGATCGCTCTGTAAGTGCGCGCTTTCGAGCCTTTTCCTTCGCTAGTACGTTGGCTGTGGCTAGCGCTAGATGTACACTTTCCTTGATCTCTACGACTAGCCTGTGCACCTCGGGTTTCTGGGTAATCAACCATTGCAGCTCCTTCCTGTCGCGTCGGATATGGATCTTCGTCTCTTCTCGCAGGTCGTGGTTCCCGTGGCGACGCTTGACGTGACGTTCGTCGGACGCGGAAGGGGATCGGGGTCGCTTGGTAGCAACGCTTGTAAGATCAACCTCGAATGCGGATTTCGCCTGTGTGCGAAGGAGTTCAGGTACGTCTTGCGACTGCTACAATGCTGATTTCTGGGCCGCAAGTACGCAGGGGAATCGAAGATAATGGTCATGAGCCATCTGATCTGGACAGGGAGTCGTAAATAACGAGTGAACGGGGTGACGGAGCTCGAACGTACCGGACAATGACGAAGAGGTTGGCTGTCCGGAGTGGCTATATCGGTGTAAAGCAGAGCAAAATTTGTTCCTTTGCGAAGCACCTCTCTTGGTGCTATCGGTAGATATACGAGAAGGTCTTAGCGCGGTTGCTCTTCGGGTGGCACTCAAAGCGCTTGCGCAGGCGATATCCAAGGTGAAGTCCTGAGTTATGCAGTGAGGTTCGGGGCGGGTAGACAGCACTGAGGTCAAGTGGGCTGTCTCAGCAATAGCGAAAGGTATGTGATTGGTACAATAACTGAATAAGCCGTGATACACAGAGCTCGAATTGAGCTCCGAACGCCGTTGCCACGTGTTTGTGTCCGTTTTGGGAAGATAAGATGCCTCTTCATCCGTTTGAATCGGTGGAGCATCACTTGGCAATGAATTAGCCAAAGTAAGATCAGTAGTCTATCTTAGTTTGAGTAGATGAACGCGCTCTTGTTCTTCGCCGAACATGTCCTCACCCAGTGGAGATGAATTACTTCTAGCAGCCGTATGGGCTCGGCGGGATCCTCGCTCCGATATCGAGGACCACGACTCGTCGATCGAGGAATGCGCGTTGCCCTCCCATGTTTGCGATCGGAGTAATGCAGGAAAGCTGCTGTGCTTCCCTGCATCTTCATTGTCCTTCCTGGTTCATAAGGATAGTTGTAGTGGAATCCTGGAGACCGCAGGGCGCTCGGGGGACCGTTTCCCACTGCGCCAAGAATCAATGACAGCTGCCAAGACCAAGAATTCGTAGCCAAGGCGGCCATCCGGCCACGCCGCCACCTCCAAGCCTCGAGTCTTTCAGCATGCCAATCCTCTTCATAAGGCTCCATCGCGCAATTGCATCCACTCTTTCAATCCTTTGACCCTCATTGCTCCGAGAGCTGCTCGCGATACGGGTCATGGAAGAGTCGAAACAGCATCCCGACGTCGAAATGGGCATTACCTCCCCCGCGAGGCTACCAACGAACGGCCATGCGGACTCCAGTCACGTCAAGCTGCCAGACCAGCCCCAGCACCCCAAGAACTTGACGCTCATGCATCCCGGTGAATATGCCACCCATCTGGAGGAAAAGTGGCGCACGGCCGTTGCGGACAACGAAGAGAGCTTGCAGCGGTTCTGGGACAGGTTCCGTGGCAAGGGACGAGAGGTCGGGTTTGGCGAAAGTTTGTTGGCAATTCTCCGGTCGTCTTGTGAGTTGGCCGGGCGACGGCTATGCTACTGAAATACTGCTGATGTATACGAGGTAGATCTGAACGTCCTCTTCGTTTTCTTCCCTATCGCGTGGGCTTCACACTGGGTACCATGGCACACTGGAATCACCTTCGCATGTACGTCCCCTTTCAAGCTTTGGTCTACAATGCTTGCGTTGACACTGCGACACAGTATGCTTTGTCGCCATCATACCCATGGAGAAAATGTTCGATTACGGCGGCGAGCAAATGGCGTACTATCTTGGGAAGGACTTGGGAGACCTCGTAGTCGTCACGCTCAACAACGCTGTTGAAGCCACGCTTGCGATCATCCTTCTTTTGAAGTGCGAGTGAGTAAGCCGGTGTGGAGAAATATAAGGTACCAACTCGAACCTGACGATCGGCCTCCCCAGAATCAAGATCCTGCAGTCCACCATCGCTGGCGTCGTCTTGTTGCATCTCCTCCTCATACCAGGAACTGCCTTCCTGACAGGCGGAGCCCGTATCTGGGAGCAAAATTTGCATCCTCACCCGACGCAGGTACGAAAGCTATAGCCCGCGTTCCATGCCGATCTGAACATTTAACCTTAGTTGAACCATTCCTTGCTCACCATCGGGTAAGTCTAGGCCATAGTCCTGATATCACGCTATCGACCTTGATATCGCAGGGTCTTGACGCTTTTGCTACCGACGGCCTTCTTCTCCTCCATCAACCGCGGTACAGCGTCCGAAAGTATAGTATCCGACGACCTTCGGCATACCTTCCTTCAGATGAGCCGCGGCTTGGCCATCATACTTCTGCTTGTGTGAGTTTTTCGCAGTCCATCGTCTCCCTTGCCTCGTTGACTCAACGGCTCTCGCGGTATGCAGCTACATCGCGTCGAGGATATACCTCCACAACCCTCCCGGAGAGGACAACGCGCTGCGCGTAGCACATAACGCACCTGAGGAAGTCTTGCATGAGGAACATCATCTCCAGACATCACGGCCGGAGGTCAACGTTTGGTGCTGTATCGCGCTGCTGCTCATAATCATCGCGATCATGGCCGTGACGGCCGAGATGGTATGTCCCCTCACCTTGTCAACTCGCCGAACTCGATCCAACGCGCTCTCTCTAGCTCGTCGAGAGCATCGAGTTCGTCCGCGAAGAAGCCGGCATCCAGGAAGAGTCCGTTTCGTTCCCGCCTTTTTGTAAGCCGATCGCTGACCGCAGAACGGTGCTCTGCAGGTGGTTCGGCTTGGTCCTCTTACCCATCGTCTCCTTCTCTGCCGACGGCACGGTCGCGATCGTCTTCTTCCTGCGCTACATGCTCAAGATGTTCCTCGGCACCCCGTCCCCGCCCGCGACGCTCGCGAAAGCACGCGCGATCGACCTTAGCATCCAGTTCACCTTGTTCTGGATGCCGTTCTTAGTGCTTTTGGGATGGTGGACGGGCAAGCCTTTGACGTTGTTGTTCGGTCAGTAGGTTCTCGATGCCCTCGAAGGATATCGGTTCAAGAACTGACACTCGCAACACAGATATGTTTGAAGTAGCGCTCTTGATCGGGGCATGCTTCCTGGTGAACTACGTCACCGCCGATGCGAAGACCAACTGGGTGGAAGGATGCATCATGATGGCGTTCTACGTCATGATCGTAAGCGTCCTCGTCGTGAGCATGCGCTAGCAAGATGCTGAATGATCTTCTAGGCACTTTGCTCGTGGTTCTACACCGGCGAACCCCAAATCGAGGAGATGGTGCGATGCGAGAGCGTTGCAGCGGCAACCGAAAGCACAGGCACGAGCGAGATCGTCGCCAGGTTGCTTCGGTGACACAAGCTTCCTTTCTCATGGGACAGAGACGCCTCTTCGCCCATCGGATCCGATCGACGCGGGCATCTGTCGCAATGCTTGCTTAGTTGTCCGTTTGATCGCTGATATGCGGCGAGATAGTTCTCTTGCATCTTTGTTCTTACAGTCGTGACATTTAATTGCGGAGCGGAATATACCTTTGGAAACATGCCTGAAATGGATTACAGTAATGCGAAAATAACTTGGCGCGGTCGATGATGGGGGCACGTCCGAGCATTTCTAACCATCCTAGGATTAACATGATGCAACACCCAGGCAGATGAATTCAGAGGGTCATCGGTTAGTGCTATGTTTCAAACGTATAGACTTGCCCTCAATGAACAACTTGGCAGATAGTTCTCACTTAATCGACGCATGAATCTTCGTCTCTGAGGTCCATGCTGTAAGCGTCTCAGTCCAACAGCCATCACACATGCCTTGATGTCTAGCTTCATGGTATATCGTCGGGTCGTGGACACGCCGTGGCAGCTGATCTCACGGACATGAGAAATCCGATGGAAGGATACTAACTCAGCGGCATTTCTGGTCCAAAGATTCTACACCTGATATGACGGACTTCGTGCACTAACTGCTGGCGCAATTGCTCTCGCAGAAGCAACACTCGTACCCGACGGCTTATCGAGGGTACCCATCACAAGCTACACCTGGCTAAAGATGGCGTTGGATCTTCCCGCCCTTGATGTGTGACGACTGCCCCGGTTCTACTAATACCCGTATCATCCGATCCTTTGTCTTCGGCACTGGTATCATGTAGTAACCATCCGCAGGCTGTATACGCGGCGTGCAAACCGCTCTGAAGGCACTACTCATAGTTTCGGCGGTGTTCAATGCTATGACCGCCACCGTCTCGCCCACGCACTATTATAAACTGATGTATCAGTATTTCTACGTGCCATTGGAATGAGTCTAGCGATGTGCTCTGCACCTTTTCTGAACACTCTCCAGGCTCACCTCTATTGTGCCCGCTTATTCCCTTGTACCATGTCGTCTACGAGCCCGCTCGATGTCGGCCTCACATTGGGCGCTCTCTACGTTGGATTGTTGTTCTCAATTTTGTAAGTAATATTCAGTTCGTTCATAACCCCCGACGTCACGCATTGACATCAACTTATTCAGCTTATTCGGAATCGCTACTCTGCAGTCATACAGGTACTTTGCAGAATACCCGAAAGATACGCTCGCCCTGAAATGCCTGGTATGAAGTCTCGTTCAGATAGAAACATTCATCGTTGACTGTAATTATCAGGTATCCACCATATGGGTGCTTGATGCTATTCACTGCGCACTTATCTCGCATTCTGTATATTACTGTGGGTTGAACGGCCCCAACTCGCATCACAGCATCTAGACCTCACGATTTGCCAATATGATAGACACGATCCAGAACTACTTCAACCCAAAGGTTCTGTCAACCGCAGTGTGGTCGCTAGACTTGCAAATAGCTCTCTCCAATGTCGTAGGCTGCACCTGTCAAGCATACTTTATCTTCAGAGTCTGGGTGCTCGGCCGCTCGTATCTGGTTACAGGTGTATGCGCGCTGGTAACCCTCACGTGGCTGGCCCTGGGTATGGTCGTCACGTACAGCGCATTTCACGACGCAGAGCGGAGCATCAGTTTGTGGGAGAAGGCTTTTGGGTGGGGCGTTCGATCCGGGTACGATGGATTTGCTTTGTATATTACTATTCATCCAATTGTTTATAGATTGTCTCTTCCTACAGCCGCCGACGTGTGCATTTCTGCGTCATTGATATTCTATCTGTTTCCGAAGAGGCATGGTCTTACGAGTACCAATCGGTTGATCAAGCGAATCCTCAGTGAGAACGACGGTTTCTGGATGATTCCACATCTAACCAAATCAGCAGTCTTTACAATTGGTTCGTAGCGGGCTACGTGGCTGTTTTGATTTTACTGTACTGAACTCTCGCAAGAAACGTGCTTGATAACGTCGTCTGCCACGATTGTCGATGTGATCTGCGTACGTCCATACTCCCAGTTCGAGATTTAGACTCATAGAATCCTAGTTTGCGTCGATGAACAACTGTGAGTCGCCTGACCTCTGAGTGCATATGGGGACCAGTAATGCCGGGCTTGCGCAGTCGTATATATGGGCGTATACTTTGTTTCATCCAAGCGTGAGTTTAATGAGTCCCTTGCCCATCAAAGGTCAATGCTCTAACACCAGTTGACCAGTATATGTTAACGCACTCCTCGCATCTCTCAACGTGCGGAAAGATCTGAGAGCCAACTACGCGGTCACTCCTATATCAAGGATGCAACTCACCGCTCCCGGATCCGCGAATATTCACTCCTCCTTCCCGCGATCTCCCGCGAACGGGGTCGTACTGCCAGATCAGATTGTAAGTGGCAGCATAAACATGCTACTCGACGTTCACTGCACTGCACCAGGATCTTAAATCCCCTACTGGCACAACACTTGGGGGCCTTGAGGACGAAGGACCCATTGCATGTTACAAACGGGCGCATCAAGTTTAGATGAACATCACGCAGTCTGAAAGTAGTAGCACGAGTCACAATCCATCTCTGTCTTGTGATTGAGTTGGTTGCGTTCGATTACGGTGTCAGGGTGATGCAGAGCACTGAACTGAACGCCAGGTCTTTGAAGCGCATCGCGATCACGTGACGTAGTGCGCTGCCGCGCTCTTGTCCTCGTGTCCATCTTCCTCCTAGCACATTCCGGCATGGCTGCCGCCGTTCTTGCGTTATGATCCATGTAGACCACTCCCTTTCGTGTGTTTGGATGCACCGGTGGAAGCCGGTAACTCCTTTGCCTCGTCCGGACTACGGACCTACTCGTTCATGGAATTAGGAATGCCGGATCTGCCGTAAGTACTCTAGGCCGCGAGCGCCTATCACCAGATGAACAGATACTGGAGTACTTATATGCGTATACTGAATAGAGAACGGGCTCTAGTCTTGCTCGCGGCAATGCTCTTTTGTAACCGCCGACTTCCTTGACACTACGCCTAGAATGGTTCACTCCTGGAACCCCACTCGACTGTGATTGGTGAGAGTACTATCGACTGTTTATTATGCAAATAGTTTATGATGTGACAGCCCTCATCGATAAGATTCTTGTTGCGCTATACTTACGCGTACAACATGCTCGTTCAATGCTGCAAAGCTCTATGCGCGCTGATTTGACAGCGGCGCCAAACTCGAGACTTCTATTCAGCTACGGTGTGTCTACTATCCAGCCATCTGGCATGTGTGGACACGGCAGAACCATGTGGGCGCCTTGTGTCAACGTATTTATAAGACGAGTCCGGGGATGGCCTTGGCGAGCCCGCCACCTCCCTTCGGACCTCCTCCTTTCGTACGCAAATGTCGCTCATGCCGTCTGGAGAGCGTAGTGCTGCGAGTCCGAAGCATGGCTTGCAGTCGATCCAACCTAGTGCCAGAGAGGAGGTTGAGCGGACAGCTCCTGTCCATGAAACACGTGGATCGCGACGACTTTCCAGAGCCAGGGAAGTTGTGCGCGAGGTTGTCGAAGAAGAGGAGGAAAACTTTCAAAAATTCTGGGACAGGTTTCGCGGCAAGGGACGGGAGGTGAGCTGGAGCGAGAGCCTGCGCAACATCGTGTTTTCGTCGTGTAGGTCCTCCAACAAGTAAGTGCGTGCCCTCTTTACACCAACATTCTGTTCCGCAACAGGGCTCAACATCTTCTTCGTCATTCTCCCGATCGCTTGGGTTTCTCATTGGGTACAATGGCATACCGGCTTGACGTTCGGACGTACGTCGCAACCCTTCGGTGCAACCGCCTGTACGCACCCTGATCATACATTTTAGTATGCTTCGTTGCTATCCTTCCCATGGCCAGGATATTTGACTACTGCGGCGAGCAGATGGCGTTCTACCTTGGCTATAGCCTTGGTGACCTGGTCGTCATCACGCTCAATAATGCTGTGGAGGCGACTCTTTCCATCATATTGCTTTTGAAATGCCAGTCAGTATTATTTGTCGTACCTCATCTCCGAAGGCGCCTCACTCTTTGTCGTACCAGGGTGAAACTGCTGCAATCCACGATCGCAGGTGTGGTGCTTCTCCACCTGCTCCTCATACCTGGGACTGCGTTCCTTGTCGGAGGGGCGCGCATCTGGGAGCAAGAACTGCACGAGCATCCTACCCAGGTACGGCCGGGTCTTTCTTGCACTTTAACCCTTACACATTATGCTTATCAGCTGAACCACTCACTTTTGACGATCGGGTATGCTATCCCTGCTGTAATATGTAGATTCTCACTGACACCTTCGCGAAGAGTCCTTGCCCTCCTTCTTCCATCAGCCTTTTTCTCGTCGATTGGCACGGGCTTACCGTCAGGAATTACTACTGGTCTCCGACATGACCTCGGACAAATTTCTCGAGGTTTGGCTCTCATACTGCTGATTGTGTAAGCCAGGATTCACCGCGCAACGAAGGTTCTTCTGAGCCTCACATTTGGCGACTAGATACATCGCGTCCCGCATTTATTTGCATCATCCACCGGGTGCAGAGGGTCAACATGTGGACGCACACCTGCCCCATGCATTAAGGATCAAGGAACGCGAACTCGCTAGGCAGCGCCCGGAGGTGAACGTTTGGTCCTGTATTGCGCTGTCCCTCGTCGTCATCGTGCTGATGGCTGTTACCGCTTGGATGGTGCGTGTGCCTACTAGCTCCCAGTCACCTGCCTTCACCTTGAACATGTTGGTATAGTTAGTCGAGAGTATCGAATTCGTGCAGGAGCGTAGCAACATACAAGACGAGTGAGGTATCAAATATGCGGTTCGTGTGATGCCATCTGATGGGACGTGGACCAGGTGGTTTGGCCTCGTTTTCCTCCCGATCGTATCTTTCTCTGCGGACGGCGTAGTCGCAATCGTGCTGTTCTTGCGCGTGCTGTTCCGGGCCTACCACGGCAAAGACAAAGATTCCTATATAACGACGCTGGCGAGAGGCCGAACGATCGATCTCAGCATACAGTTCACGCTGTTCTGGATGCCGTTCTTCGTCTTGCTCGGATGGTGGACCGACCGGCCGTTGAGCCTGCTGTTTGGTGAGTATTTCGACTGTACCGAGGATCCTGACATCGGAAGCTGAGCAAGTTTTCGAGATATGTTCGAGGTTGCGCTATTGCTCGGCGCGTGCTTCCTGGTGAACTATGTCACTGCCGACGCGAAGACGAATTGGGCCGAAGGTTGTATCATGGTCGGTTTCTATGTGATGATCGTTCGTTTTCAACCTTGTTCATGTTGTAGTGAGCGTTCACTCACGGTCGTCTTGACAGGCGCTGTGTTCCTGGTTTTACCCCGGCAACATGGTGATCGAGGAAATGGTCCAGTGTCAGAAGAATATCCTTTGAAATTGTGACTAGCTTCCATATGCCAGTCCTCGTTGTCCTGCTTGCTTCAGAGTCATTTGCAATATAACATGCATTGAACCCAATTCATATGATACTGTACAGGATGGTCGCATGCGTTCGCGCGGGGGTGAATAAAACTTGAGCTCATCATTCATGATTAGACAACATCGAAGAAACCGGCCATATCCCAACCTCCTTCAGGCTGTCCCTCGCGCACCCATCCCACCCTATCCATAGTCAAGCCCGCGACCCTAACGAACAACGTCGAATCGAGCAGCTCGAGACCCGGTAGCTTCTCGTCCGCATCTTCGAGCGCCTTCGAGAAATAGCCAGGGTACCGGTGACTGTACAGCGTCGCGTAGTGCGCGAGCGCCCTCTGGATCTTCGGAACGTGGTCGTCCGGGTGGCCCAGCACGGATTGGATGAGAGGCAGCCACGGGTTTGGCACCGTCTTCACACCCCGCGCGCCGAATGTTTGTGCCGTGATGGGCTCTTTCTGTTCGGGGGGTAGAATGTCCGTCGATGTGTTGTGGTAGAAGGACTCGAGACCGAGCGCAGGACGGCCGCGGCCGACGTACTCTGTAAGCACGGTTGCGAAGTACGCATGTAAGAGAGCGAGCTGCGAGGCGGGTTTCAGAGCGAGCACCAAAGAGGGTATGAACAAGGACGATGTGACAAGGTGCATCCTGTAGCAACATAGTTGATCAGTCACACGGGCATCAGGAACGCGGAGAAAGGGCTTACAAGAAGAAGTCGGCATTGAAGTCTTTGCCCTTGGTGAAGCCGCCGACGCCGTAGATCAAAACATTCGTCCAGGCGATCTCTTCCAATTTCTCCTCAATATGTCCCTCGGCTCCGCCGAGCCACTCGTCGGTATAGGCGAGGATTTTGCTAACGCGGTCCTCGTCGTTTAGCACGTCGGCCGCTGACTCCGCAAGATCCCTCGGACGACGAGGAGAGAACAACGGATCCTTGAGTACCCGTGCAAGAATCGTCAAAGCATGCGTCTTGCTCGCAGATGTTGGTACGGGTAGTTGTGACGTCGTCGAGGAGATGGAGAGCGAAGGCAGGAGGGAGGTCACTCGAGCAAAGGCAGAAGCGCTCTTCGGTGGGCCTTGGTCGAACAGGCTCTCAACCATCAAAGTAGGGGATGTCGCTGCATGCACGCATGTCTGAGCAAGGCCTGAGTCACCAAATTAGCGCGATTCGGCATAATCAGCTGGGAATAATCACCTTCGACGAGAATGCCCGGTATTCCGAATTCGATCCCGTAACCAGTATGAATCAATGGGTGCAGGAGGCCTCCAATGAAACGATTTAGGAGGTGAGGATGAGACTCCGCAGTCTTGCCGCCAAAGTTGAACTTGTGCGAGAATATGTAGGTCTCGAGTGTCTCCTTCGCGCCGTTCTTCTTGATGGCATCGACGAAGAAGTTAACGTATGCATTGTAATACCTATGAAGTCAAATTCAGTACGGCCAATAGCAGACGTCGAATGACGAGGTGCTCACCTCTCGTCGCCGAGGTGTTCGGTGAAATTGTCGGTAGTGATCTCAGAGGGTGACTTGAACGCGTCCCGTTGAGACTTCTTGTCCTGTTCATACGCCGCTTCGATCAATTCTCCATTCCCTCCCAACGTCCAGAGGGCGAGCAGGCGATGTGCAGTATGGCTGGGTCTCGACGTCAGACAGGCCGACCAATCAGTCACAGAGGACAGAGTACGAACTTGTGGAACCCTCGATCATTGAAGAAGATATGCCATTTCTCGTGGTTATCCTTGAGCGTATTCGCCAGATATGTCGTCGAGCTCTGGTCAATCCCTGGCCAACGTCCCGGGGAGAGATGCGACGTCGGCGGCGGGAGAACGGACGGGAACAGCTCGTCGAGACTCATGATCACGTTCCTCGGACCAATGCCCGCCCGTCCATTGGTGATATATATCCACGAGAACAAACTCGCGACGTCATGAGGTAATGAAGCCGGAGCATGAGCAGAGCGCAGTTACGATGATGCACAAGGCGGGGTGGATAACCTCAAACAGAGCGACGCATGCTCATCTGCCCATGCCACATGCTGTTTCTCTCACTGCCAGCTTCCTAGTGTGAACGGGGCTATCCAAGCTTACAAAGTACAGCATCTTGTGAACGTCTACGACGCCTGGCATGGGAGCACGCTCGTATCCAGATCGCTCCATCATGAGAATAGAATACATATCGCACTTTAACATTAGTAGACTTCTACGTTCGGGCAGCTGGTGCCGTAGGCAGGTAGGCTCGAATTTTGCCCTCCGTACCCCACGTCAAGGTTTCCATAGACTTGTTGCTTCAAGGTACAACCTTCAACGCCTCCTCGAAATCCGCAATTATGTCCTTGATGTTTTCGATACCCACCGACACCTGACAAGCAAGGGACGTTAGCGCGTATGTTTGGTAACGACTTGCTTAAACCTACCCGAATGAGATCGGGAGTAACTCCGGACGCGAACTGCTCCTCGGCCGTCAGCTGCTGATGTGTGGTCGTCGCAGGATGGATCACGAGCGTCTTCGCGTCTCCGACGTTGGCGAGGTTGCTCGCCAGCTTGAGGTTGTCCACGACCTTGCTCCCGATCGCCGCGTCGCCCTTGACGCCAAAGTTGAGCACGCCGCCGAACGCGTTCTCCCTGAACAGCTTCTTCGCGATCGCGTGCGAGCCGTGGTTCTCGAGCCCGAGGTAACTGACCCATGCGACCTTCGGGTGCTTCTCGAGCCAGCGCGCGAGCTCGAGCGCGTTGTCGCTATGCCGCTGCCCGCGAAGGCTGAGGGTTTCGAGACCTTGGAGGAGTAGGAACGCCGCGAACGGATTCAGCGTTGCGCCGAGGTCGCGTAGGATCTCGACCCGGACCTTCACCGCAAACGCAAGGGGGCCGAAAGTCTGCGAGAAGACGAGGCCGTGGTAGCCCTCGGAGGGCTCCGTGAAGGAGGGGAACTTGCCCGAGCGCGTCCAGTCGAACTTGCCCGAGTCGATGACCACACCGCCGATGGTGGTGCCGTGGCCACCGATCCATTTCGTCGCGCTGTGGACTGCAGAGCGACGTTGAATTAGGGGGGCAACGTGGAGATAAGGGATGATGAAGCGTACCGACGATGTCGGCACCGAGATCTATTGGTCGGATGAGGTATCCGCCGATGCCGAACGTGTTGTCAACGATGAGAGGGATTCCGTGGTCGTGCGCAAGCTGATGAGGGATATATATGTCAAATTAACGTTTATCACGGTTTCCCAATGGGAGGTACGGACCTTGGAGATCGCGGGGATGTCAACGACATTGTACTTCGGGTTTCCGATACTCTCTACGTATATCGCCTTCGTCTTCTCGTCGATGGCACCCGCAAATGCCTCTGCGCCATCCCCATGCACGAACTTCACGCCTATACCGAACTTCTTGAAAAGCACTGGCGAATGACGGGACGGTAAGCATGGCCGAATAACGAGAAAAATCCCAAGTGGCTGTGATGCACTCACCCTTGAACTGGTTGTACGTTCCACCGTACAAGTACGACGTCGACACAATGTTGTCTCCCGCCCCCGCGATGGCAGCAACAGCCATGAACTGCGCCGCCTGGCCCGACGCAGAGGCGACAGCCGCAGCGCCGCCCTCGAGCGCCGCGATACGTTTCTCGAACACGTCGACCGTCGGGTTCCCGATGCGCGAGTAGATGTTCCCGAACGTCCTGAGGCCGAAGAGGTCCGCGCCATGTTCGGAGTTGTTGAAGACGTAGCTCGTCGTCGCGTAGATCGGCGGGGCGCGCGAGTTCGTGGTCGGGTCGGGCTCTTGCCCCGCATGCAGCTGCAGCGTCTCGAACTCGGGCTCTCTGCACGAAGGAGAGGGGTGAACCTCGTCAGCCGCGATCTCCGCCCAGTCCCCTGTAGCCGAACTCGCCTGTAGAAGTTGTTGATGGACATCGTTGCTGGTCAGCGGCCAGGTAGCAGGATATAATCGACCGAAAGATAATCTGCAGACGATATCATGGCAGGGTATATGTACTGTGCCTTGATGTAGTCCATGGTCAATATGGCGTGCTGAGCGGACGATCATCACGCAATTCGCTGTGATCATGAGCGCTGCGTTGGGCGAAGGAACCTTGGGCGACCGGTCGCGGTCACGGTAGTAGGTAGGTAGGTAGTATTACCCGGCGCGGTCCCAATACCGGAACAGCCGGTTCCCGAGGCCTCGCTTTAGCGAGCTGGGACACAGTGGCCTCAACGGTTCCCGTCGGCTCGTGTAGAGCTAACACACCGTCTCGGCCAAAGTGTGCATTACAATACATGAAAGTCTATCTATAGTACCTAACATCTGTAAGCTACTCTTCAATCTCTGCGAACAATTCTGCAAGCTCCCGCTGTTCGTCGTCATCCTCATTGTGGTCGCCTGAAGTCTGTAAGTCCGAAAGTCATTCGACTAGTGTCCGCTCTGAACTCAAAGTCTGATGGGGCACGATAGAAAATCATGGAACAGGTACTGCTCCTTAGTTAGTTATCCTACAGCTCACGATCACCCCGAAAGATCCGGATGCATGCTTTCCGATGTACACGACAATCTGTATGATAATCGCAGCGGGAGAGCAGTTGACCAAGGGGACGGACGATCCATATTTGCGGCCTGAACTCGCTCTTTCGCTCTTGCAAATCGTCAAGATGGCGACTGGATGACGAAGAAATGATGAGCCCAGGCTTGTTCTGCCGGACCCTCGTATGCTATCCTGCTCCAGCGAACGTTATCCCCGAACACGGGACTCTGTCAAGATGGCGAGGGGGGAGCTCGGCTTGCGCACTATTGCAAACGACTTCCCAGCTCGATCTTTTGAATGGAATGCGCAGGGTTCCGATGCGAGGGAAGAACAGTTTGATGAGTGCGTGGATAACATCTTGTGTCTGGGACCCGAGGGGGTCCATAAAATTGAAAAAACGCCAACAAAGACGCGGGTGTCGGTCGACCTATTTAGGTTGTGAACAGTGAGCGTCCAGAACGCCAAATCTCCGCCATCCAAAGTTTCATCATAATCATGAAGGTATCTCACATACGCGGATCGTTTCATTCTGTATGTACATCGCGTGCAACACTTGGATAACTGTGACCTCTTTAGACTTCTACGGTTCAGTAACCGCCGGTGCTGGCTTGAGGCATCAGTCCCCAAGACCTTCACGGCAGGACCTTCAACGCCTCCTCAAAGTCGGCGATGATATCCTTGATGTTCTCGATGCCCACCGAGACCTGATGTATGAGTTAAACACTCTTTCAGTCTTCAAGGGCATCGATCATGCTTACGCGGATGAGTTCGGGCGTAACACCGCACGCCAGTTGCTCCTCTGGTGTCAGTTGCTCGTGTGTGGTCGTCGCGGGGTGTATCACAAGGGTCTTCGCATCACCTACGTTCGCAAGGTTGCTCGCCAGCTTGAGATTGTCCACGACTCTGCTCCCCAACGTCGCATCGCCTTTGACGCCAAAGTTGAGCATGCCGCCGAAAGCGTTCTCCCTGAGTAGCTGCTTCGCCAGCGCGTGCGTCTCGTGGCTCTCCAGCCCGAGGTAGCTGACCCACGCGACCTTCGGATGCTTCTCGAGCCAGCGGGCGAGTTCCATCGCGTTATCACTGTGTCGCTGCCCGCGCAGGCTGAGCGTCTCAAGCCCTTGCAGGAGCAGGAACGCCGCGAACGGGTTCAACGTCGCGCCGAGATCGCGCAGGATCTCCATCCGGACCTTGACTGCGAACGCGCGCTCGCCGAAAGCCGCGAAGTTGCGACCATGGTAGCCCGGCGCGGGTTCGGTGAACGACGGAAACTTGCCCGAGCGCGTCCAGTCAAACTTGCCTGAGTCGATGATGACGCCTGCAATGGTGGTGCCGTGCCCGCCAATCCATTTCGTGGCGCTGTGTACTGGAATGGAATGATTAACTTCCTTGTGGCGTAAACTATGAGGTGAGTATCCTTACCAATGATGTCGGCGCCGAGGTCTATCGGCTTGACGAGATACCCACCCATGCCAAACGTGTTGTCGACGATCAAGGGGATCCCGTTGTCATGAGCAAGCTGAAGTAGGAATACCAGGTGAGTCGTCTTCCACGATGTAGGAACGTGCTTGGCGTACCTTGGAAATCGCTGGAATATCGACAACGTTGTGCCTCGGATTGCCGATGCTCTCCACGTATATGGCCTTCGTCTTTTCATCGATGGCGCTCGCAAAGGCCTCTACACCGTCGCCGGGCACGAACTTTACGCCGATGCCGAACTTCTTGAAGAGCACTGATAGTTGAGGGTGAGCATCGTAAGCACGCCTGTGATGAACGCAACGTGCTGCGAGACGCTCACCCTTGAACTGGTTGTACGTCCCCCCGTAGAGGTATGACGTCGATACGATGTTGTCCCCGGTGTCCGCAATCGCTGCCACCGCCATGAACTGTGCTGCGTGACCGGAAGCGGTAGCGACGGCTGCCACGCCGCCCTCCAGCGCCGTGATGCGCTTCTCGAACACATCCACGGTCGGATTGCTGATGCGCGAATAGAAGTCGCCGGCCGTGCGCCCCCCGAAGAGGTCTGCGCCGTGCTGCGAGTTCTTGAAGACGAAGCTCGTGGACGCGTAGATCGGCGGAGCGCGCGCGTTCGTTGTCGGATCCGGTTCCTGCCCCCCGTGCAATTGCAGAGTCTCGAACTCGGGTGCCCTGGAGTAAAGAGGGAGCCCTGCCTTTAGCGGGAACGCCTAGAAGTCCTACAGTTCAACTCGCCTGTAGAAGTTGTGGGTGGCCATGGTCGCGTTTCGGTGGCTAGTCAACGAGGAGATGGCCTTCAAACGGTATACAGCCGGGCTATTTGAATCCTGAACCATGAGAGTGCATGTACTTTGCACAGAACATGTTGGTAATGGTGGTGTGTGTGAAGACACATGGGTGCCTGTAGACTGTTACGACAGCTGAGCGATCTCAGCACGCGTTTGACGTTCGCGTTCTTCGCAGTACAGGCCCCGCGAAGACACTGCTGACTTAGACGAATACGCGCGAAGGCGCCATCCACTGTGCTCGGGGGTTGCTAGTCGCAGAGCACAGTGGACACCGCGTCGCCTGCCGTCGCCGCCGCCGCCGTTATGGATGACCCGGGCGGTCGAGCTTGGTACCCGGTGTACTTTGTGAACGCCACGAAGCAGACGCTGAGAGACCGTCTTATATATACATCCTTCCTTCTCCCGTTTGGTGAGAGTAAGGTACGCAGTCAAGCCCTGGAACCTGACAACCAGATCTTCAATGAGAGTAAAGGGGGTGGGCTGCCGTGTAGTCGCATTAGTCCATTCGCGCTGCGTCGTTCCACCGACAGATCACAGGCGACCATCTGGTACACACAGAGCGCCGTTAGTGAGGCATCCGGGAGGTCACCCGCTCGCGGAAGCTCGGGGAGTGAATGATTCGAAGACATCTGCACGTAACCGTGGCGTCTCGCCGACCACTGCTGCTCTACCCAAGGTTATCCCCGGCGACACCATGTCTCAGGATGGCGAGAGTGAGTGAGCGGGAGGTCCCATGCTCGTCTTCCGCCGTCCTGACTCTCGTAATATTGACTATGTCCGGCAGAGAAGGGGTGAAAAATGGAGCAGTCATGTCCAAGAACTAGATGGCGATCGCGGGACGAGACAAGCAGCGTTTGGTGTACGTGCCCTCCCGTCTTCCACCTCTTCGTCCGTTATGTATTGGTGCCACAATTCTGTGCCAATGCTTTGCGCCCCGCCAATGAGTCGAAGGCCAAGCTGGACGCCGTCAAATCTTGTGTTGACATGGGACCCTATGAGCAAACGGTATATCTGCACCATATGGAGCTGACGCGGGTTTCGACTTCATCAGAACGGACTTCATACCACTACAACGCACCCCCAAGCAGCAATGTCCTTGAAAACTGCACCCTACGGTACCTGGCAATCCCCAATATCGGCAGAATCGCTGTTTGTACAGGTGTGGACTAGCGTTGCCACTACGCTCGGTAGTGTAGAGGCTAACAATCTGCTCGGATGATCGCGCACGCTATCTGCGGGTTGTATAGTCTATCTCGTTCGACAATGTGCTCGTTGATGAAGTTACCGGCAAGATATACCTCATCGAGAGTCGACCGTCCGAGGATGGTCGCAGTGTCGTCGTAGACACGGCTACCGGAACCGACCTCGTTGGTCCCGGATGGAATGTCCGCACCGGCGTTCAGGAATACGGCGGAGGCCCTGCCATCGTCTATAATGGGATCCTCTACTTCTCGCACTTCGTTGATAATCGAGTATATGCGGTCAAGTCAGGCGAAGAGCCTAAGGCGATCACACCAGGTCAGTTCCGCGATCATTCGTGGTGCTATCCGAGCCTTAATCTCGCGTAGACAACAAGAACCACCGCTTTGCGGATTTCGACGTCTACCCTTCCCTGAATGGTTCTCCCATCCTCGTCGCCATCCTCGAAGATCATACCAAGCCTGCCCCTGCGGACGTTGTGACGTCTTTGGTTATCATCGACGTTGATACATCCACCGTCTCTCAACTCGTCTCCGGCATCGACTTCTACTCCAGCCCGCGCTTCTCCCCCGACGGTACCCGTCTGGCATGGCAGCAGTGGTCCCACCCTGACATGCCTTGGGAAGGCTCCGAAATCTTTGTTGCCGACGTACACATTCAGTCTGGCTCGGCTTCGCCAGTAACCCTTGACACGCCGATACACGTCGCTGGCAAGAAAGGCGAGATCAGCGCGGCCTATCCCACCTGGACGAAGCACAACACCCTCTTCTTCACCAGCGACGAGGGCCGCCTACGTTTCCAAAATCCTTGGGCGTACGCGTCCGGGACTGCCAAAGCGCTACTCAAGGAGCCTCTCGATCAGGACTTCGGCCAGCCGCAGTGGTTCTTGGGCTGGCAGTTTGGCGCTGCGCTGGACGACGCCGGCAAGTTTTTCCTGTTCTCCGCGAGCAAAGAGGGACGGGACGTGCTTCAGCTCGTCGACGCCTCCACGGGGACCTCGAAGGAGATCGACGGCCCGTATGCCGAAGTCGTCTCGCTTCGCCGTGCGGGGACCAACAAAGTGGCGGTAGTGGGCCAGAGCATCAACGCGCCGACGTTCCTTGGCTTGGTCACGTTCGACGAGGGGCTCAACCCGTCATTCGTTACGATTAGGTCCACCTCCTCGGGCGAAGAATTGTCCGAGGGTCTGCTTGCGAAACCGCAACCTATCACGCTGAATATCCCTGGAAATGAGCTATGCCACGTCATTTACTACGCGCCGACGAACCCCGATTACTCCGGGACGAGTATCGAGGGCGAGAAGCCGCCGTGTGTGGTCGGCGTTCACGGCGGACCGACTTTCAGGACTGGACAGGGATTGGACAAGGCGAAGCAGTTTTGGACTAGCCGTGGCTGGGGATGGTGAGATTCGACGCTGTTCTCGAAATTGCCCGCTCATGGCTGACGGGATGTTGCAGGCTGGACGTCAACTATGGTGGCTCATCTGGCTACGGTCGTGACTATATGTGAGCACGTTGCTCGATGTTATTACTTGGTGTTCTTACCGCCCACGGCGTCAGTGATCGTTTGAAGGGCCAATGGGGGGTCGTCGACGTCGCAGATTGTGTGGTCGCCGTACAGTTGTTGTCCCTTGCGCCATACTCCTTGATCGATCCTCGGCGCCTTGCCATCCGTGGCGGTTCTGCCGGCGGATACACCGTTTTGCAAGCGCTCACGCACCCTGATCCGGAGTGGGCGAAGGTATGGGCGGCGGGCACGAGCATGTACGGCATCTCAGACCTCAGGGGTTTGGTGTCGGACACGCACAAGTTCGAGAGCCAGTACATGTACAAGTTGTAAGTCGGAACCACTGCGTGATTCATGTTATGGGGCGCTGACGTTCTTTCAGGATGGGCGGCACGTTGGAAGAGATACCTGAAGTGTACGAGGAGCGTTCGCCAGTCGAACATGCGGACCGGATTGTGGCCCCGCTTCTGGTGAGCACGTCATCGTAATTCATCCCGTAGCACTCGCTGAATGCCCCATACCTCATAGATCCTTCAAGGACTCCTTGACGCCGTCGTGCCGCCAGCCCAGGCGAATGTAATCGTTCAGAGCATTGAGGATCGACACGGACAAGTTAAATACGTCCCTTTCGAGGGCGAGGGACATGGGTGGAGGAAGGCAGAGACAAAGGTGGCCGCGTTGAATGATGAACTTGCGTGGTACCAGGACGTGTTAGGGCTGAAGCAAAGCGAGTGAAGGTTGCGGAACGACAAGCTCACTGCTGACTGCGTACCGAATCCAAACTTGCCGTGATCGCACAAAGACGCATGCTCAGATTCCGATGTCCCTTTGTTCTCGTTTCCACGAGTGTTCATCTTCCGTATGTGCTTGTACACGACTCTCTGAAGCATTGAAGTAGAGCTTATGTATGGCAACGTTCGCGTGAGCCTTGAAGCAAGCGCAGGGCCGAGCGCCTGCTCGCGAAGAGTGGATAGTACAGATGTATTATGAGTGCGTACTACCTACGGAAGATATCCTCTGCGACTACATTAGAACTTTGCCTCCCAACTGACCCCGCAACCGCATCCCGAGCCCTTGGCTTGCGGATTGTCCACAACACGGAACGAAGACCCAATCAACTCGGTCGCATAGTCTATCGTTGATCCTAGACAAAGATCAGACACATGCATCGGTTCGACACGTTGTGAAAGTGGGTGTACGAACCCTTCAACAATGCGAGAGAGACTGCGTCGACTACGACCCGCGCGGATCGGACCTGAGGATGCTCGAAGACGCTGCATGCATTCATTCAGTGGCGGATACGATACATACACGCAACAACTCACTAGTCTTCCGGCTGCTTTCCCTCCGATAAATAGGCAAGGTCCATCTTATATTGATAGCCATGACACCCGCCTGCCTCCACCGCAATGCGGAGGGCAACATCATCCACTTTCTCTCGCTGACTTATCTTCCGCAGTTGCTGCCGAGCGAGCTGTCAATCAGCGTCGCGACAGTATGCATGCGTACGAACGCTTACCTCGGCAGCCCTTTCCGTGAGCCCGATCTTCGCCTCGGTTTCGGGTATTGGCTCGACATCAACTTCTAGATCTTCCAACGCGTCGGCTGTCGGGGCAGACGTAACCCTGCACTGTTGCGCAGGTGGGTGTGTGGCTAGCGCGGCGCGAGCCGAAGGTGTGGTGGAGAATTCGCGAGACCAGTATATCTGAGAAGCAGAGCGACCATGCCGGGGTGCGATATACGATGCAACGGAGCCAGTGGGAGAGGTCGCTCCCCTACCAGTGTGGACAGTCAAAGTAGCTGAGTTGCTCGAATTGTCCTGCCTCGTCGCACTAGTCGAGGCTATGCTGCTGTGCCGTGCATGTCCGTGTAATGTGGTACGGGCCATGTCGAGGGGGGCGCTGGCGGCTGCAATATGGGAGCGGTACCACGCGAGGACAGGGGCCTTCGTGGCGCCCGATGCGTACGTCCTAAATGCAGCGAGAGACATTGCCTTGACGAGCAAGGTAACTTAGTAGTTGTAGATTCGAGGAAGGAGGAATTGGGTACGAGTGCAAGCGGCGATTCGCGAACCGAGTCTTGGTCAGTCATGTGTAAGCCTCACCGCTACGGCTGGGACGGCGTACCTGGAGTGCTATTCGACTGAGCTTTGGGCTCGAGATTAGTTCTAGTGAGCCTACGGATATATATTGTACAACATATGGTTACTCGGGAGTGCGGAGGTGCACGGAGTGCCGTGAAATCTATGACGAATTACACATCCCGCTTCGCTCAGGCCATAGCCTATAGCTCGCCTGCTTGACTCCCCGACTTCTTGTTTCACGCACAGTCTATATATTACACTGCTTCGACAAGGATATCAGTATATCTGCTCGCAGAAGCAAGCAAACATGGCAGCAGCAGCGTTCGTCCGGCATGGCAAGAAGGTACGCATCGGCGTCATCCTCTTCGTGCCCATCTCAATTGGACAGATCGTCGCTATAGGCAGGAACTATGTCGACCATGTGAAGGAATTGAACAACACCGTTCCGAAGGAGCCCTTCTTCTTCCTCAAGCCCACGTCCAGCTATCTTCCCTCAGGAGGCAACATCGAGATTCCCCGAGGTGTGGATGCGCACCACGAAGGTTAGTACCGGTCATACTGTTGCTTCTAATTGGAGATGTTGATGCACATGCGATACAGTCGAACTTGGTCTTGTCATCGGCAAGTCAGGGAGGGATATATCCCAAGCAAATGCCTTCTCGCATGTCGCCGGCTACGGTACGTAGGATGTATGTCACGCTATCACGGATCAGGCTCTTACTACCCTCTCAGCTCTGGCTCTGGACATGACCGGTCGCAACGTACAAAACGAGGTGAAGAAGAAGGGATTACCATGGACCACTGCAAAGGGCTTTGACACCTTCACCCCGATCAGGTAGCGTACCCCACAACACTGCATACATACAGGAAACAGCACTGACGCCCTCGTATCCAGCTCCTTCATTCCAAAAGATGCCGTTTCCGACCCGCAAAATCTGCGTCTCTCCATGAAGGCATGCATATATACCCTCATTGAAGCAACTCGTGACTGAAGCTCCTCATCATCCCAGGTGAACGGCATCATCAAGCAAGACGGCACGACGGCCGACATGATCTTCCCCATTCCCCGCCTCATCGAGCACATCTCCTCCATCATGACCCTCGAAGAGGGCGACCTCGTCCTCACGGGTACACCCTCCGGTGTAGGTCCTATCGTACCCGGGGACCGTATCTCTTGCTCGTTGGCGGACAAGGATGGCAAGGAGATTGCCAAGCTCGACGTCGGCGCCGTGCAGCGGGAGGGTGGTTATAGCTTCAGCCCTTGAAGTACCTCCGTTGCTAAATCGTAGGGCGAGGACGCTGGGTTTGCATGGAGAAATAACAAAAACCGAAATTGAATCATATGATGCATTCGTCATACGCTATTATACCAATGACTACGAGTCTCCGCTACTCACGGTGACCTTGCGCGTGTATCTCCAAGTCGTTCATGGATCTGTGCGACAGTCAGACGAGGCAGACGAGCGCGTTTATCCCAGGCGTGACAGGGCGCTGACACGAACGTCTCGCGTTCTCGTCACGCTTCTCGCTTCAGCTTGCCCCTTCGCTAAGTTCACGCCCACTTGAACAGCTAACGCCTGCCGTGTCCCCCCTCGTTATGTCGAGCAAAATACCTTGGGAATCTGTCAAAATGCTCACGCTCAGGAGTCTGTGCCAAGAGATCGGTGCGCCGCACTGGGGGGCCATGCGGAAAGACGAAATGATCGCGTTCCTCCAGGCCGCCAACGAGAAGGGAGGTGAGTGAATCTCGAAAGCCCTTCGCAGTCGTTTGGGACGAGGGGCGTTATTGATCGTGTGCTACATCGCGCAGTGGAGGCCGCTGCGAAGGAGATGCCCACGCCCGCCAACATCGAGACGCGCGCGGATGGCACGTCCGTCAAGCGCAAGGCGGCGCCGAAGGAGGAGCCCTCCGTTCTCGTTGGAGGAAGCGAGACGCCGTCGGCCAGCACGCGGAGCAAGCGGGCTAAGGCGGTAATTCAGACGAGGAGCTCGAGCACGAAGGCGGCCAAGGCTAAGGCTGAGAAGGACGCGGCCAACGGCGTTGGTAGGAAGCCGGCGCCGAGGAAGAAGAAGCGTCCTGCGAAGAAGGTGGAGAAGACAAGCATCAGCGACGACGAGGACGCCGAGGGAGAGGACGTGGAGCCGTCTGACGCGGAGGCGGATGCGGAAGGCGAGCCGTCCCAGGAGGCGCCGAATGATGATGCCATGCAGGAGGACGTACCCCCTCCTTCTGGTAGGTTATCCTTATTTGTCGATACTCATACGTGTGGTCTGACCGTGGAGCAGCCTCTGCAGAAACGAATGACGCTACTGCCACTGACGACGGTGCGTGTTTCTCCTCTGCCGCTTGTACCTCCTGTTTACGAGCTCTTCCTGCATGTACTCGGCTCCGCTCTCACACTGCCCATAGATGTAGCCGGAAGTGGTGTTGTGCAGGATGCATCGCCCCCTGAACCCGTTACTGTCGTCGAGACTACGGCCACCGAGATGGTTGTCGATCCCGCTGGGACATTTACCGCTTCGGAAACCACGCAAGTCGTAGTCCTCACCAACGAAGACGCAACATATGCAGTTGCTGCAGAAGGCACATCGACGACCCCCGCTGCATGAAAAACGCGAACCGATGCGATATGACGACTCTCTGTTGTGAAAATTCGTACTTCATCGACAGGGTATATATTTGGCCATCCTTCCCCGGCTCCATTGCGCTGCTTTATATATGAAAATAATAATACGATCACAATTCAGGTGTTTCCTCTCGCGCAGGCGAGAAGCCATTCCTGGATTTCTGCGACGCGATAAACCTTCTTCCTCAAACGTTTTTAGGTTTCTGGATTGTGTGCGGATACCTACCGCTCTCGACCGAGTTGCGTTGTCATGTGGCCTGAACGCGAATCACGTCTCACCAATAGGATAATGAAGCCTGAGGCCCGAGGTCCTACAAACATTCCAGATCCCAAGAGCATCATAGAGGCCAGTATGTGTACCGTGGAGTCGAACGGACTACCGTTAACCAATGCATCTCCCGTTCATCTGACTCATGAAACTCGTTGCCACGCTTCGAAGGAAACGTTGCTTGCACGAGGCCAGTGCTTCGCACCGCCTCCAGGCGTCGTGGATGGCAGCCCTATTACCCAAAGGGCGGGAATAGGACCATTGTCCGCAACTGATATTCACACTCAAGGGTGAGGCAAGCTTTGAGATTCGCCCCATCTCCAGTCGCCGCTACCTTCCGCGCGGCAAACATTTTCTCTTTTTTCCGGTTACACGACATGCCTACGAGTCGTGAATCTTTGGAACGTGCACCAGCAGAACACGGGGAGGATATGTCACCTTCCCAGGTAGAGTGTGCTCGCGGATGGAAACGGACAGTATATATTGCTAACGTCCCTCCCGTCGTCAGGTTCGCCAGTCAAGCAGGATCCCGTCCACAAGGGAACGTGAATCTAGGCGAGAGGATCATTCTCGAGATGACCGTGGCCATCGTGGGCGCAGAGAAGATAGCGTCAGACCGTATAGTCGCAATACGGATGGGATCAGCGCCTCGGAAGTCGCCAAGTCAGCTAACCTTCTTATTTTTTTCCATTGGCGAACGCATAACTCATTCATCCAGTACTCATAGACCGACCCAATCGCACCGCTCTCGGACAGAAAATGCCGAGGCACGCCATCCGTACGTGTCGCTTGTACCTGAGCGATGGTCGTTTATCAACATGTCTGTAGACTCGTTACCAATGGTTCTCGAGATATCGTGGACACGGGGTATGTTGTCCAACACACGCTTAAAGTATGATCTTCTGACATTTGGCTTGTTTGTGTCAAAAGCGCACCTGCTTCAACCACAAGAAGCAGAGGGCTCTTGGGAATGGGGGCAGGAGTCATACGGTGGATCAGCACGTCGAACACCAGCGAAGCTCCCGATGTTTCGGGCACAGGAAGACCAGACGAGGCCAGTAGTCAACTTCAGCAAGCGCTTCGCCGTATCAAATCGCTGGAAAACCGAGAGAAAGACCTGACCGCGAAGCTTGCAGCTCGTGACGAGCAGTATGCGACGGAGGTTTCGCGGTTGGAGTATCAGAGCCAGCGTACAAAAGGCGAAACGGAACAGTATCGGAGCGAAATCGCGAGACTACGGGCAGACCTCGTCCAGGCGAAGGAGGCCCTCGCCAGGCGGCAGGACGTTGCGTTGGACACGTTCAATGTCACCGCGGACCAGGTGTCAGAAGCCTACCTCCTATCCAGTGGTCCTTACAGCCTACAGGTCATCAACAACGCAATCGACGACATGGTCCAGAACATACTGGTCGATTACGAGAAACTTTCCCATTCGCAATCCCACTCGACATCCGTAGACACTCCCCCGCCTCCCACTGATTGTCATCCCCTCTTATCTCCGTTTTGGACCATGAAAATGGACTCGGAATCGAGGGGACTAGTACTCGATGCGCTCCTGCATCATTCGGTCGTCCGATTCCTTGAGGGGACTGTTTTCAGCTTTGGGGTCGTACCCGCACACTTCCAGTATGATCCGTTTGCGTCGAGGATCTACGAAAGATTACGAGAGCAAGGTGCGTAAAAGAAGCTGCCGCATCTTCCAGGGTTTAATATATGAACGTTCTCAGAGCCGTGGAGCACCACTCAACGATGGAAATCCCTCTCCGTAGCCGGCGCAGTGAGCGTATGGAAGCCGGACTTCGTCACGCCAATATCCAACGCAGCGAGAGATATCATCGCAGCCTTCGCATGCGCTAGCAGGACAACTCTGGAATTCTTCTACCCGCTAGCTCCCAAAATCGAGCAAGAAATACATCGTATATGCTGTCTGGCTTATCAGCTATCCGTTGCGGTCAAGCGTGATATAGTGTCCGTTGAGCTGACCGTAACGTGCTCCAGGTTATTCCTTCGTCCTGTTGACAATCAGCTTGCCGAGCTACAGTGGGATATGGGTGCGCAGCCGGGTGATATGGTCATTGGCGACTATAGCTTAGGGCTGACAAAGACCACCGCGGAGGGGCAATCGACAATCGCTGTACTGCCGAAGGTCGTTACCACCGCCTTGCTGCGTTATGCCGACCAAAACCAGGCTGCTTAAGATGTGACCATTGGAGTAGCATAGTGGTTTCAGTCAAATAAAGGTACATGTTATCGTGCTCGTTGATTTGGAGAGTGACTATGATCATCAAGATAATGCTGTCCTTGCTCATGTTCAGTCATAAGCGACGGTGGCGGGCCCATAATGGTAACCAGTCTATCGTGAGGTCAGTCTGCTGTCCAAGATGCCGCATTCTTACGGAGAATGCTCACCCCAACCTGCCACCGGATACGGGCACTCAGTTCGGTGCCTCCCATGATCAAGCAGATATCGAACTGTTCTTGACATGTCAACGCTGAGGGGTCGCCTTGAGAAGGCTACCGCTACCCACAGAGACTTCCCGGTACCATGTAGAGCCGTGTGGTGACCTTCTCTTCGGAGAGGACATAAATGGGGTCCTAAGGTCGGCGTTCACGGTGCAGATCTTATCAAAGCCTCGCATGTAGTCGGTTTGGCCTGCATCATGATGAGGATGCATGTTTCAAGCAGGAATGCGAAAAAAAATCCACCAGGTAACGTCATGAACTTCGGAGGAACACTTCCACGATATGCATAGATGGCATAGGACCTTTGGAAGTTTAGTGCATTGTTGTCGATATACGCGTGATAAGTCTGAACAAATTCCTTGGTAGAGGCGACTGCGTGACCCTAAATCATAGACGGTGGTTATTTGATTAGCTGATTGTTATACGAGATGCTCACCTTGGTGAGGATAGTACTCCACAAATTTTTGTGCTCGAGCGTCCCCTTATAGTAACTGATGTAAGCCTCTGCTGCCCTTTCTACGTGAGCCGGGTCCGCGTGGTCATAGGGGGTGATGATTTCGATCCCATAATAGTTTTTTGATACACGTGCAGTTACCACGTCGTCGATGTGCCAAGCCAATGCACCATTGGCGACAGCTTTTGTCCTGCCCAGAAGTTGTCAGAGGAAATTATGGAAGCGGGAGGGCTTTACATTGGTCCATCTGGTCGACTGACGGAGATACCGTAGCTCCGAGCCCACCTAGATATCTCGCTGTAGATATAGGGGGAGCTAGCCAGTCCCCCGACTAGAATAACGTTCTGGTACACCTGCGTTACGATGCGGAGACTGATCGTAATGACTCATCTACTCACGTCCGTGACTTGCCCTTGATTATCGATCGCGATCTCGAGGCCTTCCTTGATGGCCTTGAGAGAGGCAGCGAAGAGCGACGCCATGTCCTCTCCGGGAATTCTGAGGCGCCCACGCAAGACTCCAAGTTCAGCCACAGATTTGAAACCATCCAGTTGAACCCAGGAAACATCGCTCGGATCTGCGAACTGAGCAGATCCCGATGTTGGTGTGAAGGACCATCGCCATCGTTATTGACTCACGATCTTTTTGGCGTTCCGGTCGAAGTGCTTGACGGCTTGCGCGATAGACTCTGGATTGTCCCACTGAGAGTCCTTGAGACGTACTATTTGTGCATGCTCAACTATGAGTGATCATGTAGCGACTTGCAACGCCGTGACAAACCTCTGATGTATGCGTCGAAGGCTTGAGTAACAAATACCGCTCCGGCCAAGTAACCTACGTAGCAGAGCCCCCGTTAGTGCTGGCGCTCAGATTGCAAAGGAAGAGGGGATGCCTACAGCGCGATGCTGCTGATTCTTGCAATCGTAATGGTCCGATCTTCTGGATTTGATATCGAATGATATCTATCGTGCCGCCTCAAAACATGGAGATAATTGAAAGCCATATTCGTCAAAGAAAGCATGACAGCTACCTCCGCAATCGCAAAGAACGAGATTCGCGTCCGGCTGTAAGACAACCATTCAGCTGACAGGAAGCTGAGCAATGATACAGCCCATACCACTAGCCAGGAACCTATGCATCCGCTCTCTATGGAGTACAATATAGCTGCCTAGGGCGGATTCAATATCCTACAGCCACTGGGTTGTGCATGAACGGAGGACGTACTTCAGCTTCCGTGACGAATCGAACTCTGTTGCTACCGCCGGCGTCGACAAGATCAGCATTGATAGCAGCTTGCCTCATACGACCTTGCTGTCGACCCTCCCACCCATTGGGTGTAGTAAGGACGAGGGACAACGAGGAATATAAGCTAGTCCAAAGCATAGGACCATCAGCATACACAGTCGAGATGTATTCCTGCAGCTGTTCTTTCACATATCCCAAGTAGTGTGAGAATATGTCATCGGCAGTCAGCGTTCCGGTGAGCGGCTTCAGCACGAGGTCCTTCACGAGTGGCAGGTGAGATGGTCGAAGATGCATCTTCCACCACTCCGCGCGCGTCCATTGTTGCATTTCGGCTTCGAGAAGCATATCATCGTTATCGGTCTCTGCGCCGAAAGCCTTCGGGTTGCCATTACTGTCGTAGTAAACTACCGACGGAACTTTTCCATCGGGTGTTACCTGATGATATATATCAGATTAATGTCCCTGCTTCAAGGACAGATGGATGATATCTACCTGTCTTGCCCAACGCAGGACCTGCGGGCGGAATGTCAGCACACCTCCACCTCGTCGTTGAACTGAATATCGGGTACGCACTTCCTCGAATTTGGGTACCTTGCCCGGTTGCAAAATACAGAAGGATGCAGCGCTGTAGGTAGTCCCAACGTCGATGGAGATTACCAGCCTCTTGGCCAAGCCATCGTACGGCTTGCGTGTCGCATCAGCCATGGTGTAAGAGGGCGAGGGGGCCGGTCACCGCATGCCATTGTCAATTGCCATGCTACTAGGCCACCTCGTTTACGAGACACGTGATCGATGTCGGTAGTCGATATTCTGAAAATGGACTGTGTATTCCTTAATCGAGCGAGTAGCCTACATGTCCGCCCACGCTTCTTTCCATCGCGAGCAACCGCTCTAACATTGCGTTGCCTCGAGGATTCAACGTGGCCCGAAACGCGTCTTCTTTCATCCAGCGTAAGCCATGCTGCAAGATGTTCCGCGCTCGTGTTGAACCGCCCCTTGTGTCGCCCATGCATGCGTGCAGGGTCGCTCGTCGTTCGTGCGATTTGTACGTCCCACAGTGCAAGATGTTATTGTTATAGAATACGGTCTCGCCAGCTGATCGTGATGGAGGAAGCGGAATCACGTTAGCTCAAGATTAAGAAGTCAGGGAATCACGGAGGTCCTTACGTTGGAGAACGACCTGCACTGCACCAGGCATCTCCGATGGATCGTCCGGCGGCGATTGCGTCGCGGACTGAGCTCGCTGTTCAGGCGTCCGGGGAAGCTTGTGGGATCCGGGTACCACGTAAAGGCATGAATCCTGATACAGGGCACTGAATCTGGTCAGCAGGGGGCATGCCGATTGGAGATTGCGCGTACTCACGTATTCCACTGGACCTACAAGGAAGGCATTGAGTATCGATTAACGTGAAGATGTCTGACGTACTCCATGGTCCCAGACAGAGAGTGCAGCTCGCTCCTCTTCCTCCGATGCGGTCTCTTTCACGTCATCTCTGTGCCAACGAAGGGCGAATTCGTGCGAGAGCGGATTGATAAGCAGATTGAACAGCTCTGATTCGTGGTGAGCCACAGAACGCGGCAAGGCGGCAGCGGGACATACCCATCTGCAGATCCCCTTCCTCGCATTCCAGCAACTCCGCGGCCGCATGGACTAGTGGATCGGACGTGTACCACTAGAAGAAAATCCGTTACGTCACGCATACACGCCAGTTCCACGGAGACACGCACCTTCGCAAAAGCAGGCTCGTGTAGATCGGGATGCATGACATGTTGTACTCCCCATGAATCTGGGTTCGTCTCGGTGTCGTACGGGGGGAATTGTTTCCCAACCTGCAGTCAAGCGTTCAGCGCCGTCGTTCAGGTTAGGCGAACACAAGAACTTACCACTCGTCTGTGCGTCCACAAACCTGCTCTGGTCTTTGCGATCACCCGTTCACACGCTGCCTCTAGCTCAGTACGATCCTCGGCGGGTATCAAACCGGGGATGATCACGAATCCATCTTTCGCGTAACGTTCCTTCAGCGATGGTGTGGAGTCCATTATAGAACTTGAGATACAAAAGGTTGGCGAATGAGCAGACGCGGTGTCCTGATCAGTGATAGAGCGAGATAGAGCTGCATGCTGCGCTTCGCGGGCTTTCCGGATTCATCCAGCGGCGGAGTCACGGATAGACGGCATGAGGTTGACATTGTTGCCTTGCACTTGCAGAAGTATCGTTTCAACCATGAAACCAAACGCGATAGCCATGACTTTCTGGAACTGTCGCAAACGGGAATGTAGACCGTGAGGTGGTTGAAGGAGCGACTGCGAGTGTGTGAATATACTCGCGGCGCGGCTTCTTTCTGCGCTCATCATGTACTGAGAGTACTCTACATTTCACATTCTTGCGAGCGAGCGCTGCCTTTTCCTTCCTAAGTATAATTCATCGACTTCTGCCGCATTCAAGCTGTATTTGATGGCATGTCTGTCAGATCATGGACTCATCGGAGGATACATGCGGCCTATACACCGATAAACGCGCCGGCTGGGGAGGATTTGTTATGCTCGAGTTGAATCCTAGTTCACTAGCCTCCGCGGACCGGAACGTGGGAGCAGACGAGGGTCATTGCGTGCTTGAAAAAGGTAGCGGGACCATGGAAACAAGCCAGCGTCAGCGTCAGAAGCCTAATGGAGGGCGGTTTGGACAATAACATATTGTTTATGTAGCTGCCTTTGTTACTGATGGCGACGGCACCGTAGGCATAGATTTATTCTCAATTGAAGGCAATGTTCGTTTCGCAAATCCGTCTACCATTCGAGGTGCTGCGAACACCCTGTAGTCCAGATGCGTCTTCTTCGACGCGGGTGAACTTGTAGGGTTCTTTCGTCTCACCTGCATGTGAAAATGTACATCCGCGCACCACCCCTTATAATCTCAGAGTCAAACTCCAGGTATTTAAACCGGAGGACTGGCCAACTTGTCAGGCAACTCAGAAACTCACAGTCACCGATCATCATGGACGCCATCAGGAGCCAAACCCAAGAGCAATGCGAAAGCATCTCTGACGTCTTGCCTATCAGTCAGTTGCTCGACCGCGTTCACGACCACCTAGGCTGACATGACTCTGCCGTAGCTATCCAAGCGCTTCTACCGTCTGTCTTGGCAGCGAAAGGCACGATCACAAGTGTCGAGCGCAAGACGTTCAAGTACGGGTCCACCGATCGCCACCAGGTAAGATGGGTTTTAGCGGTACTTATACTTGGTCCGTGAGAGTGATTGTTTGTGTAGCTCGATGTCTATTACCCTCCGTCTGGTTCGGCCGAGCCGAGCCCAGTCCTCTTTTGGGCCTACGGCGGCGGTTTCGTTCACGGAGACAGGATCCTTGAGCCGAGTCAAGGCCTCGTCTACGCCACCGTCGGCTCATTCTTCGCTCGCAAGGGCCTCGTCGTCGTCATCCCCGACTACCGTCTCGCGCCGGAGGCCAAATTTCCCGCCCAGTCCGAGGACATCCGCGATGCGATACTCTGGGTCATCAAGAACGCTGCCTCGCTGAACACGGGCAACGTCACTCTCGACGTGGACCGCATCGTGGCGTCGGGACACTCGGCGGGCGCGATCAACGTCGCGACGCTGTACTTGCATCCGGAACTCCTCGCCGGCACCGACATCCTTGCGCGCACCAAGGCCCTGGTCTTGGAGGCAGGAACGTATGCATTCGAGATCCCGGGCTTGCGCTCTGCGCTGCCTACGGATATCATGGAGCAGTACTATGGGACCGCTGACACCTACGAGACGCACGTCCCCCTGGGGTTGCTGAAGGCATTACCGGCCGACAAGGTGAAGGCACTCCCCCCGGTGCTGATCGTCGACGCAGAGAAGGAACCGACGTTCGTCGTCAAGAGCGAGGACCTGTTTAAGCAAGAATTGGAGAGGATCGATAGCGGTCGGAAGGTGGACAGGATCGTGGCGAAAGGTCATAACCATATCAGCGTCAACTGGGTGTTGGGCACCGGTGACGGCGAAGAATGGGCGGAGGAGGTTATCCAATGGCTGCGCAAAGTCTTCGCCTGATATGTTTGCACGCCTAAGAATGCGAAGGGAACTGGATTGTACTCGTGTGCTCGTACCGGTGTCGAGTCACTGTAGGCTACAAGAGGTGTATATGTTCGATGCGGATCGGTCCTGGTGAAACCTGGATAAACTGTTTGCCTCTGACGGAATTATATACATATTAACTGATTCAAACCTACGTACAACCGGCAAACTTGAAGCATCATACCCTTGCAAGCGACGTTTCTACTGTCCGTAATCTCTCCGGGTTCCTGACAGCGATGCGCAGACATTTTTCGAAGTCCTCTTTGGAAAGCCTGAAAGTATTGTATGCGTCGAGAAGAGGCGCCAAGTAGGGATGGCCTTGGCGTTCTAACTCGCTTTCATCGATAATCGCGTCTAGAGCCGCGGATTCTTTGTCGCACAGTGCGCGGATCTTGCACTTCCATCCCTCCCTCCACCGACGATCCTCTTCCCTGAGAGCTTGGGCCCGCTCTTTGGCAAACGATGTCGGCTGGATATCCAAGCATGCCAAAATCCGCGATACAGATATGAACAACGAGTTTGACGCGAGGTCCAAACCAGGGCAAATGCGTCGCCCGAAGCCAAAAGCATGGTGGCCGGCAGTGAGATCCGAGGACGATCCTCGCTGACCCCTGGCATTGATGGGCGGACTTTGCCCAGCACCCAGTCCAGAAGGGAGGAAACGTTCGGGCCGGAAACGATACGGGTCTGGATACAGAGCCGCGTCATGGTGTATGCCGTAAATATTGGGCAGCACCGTGCATTCCGCCGGAATACGGTAGCGTATCCTCGCGCCGTTCGGGTCTTCATACTCGATATCATCATCCCTGACGGATGTCGAGATGTGCGCGACGCCTGTACTACCCGTCGGGGTGAAGCGAAGCGTCTCGCGAATCACTGCTCGAACGTAGGGCATCTGCTCCATATGATCGAAAGACGGTAGATTGGCTGAGAGTTTAGGGACTGACTGATCTAGGATCTGATATGCAGACAATACCCTGTCAATCTCGGATCGAGCTCGTGGAACGAAGTCCGGGAAGCAGATGCAGGCCAGAAGGAACGTGTTTAACGTCATTGCGGTGGTCTCGGTTCCAGCTTCGAAGACAGTAGCTGCAAGATAGGCGATATCGTCAAGGTCCAGTCGTAGGGTATCTCTTGCGCTCAGCAGCTGAGCAGTGCAGCATTCCGCCACGTTTATCCTGCTCGACGAGGCATCGAATATGCTATCATCGACTTCGGTGATGCGACGTTGTACGTCGGCAACCAGTCCGCCGTTGATGGACATCTCGAAGTCATGAGCCTCTTTTAGCCTCCGTTTCCATGGGCTGATCCACATCGGCAAGATATCGAGGAACGGAAGGGTTTCCACCCAGAAGGCACCGGGTGTGGACGCGAGGGCAATGTTTTCGGATACTTTGGCGAGGTTTTTGAGGATCTGGTCATGACTAGATAGCGCCCTGCGTGCGTATGCGATCTGCAGAACGGATGAAGCCGTGAATCGTGATGTCAAAGCAGTCACGCCATCGACGGGCCTCTGATCCGTATCGCTGCAAGCGACGAGACCTTGAACGAGGAACAGACTCTCTTGATCCAACGCTTTGCGGTACGTGTTGTTGATTTTATCTTTGCCGAAGAGGCGAGCAAACGCTCGATGATGTCGTTTCCAAGTGTCGTCGTACGGCAGCAGCACAAGCCTTTTATCCTGACTAAGGTGCTTGCCTGCGGCGATAGACCTAGCTCGAGACGAGTAGGTCCCGCTCTTTCGCTCGAGCAGCTGAACGGCGAGTGCTGACGAGTTGACGAGGATTACCTCGTGTGTCGAGTTGGATGGCCTCCCGGAGAGCCCAAAGATGTTAACCGAGTAGCCGTATGCGATTCGAACGACAGGGCCAAATATGCGCCCGAGGAGCCTGTTGAACCGACCATCGTATCGCGGGAGATGCAAGTGACCGGTGAAGGCAGCCTTTTTGGGGCCCGGCGGGAATGGGGTTGACCGGAGATCAGGATCGCACCGAGTATGGCGTACAAAGGCGGCGTAGTAGATCACCCAGGTAAGTGCCAGAGCCGCCACCGCCGTTTGTAGCACGGAGGTATGCAGTGCGAACGGGAATCGCTCGACCTCCATCGGGCAAATGCGCGGCTCTATCAAGAAGTGGGGAACAACCTGCAATCGGCAACACACTTCGACTCGTGTTTCTGGCGATATTGAAACTTGCATACGCACCGTGAGGGTAAGTAGCTAGTGACCAGTGCCCTGCAAAACTACTTGGCGAAGTCTTTCACCGCTGGCACGTGTTTGCGTACCCATGACATCACGCGCTTTCGTGTGCAGGCGCTCACATCACCGAAAAGCACGTCTCCTACCCAGGGAACCGCCGCAGGCTCCTCAGATGTAGTGAGTATGTAGTCAAAACATATTTATTCGGTATAAAGCCGATGTGGACGAAGCCGGCTTCTCAAGAAAAGGAAGTCATCACCGGTATGGGAGAATCCAGAATCTCTATTAAACACCGCTCAGCTATTCATATCGCTGACGCACTCCCATCCACCCTTCAAGTTCTCCTTCCACAGCGTGACTTTCCCATCGCCGCAGCTGACGGCGAGGATGTTGCCTGCGAGACTCCACGAGACGCGCCAGACGACGTCGGGGAACTTTCCGGGTGAGCCGGTCTTGGTTGGCGACGGAGAGGGCGCGACGGCCGCGGAGGGGTCGAGCGCGGTCTTTTGCCAGGGAGAGGTCGGGGTGTCTTTCGTCCAAATGAGAACCGTCTTGTCCTGTGAGGCGTTTTTTATGTCAGAACGGCACAGATTGGCTACGCGCGATGCCGCACCTGCGAGGCGGTAGCGATGTAGCTCCTAGGCAAGCCAATGTTCGGCGCCCAAGCGACGTCGCGCACCCAGTCGGTGTGTCCTTCGAGCACCTCTTCCTCGATCCAAGACTGCGTGTCCTCTCGGTAGCCCCAGATCTTGACAAGGTTGTCGCAACCCGCGCTCGCGAAGCGCTTCACGCCCTGAGAGCTCGGGTTCGCGCCTGGCGGAGTCGGCTGCTGAGGCGCGATGAGCGAGCCGGGCTGCGTCGCGGGCGCCCAGGAGACTGCATTGCAGCCGATCGCGTGGCCGTTGAATATGTCTGCGCCCCATTGGCCATCGTCTGCCGAAGAGGAGGAAGGTCAAGCGGGTGCGAGGGTGAAGAAGTAGGGAAACGTACTTTTGAAGGATAGGACGGAGATTTTGCCGTCGGAGGAGGCGCACGCGAGCATGGCACCGAGCTCGTGGGGAGCCCAGGAGACAGAGTTCACTACAGGCACATGGTTAAGTATACTGGGGAAGCGGTAGAAAGGCATTTGCGTACCAGAGGCGCTGTGTAGGCTATGTTCCTTGATCTTCGTCCAGCCGCCCGGGTTCGGTCCTTGCCTAGGCTCCTCCTTCCAAATGAGAACTTTGCCGTCGTATGAGCAAGATGCGAGGATGTGTCCATATTTCGGGTGCCCCCATGCGACCTGCCACACAGGCCCAGTGTGCCTACGTGGCGAGTGAGTCGTTTAGCAGCAGGTGCGCATACTAGTGAATGTGTGACCCCTACCCCTTCAATGTTTGTCCGCCACCAGATCGTTGGGATTCGCCATCTACCACGTCAAAGACCCGTACGGTACGATCTGACGAGCATGTGGCGAGGCGTTTGCCGTAATAGTCCAGTTGAGCATCGTGCTGGTGACGGTCCAAGGCTTTAGTTATTCAGTAGTCTGATGGTGAGTAATGTGAGCATACGATCATGTCCTCGTGCATTGTCTCTATCGGAACAGGGTCGACGGCCATGCTGGGCAGCTACACCAGGGGAGAGACGAGAGACAACCCTGGAGAGACGGGCGTGAAGTGCTGGAGATGCGCGTAGCGAGCAAAGGTATATACGTAGCGGCTGTGGCGCTGTTCGCTCAAGCGTCCACGTCGGGCCTCACCGACTCGGTGGCACAGTCGGCAACTAGGAGCGGATCGTGTTCACCGCAAACATACTTTGCACCATGCCATACCATACCACACATGTATCGCCATGCATGAGACTAGCAAACTGCGGGTACTTGCCTTTCCAATCGCAACGTTGGAGATCGAGCCGCGCAACAAAACCGCAGTAATCCCAGCGCGACCCGTTCCCGCCACCGTGGCCGTCGAACAGCCCGTCGTCGACCGCTCAAGCTCTAAGGCCTATTCATGCCAAGTAGGCTATCAAAAAGGCCACGCGTAGGGCCCATGCAGCCCATGGACGGCATCTTCACGCAAAATATATGATACGAAGCACCTCAATGGCGGTGGAGCACAACAGCTTACGCAGCGGCGTTCTGATAGATGCTATACAGAGTTTATGCCTAGGCTAGTGATAAGAGCATCGCCAACAACATCACAGAGCTTTGCACCCTGTCAGTGGTCACCCCTTCTGCACGACGGCGCAATAACTAGTTCACCTCCGGCATCATCTTTGGGAACATTCCGGTCTACAATGGACACCGCCATGGTCTTGGAGACTGCTGCAATCGCTACAAAGGCTATTCCCATTGCGGGCACCTATCTCGAGAGTGTTCTCGGCACTGCGGCACAGATTGCGAAGATAGCTGAGGTGAGGATCAGGCTCTACATCCGCGAGGTATAATGAACTGTTAGTACAAAAATGCAGAGAGCCAAGTCTAACAGAGAGGATTGTCAGCTACTGGCGCGCCGTGCCGCGACAGTTGCGGGTGCAATAGCGCACAAGGTTATGCGAATGGACGTCCAAGTGCCTGCAATTCTCAGTCCTGATCTCGCGGACCTTTTGAGGTACCGTTGCTTGCCTCCGTTTTCCGTAGTTCCAGAACTCAGTTCGTGACAAGAACATTCGACCGCACCCAGAACCTTGCTGAGAAACTATCAGAGCTCAGTATGCTCAAGCGACTCGCAAACTATTCCAAGATCAACATGGAACTGCGCCGGATTTCGCTCGAGTTTCAGGATGCACTCGATATATTTGGGGTACGCCTCCCAAAGGACCTTCCTGCCTCATTCCTCACAGATCAACCCAAAGATCAACGCACGAATTGACTCAGGGCTGGAGATGGCGAATCTGAGAATCATCCTTGAGGGAATTCAGCGAACTGTTGATAACATCGCTATAACACCGAAATCCGAGAGCGCATACGATGGCGATGTGAGTTCTGTTCCGTTTGGCCGAGTACCTGGCTGATATCTGCGATTCGAGTTCATGCTATTCCGCCTCTCGGACCTCATCATACAACGGAAGCTGCGTCAGCTGCACGGGGAAGATGCGGCAGCATATCTCGTCTCTCTTCGGTCCACGCAGGAGACGTTGGTCATGAAGAGGTATTCGCGTCGCGACGCTGCATATAATATCAAGCTAGCGTTGCTTCAGTACTTACGCTCGCGGTGAGTTGGGATCCTCTGCCACGCCCGCGTCTGAACGTCTTGCACCAGGTTTGCTAACGTCGAGCAATTGCTCGGGTACTCGCGAGACGGTTCCGCTCCCTTCTATGTGACTTACGCAGGTCAGTGTTCCATGTCCGGCCACACCTTTGCATCACGCGAGCTCATGATCATGCTCACAAACAGGTCGGACAGATGCCAAAGCGTGCATGACCGGCATAAACTCGATAGAGAAGTTGAGACATGTAGTGATATCGGTAAGTATGTGAAATTCCCGTATGGCGATGTCACATGGCTCATTACGGTATAGACGCATGAAATACGAGTAAGCTGTTCGCCACGCATATTATTAATGCCTACAGAATTCCCATCAGGACACCCTGCAATCTCTGAGAGACTACGTATCCCAACTTTATGAGCTATATTGGTATGGTACACCCTGTCTTGGGGGTAATGGTTATATTACAGTTCGATCACAGAAGACCTTGGTTTACGTTCGTTGACTCTTTTTCGGACAATCTAAACCCGGTACTAAGTCTGTTCACCGCAGATCGAATACTCTCCCTATGTCGATCAAAGTGGTCGTATCGTGTTTGATATCGAGCTTTCAGAGGTGGAATTGCGACGCCGACGATTATACTGGGATCGCAGTTATCGCAGGCCCCCACGAGTTCAGGTCACTTCGCTCATGTTGTCCTTCTCATTGAACGTTAATTGATCGCCACTGCAAAGGAAAGGCGCATCCCGTTTGGTTGCACCACATATCGGGTGCTACAAGCCACCGGACGCTCGAATCATCCAAATCAGCGTTGCTGGAAGAATTGCTCGCATCACGCGATGATGGACATATCGACGACTATCTGTTTACCTCTCACATTCTCAACGCAGAATTTGCAAGCGTTGGACCGGTTTTGAACATTGGCCGAGATGACCATCCATGTATTCATTGGCGAGGTAGGGCCGTTACTGGGGTAACCAATTCCTGCCACAGTCGTTCTCTGGTCCAGATCGATGGTTTAGCAGCAGAATCCAATGTCAATTCCTACGATGTACTTGCGGATGGCACGATTCGGTATACTTCTACCTTTCTAACTATGGACATCTGATATTGATAGTTTACTCAGCCATACTGTTGATGTACTGTCCGGTATATCCGGCGTTTCGTTCCACACTCATGCATGCCCAAATTCCGGCATCATGTCGGCGTGGTCATGGCTGCTTGTTCATGGAATTCGTTTGGCAGACTGTCTGCAGGTCTCTGCCACTGACCTTGGCGCAGGTAGTAATGTGCTTGATTGTGGCGATCGTATGTCTGTTTTCTCACGTTTATTCCTCCAGTCTCAGAGTTGGCAACGAAGGGGACAACCAACATCGCAACATTGCCCGCAGGTGGCATGATCCCGCCCATCCTGTATTTCTTCGAATACCCCCACGTCGAAGTCGGACCTCCGACTGTGGCATGGGGTTATTGGGCCTGGGACGAGGATGGCGGTAACGCATCAACCGTCGTATCATGTTACTATGATGGATATGAATGGAACCTCGAGCTGCAGCTAGATAGTTTAATGTTCACGATGACACGGTACGCTATCGCTCTCCAACTTTCCGCCGACCATGGATTTACACAGCCTCCTACAGTCAGACTGATGTGTATTACGCTGCTCTGTCGGATGACCTTGTACGCCTCATCAGAGACTGTCATGCTGAAGACTGCACCTGCGATGACAACACCGACAGCGAGGAATCTGGTACGGACGACCAGGGTTTTGATGATAACGACAGCGAGGAATACCTTGACGCACAGGACCTCTACTCCAAAGGCGGAAGCGATGAATTGCCAGGGACAAAAGAAGCCCGAGACTAGGAAAACGAGGAACACAATTGATCGTGATTTATCTGAGTCCCGCAGTATGGACATATCACAATGTAGAGTCGCTGGTTCGCCACGTAATTCCCTACACTGTCCAGCACAGTACTCTTTCGTTTGACAGTTGCAGTGCACCTTGCTGTAGAGGTTTTGAGATGGTGTCCTCCGCATCAGCCTTCCTCGACCCAGTGTGCATGCCATAGCTGGTCCTCGATTCCTCAACATTGTTCGAAACAGTCTGCATACATTATGACCTCCTTACTTCAACAACACGTTTTTCTTGTTCAACAAGTGCATTCTGAGTGAATGGCAAAAGTAAGGTAACTGCCGCGTGGACTCGATAATATAGTGATGAGTTCGTTTGAATGCGGATATGAGAAGGAGAAATCCCGTGGTGCAGAGTTCAAAACTTACTACGTTCAGGCCCGAGTCAAGGAGCTCTGTCCGAGCTCCGGAGCGCGCAAGATGTCGTGGTATTGATCTTTGGAAGGAACTTAACAGCCGCGGGTGGTTGACGGCGAACATGGCCGTCCCTTGTCCTCCATATGTTCTGGTTCTATGATATTGAGTGATGTTCGGATAGTTATAGATTGACCAGCTATATGAAGCTCTAAGGTGACTGCGGGTGTACATCGCAATACAAGGCTCATGTCGAAGGTATAGCTTGTCACATCACATGCTTGCTGGGAAGCCTCGCCAGGTAGGTGCGCTGTCATAGATATATATTATATCATGGTAACAGCTGCCTTGCGAACATTGCTAAGGCTTCACCGAGCACATAAGGCTCACCAGCGATATGAGCATTGTGATGTTACATAGATATGTATATGATCAGGTGAGAACTGACCAGGCCGCTGGGCATCTAGATGGTTGTGACGGATTAAGAAGGATCCGGTTTCCCTGATGTCGGGACTCCGCTGCCTCGGTGAGAGAGCACAAGGTGCTCAGGTTTCTATATATATTTAAAATGTGGATTTCATACCAATCCGATATGGTGTAACGGCTAACATTGCCGCCTTTCAACGTGGGAATAGAACCAGTGCGCGGCAGCTCGGGGTTCGATTCCCCGTATCGGAGATTTTTCTTTTTCTCTTTCCTTTTGCGGCTTTACCAGGTCCAGTATACCTTTTATCAGACCAGAATGTCGACCTCGGTATCTTCAACCGGCGCAATTATTCTGGCATTGCGGGAGATGGGAGAAGTCTCTTAGGCGGTGTTCGGTTCACGGGTTACTCGAATGAATCATTCGTTTTCTGCGACGCAAAGCTATCATGTATGGCATTACACCCCACAATATTGCCTTATCTGGGAGGTTCTCCGGACCAGCTGCACTTTTTTTCTGGGATTAATTAAAATCCGGCGCTTTATGAGACTAGAAAGTGCCGGTGCCCGGTCATTTACCTTGCTGTCCACGCTTTAATGTGTTGCATTCAAAAAGGCGGCTGTTTTGCGTTGCCTGCATCTCTTTGTTACTGTAGAGCTTTTGGGCCGCCAGACCAACAAGTAGGATTGCGGCCTCGCTGATTTCAAGTTGAGAAACCGACCTCGGTAATTGATGATGGCTGTGTAGGCGGCTAATGAACGCGCTCCCGCGCCTGGCTAGTGGCTGCCCTCGACTCTGACTACAAGGTCCTGTGCGCCTTGCGGCGCGGCAAGCGACCTCAAAGTATCTGCAATGGAGGCTACTACAACGACTCATACCAGAGGACGCGGTGGCTTACGCATCAATGGCGCGTCTCGACGGCCGGTCTCGAAGAACAAACATTGGGTAGCTAGTCACGTCGCGGGCAACGGTGCGGACTCGGAGAGGTGGGAACGCGGAGGACATCACGGATCCAAGCATAGGACGTCAAGGGGCGGGAGAGGAGGGCGAATCCAGAGTGGTAGAGCAAGTCCGGTCGTGAATGCTCCCGACGTGGATGAGCAAGTGGAGGGCGACGGGACAGACGCCGAACACGGAGAGGAGGAGGAACAAGTCGACGAACTCGAACACGAGGTCGAAGATGAACACGAGGTGGAACCGGAGGAGGAGCCCGTGCTCGAAACCATCGAAGAAGTGAAGGAGTATCGCAAGCAAGTAAGTGACGACAGTTGCGCTAGGGCTTTCACGTTCTTACCAACATGGTCTCTAGTTGACCAAAGCCCGCGAGCTGGAACGTAAGCGTGCGATCGCAGAAGGAAAGATGGACGATCCGTTGGTTCCAAAACGCTTGGAGGATGCGATCAACATGGTCGGCACCTGCATGGACATGTGCCCCCGGTTCGAGCGCTACGTGCGATGGAGCGAGAACTTCTTGGACAAATGGGAACTCGTACGTTCAATCGCCTCTTCTGTGAATAACGTAAGGCTGCGCTGATTCCGGCCTGCAGATCCCCGGAACAAACAAGATCGACCACAAGAGAGCGGTCAAACGGTACGCTCGAGCTGTGGGCGACCAGACGATCCCGTCTGACCTGCGACCACCGCCGGTACTCAAGGTGAACTCATCTTGACTCTGAGAACGACGTATATCAAGCTCACTTCACGCTGCAGAAAACCCTTGATTACCTCTTCCGCGACCTTCTCCCTCGGGGTGGCTTTTCTGAGACGCACGCGTTCATTCGCGACCGCAGTCGTTCGGTTCGAAACGACTTTACAATTCAGCATGACTGTGGACCTATCGCGATCGAGTGTCACGATCGTTGCGCGCGCTTTCACATCCTCGCCTTATACATCAAGGGCAACGAACAGTCATTTGCACTCCAACTTCAAGAGGAGGTTCGGCAACTTATGTACAGTGCGTACGCTTCACTCACTTGTTCACGGGCACCTCTCATAATCTGAATCAGCCTTGCAAAGCCTGAAAGAGTTCTACGAAGATCAACGAGGGAAATACCAATCCCCGACTGAGGTCGAGATGCGCGTCTACCACCGTCTCATTCATATTCGCGACCAGAAGGAGCGCCGCGACGACATTCCACCGCACATCCTCGCTGACCCGGTCTTCGCGATCGCCACCCGCTTCCGCAACGCTGTTCAGGACGCGTCTTCGCCCATAACCAAATCGTCCCCGCTCAATTTCGAGCCCGCGCTTGACATTTTCAATGAACTCGTCGCGGCGCTTGCGCAGCGAGGGAATGTCGGGATGATATTCCTGGTGGTCTGTATATTGGACCACCTGGGATGGAAGGATGTGCACGATCGGGTGCATTTCGATGGAGAGCTGGACTATCCGGATATTATCGATGGGACGTCGCCCGATGTTGCCGCGAGCACTGGCGCAGCTCAGGATGCGGATGAGGACGGGCACGATGGTGAAGCAGAGGACGCACAGGAGGATGATATCGTACTGACGCCTGTGAGCGCTGGCGAGGAGGGCGAAGACGCGGAGGATGCTCCAGCACCTGCAACATCGGCGCCTGCACCTGCACCTGCATCAGTATTCTCTGCATTCGGCAACAACGCTCCAACGAGCAGTCCTTTCTCTGCTGCAGCCCCATCATCCAACAATGCTTTCGTGCCAACAGCCCAGGCACCGGCGATGTCCGCTTTTGCGTCATTAGCACAAGCCCAAGTACCCAACGCTTTCGGGCAAACGTCGGCGTTCGGTGCCGCTCCTCCTACCTCAGCCTTCGGGATCAATCCGACTTCAGCCTTTAGATCCACGGCCAGCACCGCATTTGGTGCAGCGCCATCCGCGTTCTCCGCTGCACCAGCACAACCATCGTTCTTCTCAACCAAGCCCGCCTCTCCAGAAGCGAAGCAATCGCAAGCTGGTTCATCTTCCGGTTTTCCACCCCCAGCGGCTACACCTGCTGTCCCATTATGGGGATCACCTCCGACAGCCGCAACTTCATCGACATCCATCTTTGGATCAACCGGCACGAAGACCGAGCACGACCCGCAACCATCACCTGCCGTCAATGGAACCGGAATCTCTACTACCCCAATACTCAACCCTACCGCCAGAGAATTCAAGCCATCGCCCCTCAAAAATTCTTTTCAGCCTCCCTCTGCGGATTCGACCCCACCCCGAACCGCCGTGCAGAACATGTTCTCAACTCCCCCGCCAGAGGGCAGCGCGCCATCGTTTTCCACTCCACCCAACGGAAACATGTCCTTTGATCAGACCACCACGGGTGGCGTGCCGTTATGTCAGACACCTCCAGCAGTATCACCGTTTCCAACGTCTCAAACACCAGGCTCTGGTACTAGTGCTAAACCATCCCCTCTCAAACTCGACACGAGCAACCTACGCGGTCTCTTCAGAAAGCCGACGGAAATCATTACACAAGGTCCCCGCACACCATTGACGCCGAGCCAGCAGCCAGCACTCGGCCGTAGGCCACCTGTATCGCTTCCGGCCACACCGACCGGGACGCTGCTCGAAAACTCTTTCAAGCAGTCCAGTACCATGGGATCCTTCCTCAGCTTCCCGAAAGTTGCCTCGCTTTCGGCAGCGAACAGTACCTCCGGGGTTCTGAGTCCTCTGGTTCCCAGCTCCCCAAGCACCTCTAAACTCCCTCCGCCACCGCTAGCCACCCCTCCGGCGCTTGATCTGGCCAAGCCCAAGGGCGCGCTGCAGCTCGATCCCGGCACCCCATCGGTGTCCATTTCGGAGAAAGCTCAGGGAAAGCAGCGAGCCTTCGATAAGGACATCGCTCGCGAGGAGGCGCTCGCGTTTGAGCGGAAGGGCGTGCTGGTGAAGGAGTGCTTCGGCAGGTGGAAGGAAAAGACGATCGACCGAGCCGAGTGGAAGGAGGCTTGTCGCCGCAGTGACGATTATAACAAGAAGGTTCAGCGGGACCGGATGTCCGTGAGCGCGTCCTCCCGGCAAGTCACGCCAGCATTCTCGACAACCTCATCGCGCACGAGCCCCAAGCGGCAACCGAGGAAGCGTACGAAGAGCGCATACAAGCCGAGGCTGAGTGACGCGCAGCTGGCGGAGGTACTTAAAGAGGTGCGTTGCAACTTCGCCTTTGTCGCGTAAGACGGGCGGAAATTCATGGGCGCCCATAGAGTAAGCTAGAGAATCAGCGAAGATGGGCGGAGGGCACGTTTTTAGAGAGCGCCCGCGCGGTGGTGAAGGGCAAGATGTCTGAAGCCGATGTCGCGGCGATTTCCCCGATCTGGCGCATATGGCTCTCGACTAATCCGGCGAACGACAGTACCGCCATCTGGGTGGAGAAGAAGCTGGATGTGCCAAACTCGGGTGATTGGGTGTCGGAGGCCATATTTTCCATATCGCTGGCACCCGATGCAGCCTCATCGAGCTCGGTTGAAGAATCTCCTGGGCTGATCATTTTTGAATGCACACCGCCAGATCCTTCGGACGACATAGAACAGTCAGTCTTACTCTTGTTATTGTTATACAAGCCCTGCTGACAACGAAGCCGCAGGCGATACCAAGCACTGGACGATTGTACTCGCCTACGAGACCTGCTCGAGTCTTTATCACCTGCACGACGCATCGTACCTTCGTTAGTCCTCATACATTGGGGCGAGACTCCGGACATACCGGAGGTCTTGACCAGTCAGGTGCCTTTCATCATTCCTTTAGCCATTGGCCGACGCTCATCGACCACGGACGCAGATCAATCGGTGGATTGAGCTCAGAGTTATCAAAAGCTATACAACCATCGAGACCAGAACCTCGATGAAGGACGTGGATGGGAGATTCCGTACAGCGCTTGAATCGTTGGATATGGATGTGCAATGCAGCCTTGCCCGTAGGCTGACCGTCGAAGGCGTATTCAAAGCTCTTGCAGAGCCTGTCAAAGACTACTCCGGCGATTGGTTGGCTCGTTGTTCCGCGAGCGATAACTGTAAGACTTGCTGAGCGCATCCACTATCTGTGCTGATGCCTCCGTATCAAGATCACTGGACTCTCTATGGTCAATTACTCAAAACCTACGTGGACTTGCTCGCTGTCACTGCCCACTCAGTGCTCGATATTTGCGGCAATGCCCCGCCCTCGGACGTATTGCCAGTCATCAGCATCGATTCTCTACGCGACTCTGGGTATGTACTATCCTGCCTGTTTCGATCTATCTATGCTCATACACTGGTCTGTTGCAGGACCGCATACAACACCTTGATATCGTGGCTTAGCTCTCCGCCGTTAGCCCACATTGCGTCGCAGCTACTAGCGGACCTTCGGAACCGGAATGCGTCAGGAGAAGGTTGGGCTACCAGCTTCCCATATGCCTGATGAAGCTGACGCGGTTCGTTCAGACTTCCCGAAAGAACGCGTCTTCGACGATATCTGCAAGCTCGTAGTTGCCCTCGTCGAGACATTTTCCAAGAACTGCACGGAGATGTTCGTTCCTAAAGCGAGCTTATCTGCCGCCCTCCGCGAAATGAGGCCTGCGATCGAGGTGCAAAGTACCGCGTTGCGCGAGTTTGCTGCGACCCATAGCCCTCCTATTGTCACTCCCAAACGTCCAGCGCCTGAACCGGAATCGACCATGTAAGCCCCTGCTATTTCCGCATCACAGCCGGGATTGACGATGACTTGGCGATGCAGTCCCGACCACAAACGGTTCAAGTCTGGACCTGCTGGAACTCCATCAGCCTCGCCGATCGCCGACCTCAAGGTACACGCGCGTAGCTCGACTACGACGTACAGCAATGGTACAACCACCTCTCCGTCGACGAGCATGCCGTCGTCCGCGACGTTCACGTCGGAGGAAAGTCGCCCAGCCGTAACGGTGGCCATGCTGCGCGAGCTCACCAAGAACATGAAACGAAAATACGCGGCTACTTGATCATATCGCATCCTGCATTATCGTCATATCTTTAGTATCATCAGTGTACTGGCATGTAATTGGAATTATAGTGTTGGTCGAAAGAATCTGGGCAGTGGGCGCTGCGCACAGGCCCGGGGCCGTTACTTGCATCATGCAGAACACGTGCTGTTACCGTTTCCGGAGTATATAGCTACGATAGCCAGAGCACCGAGTGCCGGTCTCTGACTCTACCCTCCATCGATCTTGACGATGGACACCGACATCCAGTTCATGGGGTTTCGCCTCGCCTCGGAGGGTCCGACCGCTTCCCCGGTACATGCAATCACAGGCACGCGCTCTGCGCTATATCGCCGACTACCATTGCTGACATCTGAGTGGGATGCAGGTATAACGTTGGAGGTCCTAGACGTTCCGGGGTGCGGCGAACAGCCTCGCTCGATGTCATTCTATAAGTCGTCTACGGTCGACGCTGTGCATATAGGACGGATGTCGTCGACCGCCGACGCCGACAGTGATCACGGCGTGGATAGCGCCCGATTCCGTTGCCCAGTGATCAGCCGCAAGCATGCCAAGTTTGTGTTCGGCGAAGTCGGGGTGAGGCTCACCATGTCCACTTGATCTTCTTTCCTTCATAACGCCCATGAAGGTCTCCATCGTGGACTTGAACTCGCACCATGCTACTTATATCCTGAAGACGGGAGACGCCGTTGCTACCATCCTCAAGCCGGGGGTGCATACCGCCCTATCGGAGTCTGACATCGTGACATTCGGGAAGACCGTAGGCCGAGACACGGATCTAGTCCGCCCCGTCAGCGTCAGGGTCCACCTACTCCATGGTGTCAATCCTTCGCTCTCCGGGTCGAACGCTACTCCGACGAAAGGCGCGACAACTTTTTGCAAATCAGGCGACGGCGCTCAAGGCGCTCTGCAACGCTCGATATCGGGTCGTTACGGCCTGCACGTCCCGAATACCTTCTCGTCAGACGAATCATCATGCAGCGAGCATGACTCCGACATCGAGGAGATCCCCCCTCCGGCGCACATGTCCGCCCCAAGACCTTCTGAACACGTCGCTGAAAGCGATCCCAGCGAGTCAAGTAACTCTGGAGGCCCGCTCCCCAGCCTTCAGGGTCTTGGTCTTCTGGCGCGTTACATGCTCCCCCATCACATGAGCTCACGCTTCATTCGCCCTTTCGACATGTCGCCCTCATCTCAATCACAGAGCTCTGATCACGGCGTGGACACAGCTCGTCTATCTTTCCCTCATGACAACGGGCGGAGGGTTGACGAAGCTGATGAACTTGATTCCTTATATGACATACATTCACAGGATCTAGCCCCGATTGTGGTCCCCATCCATGATGGAACAGACTCTGAATCGGCCTACGACAGCCTGTATAATATCCCCGAAGGTTCCAAGCTCTGCGTACTGCGGATCCCCTCTCCTGTTCCTCAGCTATGTCACGATACTCCTGAGTTGGCATCGTCTGCTCCGTCGTCATCCTCTCCTCGTTCTCCTCCGCCTAATGATGATGTCCACGACGTGATTCTTTCTTCCGCGAAGTGCATCGTCACTTATGGGGAAGAGCTAGACGGAGTCGCTGCCGCGCAGGAGACCCTCCCTGCTCAACACGAGGCAACGAACCAGGGCAGTAATGGGGTTGTACAGGTTATCTCCGTTGAGCATCCGCCCACTCCGGTCATCATCGATGTGGACTGCGACGCGGAAGACCCAGCCATCACACCTGCGGAGCCCATGGAGGTGGACGAAGTTACCGCGGTGAAGGCCTGCATCCAGAAGCTCAACGTCAGTCAACGGCTGCTTCTCCTTGATTAACGTTGACGACATCTCTTCATGTGTTCAGGATGACGTGTCCGAGTTGAAAGCCCAGCGTCGGAGACTCAAAGTTCGTCTCATGACGCATATGGGCAACACCGCATTCCATGAACGCCGTCTAGGGGAGCGGCTGGATAACTCAAACGAACAACTGCTGGATCTCGAGACTCGTATATGCTCGCTTGAAGACGATATCGCGGTCCTTCGTAACACCGACGATGCTCGTCTGGAGGATCAGAATCGCGATATAGAGATTTTGCAAGCCCAGATCGACCGCCTCGCCTCTCCGAACATCACTGCTGATATGGCTTCAGCGAGCGAGGTGGACGCAGCCCATAACCGCCTACGTGCGCAAGAAGATGGAGCCAAGGTGGCCATCGCTTCGCTGAAGAATATGGTAGAAGGTTCACTCCTATTGCCCTCACGCTACTCTCGCGGTCTAACATCTTCACAGAGATGACCAAGTTACGGGATAACATACGATTACAGATGCAACAGGAGCTCCTAGCTGCACAACAGACACGTGCCGAGATGACTGCTCTTCTCGAGCGAACGGTGGCACAGGTATGTGACAGCTGGTTGGCTGACGAATGATGCTCACCCCGTCGTCATTCCAGGACGTCAGCAACACACCTTCTCGTAAGCGCAGGCGCGACCTGTGCGATGACTGCGTAGACGAGGATGGCGACGTCTCGAACCTCGTGCAGGATGATGTCCTCCTCGTTCGTCGAACCTCTCGAAAGCGCTCGAAGATCGCCGACACCCTGGTCAAGACGGCTGCAACCGCTGCCGTTGGTGCGGTGGCAGCTTGGGGTGTTCTGGCCTTCGCATAGAGGCTTAACGCCCCTGTCATGAGCATTTACTGGACCCGCTACGTGTACCCCTGTATCAGTCACCTGTTGTAGTTTCATCATCTGTCTCCCTTGCATGTACCATCAACGTTGTCAACTGCGACTCATCGTATATATGTAACTGTAGTGTAAAGAAGTGTTATCATTATAGACGTCTAGGGCGGTGATTGTCACTCGGTGTGGTGATCAAATCACACCTGAAGGGTCCAGAGCACGCAACTTTTCAGAGGGATGAATGTACACACCAAGGTTATGGCACGAAATCTGCTGTATGGTACGTGTAGGAAAGACAGGTGCTGCGAGACGGGAGAACGTGGAAACATGGTATGCCGATACGAGGTGCAAGAATGCCAGATGCGATGGGGATAGAACGAATGACGAGATCGGAACGGATCCAGCGAAGACAACAACAACGAGCCCTGACTCTGGGTCGAGACAAGGCGCGAGGACACACATTATTTCGGGACGTAGGAGGCCAGGTAGGGATGAATTAACGCGCGTTTCGCTGTGTATATGATGGCGTGAGCGCCAGGCCCGGAATAAGCGTCCTGAATGAGACGCACCGGATATTCTCTTCGCCGTGTCGTACGTCAAGGTGGCCTTCAGGAAGTCGATTCCGTCCTCATCCAGCTCCGGTACGCACCGAGCGAGATCGGCGCCAGAGAACTTGGGGAACGTCGCCTTGTAGTCGGGCAATTGCTTGACGCCGGGCCAGGACTCTTCGTTCGGCGTGCCTAGGATGCTGTGAAGGCATTCCGCATATCAGCAAACGTTGCCCGACAGATAATTATCGGCAGGAAGGAATCGCACGGCGTAAACGTGGAAAGGGGACGTCCAGGAGCGCACATACCGGAAAATCTTGAATATCTGGTCGATCTCGGAGTCGCCCGGGAAGAGGGGCTGACCCCTCATGGCCATCTCGGCAAAGATGCAACCAACAGACCACATGTCTATGGCAGTTGAATAGTGGCGTGACCCGAGAAGGACCTCAGGCGCACGATACCACAAGGTGACTACCTGAAAGAGAGTAGCTCCGTGAGTCATGACTCTCTATGAATAGCCACATACAGACCTCGTGGGTGTATGTTCGCATAGGGATGCCGAACGCCCTGGCAAGGCCAAAATCAGCTAGTTTAAGATTGTGCTGACTGTCGATGAGTAGGTTTTGTGGCTAAAGAAGAATGGCCGTGTCAGTTTAACGAATCGAATGACGCACACCATCTACGCATGTAGCGGCATCTGTTGTGTAATGGGGTAAGGGACGATGGTGCATACCTTCAGGTCACGGTGAAGTATTCTATGAGAATGGCAATAGAGCAGGCCCATGTTCAGCTGGTGGGTGAATTTCTGCGATGGGTGAACGCATCAGGCAATGTCCGAGAAGACGCGGACGCATCAGCAAGAATTAATCGAAAGCAACATGTCCAACCCTGTAGGCGAACTCGACGCACTATATCGCCTTCAGCGAAATGAGCAGACCGGAGCGACCGACGGCTCTGGGATAACGCCGGGCGTGACAGAGCACGTGACGTGACAGTCGCGTGCACATGGAGGTGCAATCGGCGACAGCAGCCAGAGAAAGCCGCAGCGGGAAACAGTGAACGCTTCACGGCGAGCATCGAAGCCGGTGACGCGCTCCCAGATAAAAAGGATCATCAGCGGCACTCCGCGGGTTGGCAGGGAGACCGGCGATGCAGACTGTCACGCATGAACGCGCGTGATACGCGTGTTCTCTCGTGCGCGCCACCGAGAGTTCAACTGGACCCGTGGGACTGGCGCGAGATAGCACGGTGAGAGGGCGTTGAAGTCGGAGGAGCAAGCGACGCATCGCCTCGTGCGGACATCCGAGGAGCGCCAGATGATCGCAGACAGAGCGGCCAAAGACCTGATGTTGCGATCGCGGCGTACGAGCGCGACAGGGCGAATGGACTTATTATAACTCACCTTGACGAGGTCGGGGGTAATGGGCTTGTGTGCGGAATTGGCGGCCTCCATGAACCGCTTTAGGTCGACATCTAGAAACTCGAACACAAGGTATAGTTTCTGGTCGGCGTGAACGATGTCGAGCAGTCTGTTTCAGAGCTCTCTCAGAGCCGATCCACGCCCTAAGTAGGGAACTGCACGCACCGGACTATGTTCTCATCTTTCAGCTCCTTCAGGAGAGAGATCTCTCGAATGGCGGTGGAAGGTACGCCCTCGTCTTCCGCCTCCAATCGGATCTTCTTCAGCGCGACGATTTCATTGCGTTCGACATCGCGAGCCTTGTACACGACACCGTACGTGCCTTCGCCTGAGATACGTACGCGTCAGTAAAAAAGGATCTGCTCCTGAGATGACAAGAGGTACGTACCGACCTTTTCGATCTTGGCGTACCTGCGTGCCAAGGTCAGACACTGAAACCATGGACAGCAACGACAACGACTCGCCTGTCCATCGGTTTACACTGTTGCTATGGGTGTCGGTGTTCAAGCTGTATGAAGACTGAGCTCGTGAGATACACGCTTTAAAAGCGAGAGTGATTACATGCAGAAGACCACGACCGAACTGCGGTCCGATATCGATTCCCCGGGCTCTTCGGTGTGGATGATGGCCCGACTGATCGGTGTACCTTGATCAGTCACGTTCGTCGGTGTCGTGCGCAAATAAGAGAGGGTGGATTCAATGCGAAAGGGTGAAGCAAAGGCAGCGGAGAGGCTGGCCGGTGTGCAGAGAAGGAGCACAAGCTCGCAGACGAAGGTGCTTGGTTTCCGTTAAATCGGACACAGCCACTGGCTTTCGCACGCCGTCTTTAATCTCGAGTCTCTTCTCTCCACGTTCATCCATCTGCCCGAGCAACGAGATGCCCCACGACTCTTCTCGCGTTCATGCGTGTCTCAGGCGCCGGCCATGCTAATACCAAGACACGGACGAGTTGGGCGTTCGAAAGTCTGAGTCCTACCCTGGTCCCTGTCTGAGCACTGATTGGCGAAAGACCGGAGCGAAAGAGGCAAGTTGAAGGACGCGCTCGGATCCGCAGGCACCGGCCTCGTCTCCATCTCCACACGGGCTGCATCATTCCCGGCCGCAGAAATACAATAAGAGCAATTACGCGAACAGTTCAACGCGTTGCTACACACCGTGGACGCGGGGTAGTGTCGTCATTTCCCCTGGTTTACGGCGTTAAGAAGTATGCGACTGCGATCGATCGTCCGTAACCTGTAAGTAGTAATATGAATGATGGAGGATGGACAGCGCACCATACGCCGTCGCCAGCGAACTCTCAGGTGTTCCAGTCTCATGACGGTGATTGATAGAGCATGTAGGACAGCGGCGATGAAATGTAGTCAGTGCCAACGTGCACTATATATACGTTGCATCTGAACCATCGTCAACGCGTGAATGGTGTAGCGGTAACATTGGGTCTTCCCACTTATGCGAGGTTGGCCTAGCTCGGGGTTCGACTCCCCGTTCACGCAATTACTTTTGTATTCGTCTTCCTGACGCCGTACTTTTTCATCGAATTTACATGCGCGTCATCGTTGTAGAGTCGTTGTTGTTATCTGCAGTGTGCGTGGTCTGTATTCAGGTCTGCCATCGGGCGAATTCAGACGGAAGCCGTCACATGACTGGAGGAATTGGAAGGAGGAGGAAAGGAGGCACCATCCCTTGTAAGAACGTTAACACTCGCCATGGCTTCGCCATCTTCAGAAGCGCCGAAGAAAAAACCGATGGTCATAATCACCATCGGCATGGCTGGCGCTGGCAAATCGACCTTTGTTCAACGAATCAACTCTTACTTGCACTCGGTCGACTCTCCGCCATACATACTCAACCTTGATCCGGCTGTTAGTCATGTTCCGTTCGAGCCGAACATTGACATCAGGGATACGGTCAATTACAAGGAGGTCATGAAGCAGTGTGTGCTTCTCCTTCGTTGAGAACCTCAGGAGCACGTTTCTGAGACGGGCGGTGCGCGGTGAAAGGTACAACCTCGGACCAAACGGCGGGATCGTGACGGCACTCAACTTGTTCACAACCAAGTTCGACCAAGTGCTCGACCTCGTGGAGAAGAGGGCGGAGACGGTTAGGTCGGCTTGCTGATGTACCTTGCCTTCACATAATCGCTCACGAACGTCACATCAGCCATGTTATCCTAGATACCCCTGGGCAGATCGAGATTTTCACCTGGTCTGCATCTGGCGCCATTATCACCGATGCCGTCGCTGCGTCCTTTCCGACGGTGGTTGCCTACATCATCGACACCCCGCGTACGACAGCGCCTGCAACGTTCATGTCGAACATGCTATATGCATGCAGCATCCTTTACAAGACAAAACTGCCGTTCATCCTCGTGTTCAACAAGACGGACGTGCAACCATACGATTTTGCCCTCGAGTGGATGCACGACTTTGAGGCCTTCCAGGTGAGGATGCCGTTTCCCTACGTTCTGTGCATCGTCGCTCACAGTGCTTCGCCGCTGTAGGAAGCACTCGCTACCCATCGCGACTCTCGGGACTCCGAAGGAGAGCCAACATATATGAACAGTTTGATGAATAGCATGAGCTTGGTCCTCGACGAGTTCTACAAGCATCTAACGGTACGCGCCTTATGATGGTGTGTAACGCGACTTCGTTGATCTGATGTTCGCTTTCAGGCAGTCGGCGTATCGAGCATGACAGGAGATGGTATCAAAGAATTTTTCGACGCCGTAGAAGCATCGCGAGGGGAATATGAGAGGTACGGACATAGTCTTCGTACTTCTCTCCTCCTTCTAACTTTCAACCTGTAGAGACTACGTTCCGGAACTGGAGCGTGCTCGCGCTGCTCGTGAACAGTCACTCAAAGCCGGTAACGGAGAAACCAGCTCATTATTTGGGTGCAACCGTGACTGACCCGTCCCCGCTCCCTTCGACAGTGAAAGAAGATTCTATGAACCGGCTCATGAAGGATCTCGCGATAGACCGTGCTCAGAACCCAGAAATGGCGGCGCAAGATCGCTGGGACCCAGATCAGGAGGAAATGGACGAAGACGACGACACGGAGATCGGTATCATCGACAGAAGTTCGTACGGGCTTCTGCTTTGCCCTTTACCTCGCTTTGGCTCTTACTGATCGCACCTCCTTCACTCAGCCGAGGGACCCTGGCCTGGCGATGGGCGCGGAGAGTACATCGACATCATGAAGGTCCGACCCCAAAATGCTCGTGATGGTATGGGAAAGAACTGGCCCAAACCGGAGTAAGGCAGGAGGCAGCAACTGTAGGATTAGGAGAGGTTCCTTGCATCAGAATAGCGTACACACGTGCGACTTAGCACGGAAGAGTCATTATCAGTCATCGGCACATGATAAAAAACCTGTGCCCAATGCTCGGCCTTGTCTACAGCCAGATGGAATCCATTATGCAGACCACCGATTGATACCGCACACCATGTATGCCAAAGACAATGATTAATTCGCTCATGTATACATATAAAGGTTCTGATAGCAGACACTCGAAATGGCTAGTAGGCATAACCGGCAACGCGAAGGCTTGGTTAAAGACGAATGTAGGGTGCTCTGCGCGTTTGATAAGTATACTCGATGTTGTCATATATCTATCAATGAACTCACAAGGTGGAGGAATGAATCGACCTAGTCGGTCTCGCAGACGCCACAGCTCCTGCAAACAGGGCCTATGCCGAACTTGATCGGAGGGCACGGGCAGCAGGGGAGTTCAATGGGTGTGATGGTCGAGGTGACGGATGTCGTTGTAGTATCAGCCCCATACTGGGGGCTAGCAGCCGCGATACCGGCGAGGGCGGCGACGACAAAGGAGACAAGGCGAGCGCTGACCATGTTGATATAGGTGTGGTGGGGTTGGTTGCGAGTGCTCGACGATGAACGCTTGCTTGCTCTTCCTCTCAAGGAGGGCGAGGGTTTATATACCCGTTGAAATGAACGGAAGTCGGCTGCACAAGCGAGTGGGAGATCCGTCTAGACCGCGAGGCACTGCTCCCACAAAATGTATACGGCAGTATACCCTTCCGTCGCTGGCACGAAATCGTGACCGCGGTGGTGCAGCGCCGTGGGCTGCATTTGGTCAATATCGACCCGGGCAAAGAGCGTTGCAAACGTTCGAGTCGGCGCCATCATTTTTGAAAGCGAACTCCGGGATCATCGGGTTATTTTCCGGCAGAACGGGCGATCGGCGCAGGGTGATGGCGCAGTAGTCAAGCAGCCCTCAGGACGAGGTGCCTCGGGCTTGAAGCTCGCCATAGGGTCCCTTGGTTTGCAAGTGTGAACCGAGCCTAGTATATTGGAGATTTCGGGATAAGGCCGTCGGCGCAGAGAAACTCTGAGTACCCAACCAGTAAATAGCGCAGAGAGATGCAGTGTCGTAGACAGAAACAGTTCGCAATCCTCGGAAAATGTATTCCCAATCTTCGATATTACAGGAGGGGCACGGCCACGGATTTGCCTTAGGGTGCGAAAACGCCTGCGGTGCCTGGAGAGAGGGATGACGTGCATGGGGATGGTAGGAAAGTTCCTTGGGAAACCGAGACCAGAGAATGTAAAAACGTCGGGTTTCAGAAATCAACGCAGTATGTGTCGTAATGGCCACGGTGTCCCAGCACTCAACCGGCGGTCAGACTGCTTTATAGGAATGGTACTCGTTGATGAAGAGCATACTGATCTCGCGTGGTTGGACAAGGAGTCTCAGGGTGGCATGCACTGCGGGAGAGAGTAATGGCAGAGCGCTGGCTGGGAAAAATGATCGCAGCGCTCTCAAGTCTCGGCCTCGGAGAAAGGATGCATGAGCACCTGAAGCACCGAACAACTCTAACCGCTGGACACGAGATCCACGGCCCTTCCACGGGTTGATAATGCGCTGATAGCCCTGTAAAATGTGGCATGAGTACGGTAGAACGGCGGCAAAATGTAGGGCTGTGATTTACCGCTCCGCTAAGCAGCCGTGGTCAGATGGTTGATTTAGAGCTTACTTGACTTTACTATAAAGTGCCCCGAGTCTACTGCCATAGGTCAGGACAGATTGTCACAGGAACGAGAGATGCAGGGCCATCGATTTCTTGCGATCATATTAGCAGCTGCGCTCTCTGTCTGCTGCGTCAGCGCATACACCACAAGCTGCACCTCGAGTTCCTTTCCAGCGTCCCCTACGCCCCCATGCTGCCCATGTCCGCCGAGCACGGCATCACCGCCAGCTGGGTGTCTTCAATGCCCTTGCCCCACGATCCCGCCTTCCCGGGCCTGACACCGGTGTGAGAATAACTGATACCTGTTCGCCAGCATGCTGACGGGCCTGTCTACGTCAGGGTAGTATGCACACCCGCGTTGGGTATCCGGTAGGGACAAGGGAGGCGAGATTATGCTTAGTGATAACGGGGACGATGTGATATTGTTGCACCATGGCGTTGCCTCAGAAAAGAGAATATCGCCACCTGGTGCAGTTCATGATGTAGCGTGCAGCAGTGAAGGTACGAATGGAGCAGACTGAACACCATCCCTTACTCAGGTCGTATTTGCTGATATGTTCCGGGTCCAGTGTCCGGTGTTGAGGATATTGTTGCTGCCAGATAAGCCATGGAAAGACTCATGTACAGACTAATGAGTCAGACAGGCTGTGAGCGTCAGGTTGAAAGGGCACTGACGCTCGCACAGCGGGAGCACACGTGTGCTGGTCACTGCCTTTCGGCCGGCAACGTGCGGATCTAAAGTCTAGTATCCGCACTGCTCTACGACTCTCCATCTCCCACATCCTCGACGGACACAACCATGACCGAGATCAAGGCAAGCGACGGCATTGGCCTTATGGAATTGTAAAGAGTTGACTAAAGCTCGCGTTACAGACAGCCACTCAGAACAAGCTTGCGATGTCCCGCGCACTGGGCGCAGCATTCCTCAACCATCAAGTCGAGCAACTCGAGCGGACCGTCAACAACACTGGCCCTACCGGCGGAAACTGGCGTGATAGAAAGCTGTCTCCTTCGCGGCAAGCTGACTTTGTTCCTCGCGGCGCCAGTGGCAAGCGCCCGCCCTTCAACCCTGCTGCAGGCAAGCCACCGCGCCGCAAGGGGGGTGAGGCGCCCGAACGCAACGCGCAAGACACCGGAATAAAGGCCGGGAGACGGTCTCCGGAGAACGCGAAGAAAGAGAAGATCGCAGATGTTATCGTGATAGACGCCAGCGTCCTTATCCACTGCATTGGACAGGTCAAGGTGTGGTGCCGCGAGGGCAGAGAGGAGGTTCTGATAATCCCTTTGGAAGGTGAGTTGTCATGCGCATGCTGTATTACTCTATCCACAATGTCCCTCTTAGCCCTCAATACCCTTGACCTCCTGAAGAAAGGCACGAGCGCCCTCGCTCAACGCGCCCGAACCGCATCTCGCATCCTCGAAGCTCAAGTAGGTACCAATAACCGTGTTCGCGTACAAAGCGACGACGCCTTCGTTCCGTGGGACAACATTTCCTTCGCCGAAGACGGAGCGGCCGTCGCTCATTCCCCCGAGTGGGTGCGCCGGACCATCTGCTGTGCTAGATGGGAGGTCGACAACGAGAAGAAGATCGAGGGAGGAAAAACTGAAAGGGCCAAAGTCGTCCTCGCCATTCTTAGTCAGGCCGCGCCTCCGCCGAATCTGCACTCCCCAAAACCATCTGATGGCGCCGCCGAAACCGCGTCCCCGGTGCCGCTCCCTGTTCCCCAGGTGCATGCCAACAAACACGAGCCCCGATCCTCTGGCGCATTGGTTACAGCATGGGCTCGTCGCGCTGGCATCGAATTACTAGAGCTGCGACCTTTGCCGGCTCAGGAGGACGAGGATCGGGCCAATGGACGCCGTGGCCCAACGGGCCAGTACGGCCGTCCTCCCCGTCGCGGCGGTCCCGGAGACAACGAACACCGCCGTCCATCTGTGTCTAACGGTTCGGGTGGTGGCGGTGGGAACAAACCAAATGTGGGCCTTGTTGAGCGCCCACCCGCTGTCAAGGCCATGATGGACATTGTCGCCCAACCAAGCAAGGTCGTTAGGGTCCTTGCCCGTGGCGAGAAGCTCGACCCTGATACATAAGCTTCCGGTATGGCCAGCAAGTCAAACTTCCGGCAAGTACTACGCTCTTGCCATGACCTATCACCATTGAGTTGGCGCCGTAGATGCCACTCGATGGACTGCGACGGACTCGCTCAAGGGTCGCTTGCTGTCGAAGAGCTGGTGTACCGGCCTCTCCTTGGTGGCGTCTTGTCTAACAGATTGCCATCGTCGTGGATTGTGTGGCACGTCTCGGTCTGTCCTCTCGCCTCGGACTAGAAGACATTAGGCTTGAACAGTCCAGTCTCTCGGCTCTCATCCGTTCAGACGTGTACGAAGATCGAAGCCTTCTCCCCTGTACGGCTGTTGAAGCATGACGCCTCTCATGATAGCGCATCACGCGGAAGCTCCATTGCTATCCCAATTCCTCGTGCATGGTGTATGCACCAACGCGCACCTCCTGGATACAAAGCTTTATCTTTACATATGCAAAACCTTATTCTCCTGTCCTCCCCTCTTGATTATGCCTGTTACGTATGTCATTGATGAAATCATATAGACTACTCCCCCCACCTGAGCCATATCAACTAATGTTTGGAACTGTGGTCATTACAGCACCTTGTAAATCGATAGAGCAGCCAAAAAAAATACCGATGTGCCACGAAGTTCTCGGAGAATGCAAATGCGTCATAGACAGAGATGCCGAGATTCGCGAAGGTCATTGGTAGTGTTAGTCAGCGCATTGGCCGTTACAGCTCCACTCGTTCCGTCTCGTCTTGCCCTCCCAACGGCGCATCCAAGGCGCATCCCTCGATATTGTCCCGCACATTCTTCACATTTTATTGGCCAATGTTGAGCTGCCGCTTCGTCGCACAGAGTGTACGGGTGCCTAACAAGATGCCGGGATAGGATAAAAGGTGAGGCTTGTCGCAGCACTTCGTCCTCCAAGTTGTCTCATTTGTACATCAAGCTTGCTCGTCGTAATGCCTCTTCAGGACGAACCCCAGTCTGCGCCGCAAACCCCTCATCCACCAGCGCCCGGGGAGGCATTTATCCCCCGTCATCCTCATGCACGTCCGAATCTGCGCCCGGGTTTCATTCCTCCGCCATTCCCAATGCCATCTCCCGAACCTCATATGTGCCGTGTTCCCCTCGTGGACATTGCCAATCCGATACCTGGTCTTCCCTGGCATGCACCTGCTGGACCTGGGCTGTATCCCACTATGCCTCCGGCTCTACCGATGCATCCGCCTGTTGGTCACTATGGGCACCCCATGTATCATCCGCATGCACTGCACGCTTAAGATTGGCCTTATCAACCGGTGGCATATGGCCATGCAGCCGCAGGGATGCCTCGTGGCCCTGCAGTAGCTATGTCAGCCCCGTCTGCAGCAGATTTGTCTCGTCGTCGGGCTCCTCGTCAGGAAAATGACGATGCTGCCAACCGAGGTATTTCACTACTGTTTTTTCTATTTGTTCATGTTAAGAGATTTCCTGGCAGTTCGCGAATTTAAGGTTGTTGGACATGTTGGATTGCGCGAGCCCTCTGCAACATTCCCAGTCCTCGGAACACTGTGGAGTGACGTACGCATGGCTGTCTCCAGCTGGTATGGTGTTGAACCCCAGTCCTCTCGCCTTGCATGGAAGCTGTCCTCGGAGAGCAAGAAGAACATGAAAGCACTCGAATCTGATCTTGACTTCACGAACGCGGTCGTATCGGTTACAGACAAAATGCAGAGAGCGAAGACTGCAAAGTATTGGCTAGACGTGTATGATCTGGTGCGTAAATGGTCTCTTCATTGAACATCACATTAACATCTTGTCAGAACTGGCTTGACGCTGACAAGAACAAGAGCGGTAAATCTGGACAAAAGCGGCGTCGTCAAGATGATGTCCCCAATGTCGAGTTCCCTTCGGAAACGCAGGCAGCCTGTTATAAGAAACTCGTCAAGAAATGGGCTTGCGAACAGCACCGTGGCTGGTGCTTCATACGCCGCAACGGGGAGCACGATGCCCTCAACTTCAAAATTCTTTCGCTCTGGGCGGAACAAATGGTACGTGTTCTGGTTTTTTTGATGAGGAAGCGAACATAACTGAACAATTATCTGTAGTCTGAAGGTGTTGCGGATGAGTGGCGACCTCCCGAAATGAAAGCCTTTGATCATGTGCCTAAACGAGCAAAAGTGTCTCATGGCTCGGTGCCCGCGATCAACATTGTCCTTCCACATGGCTCTTTCACGGTCGATACTACCCAGCCTCAAGACGGTGGATGTACCTCGACCATGGGGGCAGCCTCTACACCGCAACCGAGCACCTCTACATCTACTGCCATGCTCGATGCTGCTTCGGTGTCTGCAACTGCTGGACCATCTTCCATCCCGACGGCTAGCCAACCAGTGGGAGCGACTCTGTCTCCCGAGTATCCGTGTGTAGAGGACCTCCTCGACATGCTTGAACGTCGCAAGCCAGGCTCCGGATATATGACCATGCTCGATCAGCTCCACCTTTACGGTCTTATGACTGCTGACGATATCAGTCGGTGCAATCGGGAGACTCTCCAAAGCATGGTAGACCTCCCAGGCGAGTGGTGCTCCGATCTTTACAAGCTCGCTGTCGATGTTGCAGGGGATTGGCACCGCATTCGCACAGTTGAGCCAAAGGGTTCGACACCGATGCAGACCGGAGTCGGCTCGATTTCCTATGCCGAATCTGATTCGGAGTATGACGAGTTAGATGAATCAGGGTCGGAGTCGGAGGACGGTACAGGGTCTGATGAGGTTGTTGCAGCTCATCGCGACTATTAGGGTGTTCCTCTCATCATCGTTCCGAGGTAGGTCGATAGTATTATCACTTGCTCCAATTTTCTGTATTTCTACTCTATTTGACTCGAATGCAAATTGCCCTAGACTAAACATAACCAGAGTGTGCAAACCAACCTCGCGCTTTTTCGGGAGTTACACTGAATACAGCGTCATACAGCATTTGTCGAGGGTCACAACGCACATCTCCCTCCAGCTCCCCTAGCACGTAATCCCGGTTAGCACGAATCCATGCCTTGATAGATGAGAAAGCTTCTTCGATAGGGTTGAGGTCTGGAGAGTATGCTGGTAGAAAGACCAAGCGGCGGTTCCTACACTGAAGTCAATGTTCCGGACCAGTCTGAGACGTGTGCACTTACCGTGCCTCAACAAACTCCCTCAGCTCCTCTGACTTGTGAATGGATGCGTTATCCACAACAAGTACAGAATTGCGAGCGGGAAACTCTCCCATTGTCTCAATGAGACCACTAACAAACTCCATAAATGACTCCTGCGTGAAAGACCCCTCGCGTATCGAAAGATATCGGATGCCATCGAGAGAGAGCGCAGGAAGTATTGAGTAGCTAGATTACAGTACATCAGATGTATCCCGGAATTTGCAGTTCACTCACCGTTTTCCTCGAATAAAGAAATCTCGTCGGCGTGCCCTCTGCGAGGACGGTGCCCACCCAGATTTGCGGCGTGCAGAGCGCCTATCGAATGCACTTTCGTCGGCGAAGACAAGCTGCTCAGCATCATAATAGCGGCCAATGAGCATCATGTATGCTATACGAGCATCTTCGTCCCTTTCCAATGCAGGACGCGTAATCTGAGCAATCATCGGTGTCTGTGCATAGAAATTATGCTATGGCAAGACTGACTTCCTTATATGTGATTCCTCGACGGAGAAGTGTTCGTGAGATGGTGGAGATATGGGTATCAACATTACACATGTTCAGTAGCTCGAGCTGCATCTCTCTGAGTGTAATGTCGGGTTGGCGTTCAATGCAACCCTCAAGGAACTACAGAGCGTGTAAGCTTGGATGGTTCAACTATGCGAGATTGATACGAGCGTACTGCAGCCTCAAGCCCATTCAGCAAACGGGGCCGACCTGGAACAAGTGCCATCTGGACCACGTCGCCAGTGTCTCGAAACAACTTCCGGACTCGACGTTGGGTAGGCTCGGAGACTCCTGTGAGCCGCTTGATTTCATCGGGCCTGAGCTCTTGATCAAGTGACATTCGTAGAACCATCCATTTTGTTTCAGGGGATATGTGGCGACGATTACCGGGCATGAGCGTCTAAGGCGAGGAGACTGTTCGGGTCGACGTCGTTGCCCATCGTGTGCTCTTACTGAGGCTGTACTCAGGCTGTATACGGTGCATCTCTCACACGAGGTCCACGGCGAACACTGCGGCAAACGCTTCTTCGCAACCCCAGTTTTTCTCTCTGCTCTATCGATTTACAAGGTGCTGTATCGAATCCGGCAGCCCGTGACCCGGAAGCGTTCCGCGCTTCACCAGGACGCTCCGACGCGACTGCAGTCTGGGGCACGGCTCGGCGGCACAGTTCTATTTATTACCACCGCCAGCGTTGCACTGAACACCAACTTACTCTAACGAAACCGGTACTCGAATATAACCTTGGAATCTCAGCGTCAAGTCGTTGGCGGAACATGGCGGCCGACTTGGAATATGAATGGAGACGGACCCTCGACGAAGAGTACGGTCTCGAGACCAGGGAGAACGTCGAGCCGCCCAAGGACAGACAACTGAGGGTTAGCCCCGCTGCCATTGAGTTCTTGACCGCTCAGGGGCTTGTGCGTTTACTACCTCGATCACTGGGCGCTTGGCTGACTTCGCTGGTCCGTGCCCGACGTATGTCCGCTATCGTAGGACGCGGGAACGCTACTCCAAGATCCTATTGTGCAGCCACCTCCCGTGGATGATACCTTCCCTCTGACCAACTACTTCATATCGTATGTACATACAACTGCCCGGTTTCCAGCAACGCTCCATCAATAATACGATTGTCCGTAGATCATCTCATAATACCTATCTACTATCTCGGCAGATCCTAGGAAGGTCATCTGCTGCATCCTATACCCATGTCTTGACCCATGGAGGACGCTGCGTTGAGATCGACGTCTGGCCCTCCGCGCAGGGGCCGGTTGTTACCCACGGACATACCTTTTCAAAGTCGGTCTCCTTTCAAGCTGTCTGCCTTGCAATCGGCGATGAAGTCAAGGGAGGAGACTGGCCTGTCTTCGTCAGCCTGGAATGTCATGTGCCTCCCAGCGGTCAGGATGAACTCGTCAACATCATGAAAGGTGCTTGGGGAGAGAAACTGGTGGATGGCCGCCTTGAGCTTCAAGACGAAGATGAAAGGGCGCATGTCTCCCCGAGGGATCTGAAGGGGCGAATACTACTCATGGTGAGTATTCCTAGTCCACGTGTCCCAATTCCCTGGCTAATACGTGGTGTAGGTTGAGTACTATCCGGGCAAAGAGAGCAGCCTGGTTGCGCGCGAACCTGACGAATCCTCTTCATCGCTATCGCCCATCTCCTCCGAAGACGACCTGTCCACAGGTGCACAATCCGGCGCCGAAGACCTGGAGACGAGAGCAGCCCGTAAACGCAAGTCAGGGACTAAGATTGCCGACTCCCTTGCCGCGCTCGGGTTCTATGCCAGGAGCATGAAACCCGGAAAGAACTGGCTGCAACGGGGTATGTCGAATGAATCCTGATGTAACCTCATGGATAACACGTCGTAGATATTAGCGATCCTCGTCATGTTCTCATCAATATATCTGAGACGGCGTTATCCAAGCTTTTACCTCACTCTCTTTCTGATCTTATATCGCACGCGGAGCGCCATCAACGCAGAGTGTATCCATACGGACTACGAGTTGGTCAGTCGTTGCAATCTTCGCGGTGCATACCTTTTTGTCTCACGTGCCATCAGGCTCTAGCAATCTTGATCCCTTGAAGTTTTGGAGAAATGGCTCACAGATCGCAGGTATATAGGGACGTTTTCTCGGGCAAAGCGCGCCAGCTAATTGTCACCGATAGCACTGAACTGGCAGACATTTGACCGGGGAATGCAGATGAACGAGGCGATGTTCATTGGAAGTCCCGGATGGGTTCTCAAACCCGGCTCCTTACTTGGGATGTCAGGCATCAAGAGCCGTCTCCGGCTCACAGGGGACATCATGTATCTCAGTTCCCGTATGTACATGAATCAATCCCTCATGCTAGAAGCTAAGCGTTTTGCAGTACCGCTCCCAGAAGGCAAGAAGGATCTTACAGCGTACGTCAAAGCACAGCTGTTCCATTCCAACGGCGAAGAGGAGTGGAAGTCTGGTAAATGCAAGGCGAAGCGCGTTGACGGGAATTCGTCGATCGCCGATCTATCGTGGAATGAACGTCTTCAATGGGAGTATGACTCGGATGAACTCGTTTTCGTTCGGTATGCCTTTTCTCCATGTTGAATGCAATGCCTCTGACTGTATCACAGGCTTCTGGTCATGGAAAGCCAGTTCGGTCGCGACGAACGACTGGCTGTGTTCTGTGCTCGCGTTGACTTCCTTCAACAAGGCTTCAAGATGATCAGACTGCTGAACATGAAGGGCAAGCATACAGACGCTTCGTTGCTAGTCAGGTTTACTATAACTGTCGTGGAGTAATTCCGCAGCTGATTCTAAGTTATCTCCGAAATATACGTGAATCCACCATGCACCGGCGGGCCGCAAGTCGCCTCGCTCCTATGTTCTTCGGATGATTCGACATCTATCTCGACTATCAAAGTAGGTTCATCTTGAATCATTTGGCTTGTCCGCAATATTCAGACTGGCCTTATCGCTCTGCGGACGTGTCAGTCAACGCAACATGAACACCTGCAGCAGTCGATCTGCCTACCTTGGTCTCAAGCACAAGAGCATCCACCGCCCGAGTTACATGTTGGTGATGCGCGGGCAGCAAATCGGACGGGCTCGCTGCATGGGCAGCATGCGAGCGCGCCGTTGGTTGTTGGCGACGGTGAAGCCGCGGCGACGGCGACGAGCGCAACTACGACGGCGATAATGCGAGTGCTAAACATCGTTCGAGTCGGGTTGGGGTGGTGCTACCCTCGGCTCCCTCAATCCGAATTTATTCGCCAGAAGAGACACGCGCAAGCGAACTCTGCATCAGAATACAGGTCCCCTCCATGCGTCTCAGGCTCAGATGGATAGCGATGATATTGTCGTCCCGGCCGATTGGATTCCAAAAAAAGCTCCTTTTCGTTCTTTATCTGCGAAGTACGGAGGACATTGGCCGGCCATCACTGCGGCCAAGCGCAGACGTGCGTGGAGTACAATCCAAACGGGAAATTTGACAGACGTTGGCCCCGTCCCTGCCCTATCTGACCGTCCCTGTGACCGCATTTCAGGGATGCCGCGTACCCGTGGCATACGGAAGCATGCCGAAGTCGAAAATGATGTGCATCGGCGAATAGCAACGAACAGCCACGATGCTTCGGCGATCGTCCGAGGCCTGCGATCAAACGTCCGTCGAAATGCTCCCGCGCGTACCGGCATCAAGCTCGAGCTCAAGGTGAGCGCTGGATCATGCTTTCATCACGTTCATATTCGCCTCCATCCCCGTAATCCATATGATAAATGATCCTCTATCGGTGTCGCAGCGTGATCAGGCTTCCTTCATTGTTGGCAGCCTGTTCATACTCGACTCAGTTGTATGAATTGTCAGAACGACGGACAAGCATCCATACCCTGCGACTCAATCACAGGCACACCCTCCGGTCCTCCTGCATGTAGGTGAAGCGCGGGCCAGCAACGCGGGGGGTTCGATAATGATGCATGGACAACAAGGAAGGATCGTTCCAGTTGCTGTGGTGGACGTCGGAATCGTGGTCGTAGCGGTCGGCGACGCAGCGATTACCGCGACGAAAGCGAACAAGACGGTGGCAAGGACGCGTGTGCTGAGCATCGTTGAACTGGGGTGCCAATGTAGCCTTGTAGCCTGCAGTTCCGCTCATTTTATGTCGTGCAATCGAAACATAGCAGAGATCTTGACATTTAATTGCGGTGCTGCTCGGTGCCGACATGGACGCGTTGCCTGCGCTGGTCCGCATTTCACGATGTTCATGCCCTGAGCACGTCCTGGCGCACGATCACACGGCCGACGCGTCCGCTGCATGCAGGCTTGGAGAATGGAGCATTGTCGGGGTCAGCGGCACATCTTCTCCGGGGGTGGGACTCCGAGGTAGAAGGGTTCAGCGGGAATGAACTGAGTCACTGACTTTGATGCGCCGTCGGTGAGTTGAAATGGCAATTGTCGCACGTACTCTTGATTTGGGCGCCGTGGTGACATTCAGGGACGAATCCAAGAAGGGTGCGACTTGGATTTGACAAGGCTGGGTAAAAGATAAAACATCCAAAAATAGACATACATGAATTTGCGTTGGATCTGGCAGTTTGATTGGAGGTGAATCAGGTACGCGGCGCAAGACTGGAGGATAGTATACTATGCACCCACCCCTAATGCAACATCGCCCCCTAATGCAACATCGACACAAATCCCATTCCCGTTCCTTCCCTGCTCAGCCGTTCGTCTGGAAAAAAATTCTATGTACTCTCATACATCTATACATACTGTGTGTAAGAGCTGAGGTGGGAGCGAGGCTTGGTTCGGGCTACAGAAAAACATTAGAACTGCTCGAGTGAGTTGATGCAACATGTCGCGAGTACTCCACGGCCTCGCTTCGCCGGATCGGTAACGCAAATTTTATGGAAATATTTGGTAGTGCTTATGACCTTATATAATATCCGCCACGCTATCCCGATTTGCGATTGGTTTAGTAGTGCTGCTGTAGGAGGAGGTTCAACACAAAGGACGGTGTTGGCGTGACGGATGAGTTCAAACTCCGCCTGCGTTGATTGGCTTGAGCCGCTTGAGCCCTGCGTTGCGTTCCAGCCTGTCCTATTCCGGCACCTCGGCAAGTCGTGACCGCGTGTGATGATCTCGCAACTTTGGCTGGTGCTCACTTCGTCTCGCCGGCATCTCTCTAGCAGAGTTGAGGCTGAACCAAAATATTTAAGACGCTGCATGACATATCTATAGCATCTTTGCTATCTACTGGTAAACTTTTAGACGATTTCAAAGCAATTTGAGGGAGATATAACCCTAATGCAACACGCGTTGCATTAGGGGTGGATGCACAGTAAAGTCATAGACGAAAATCGCCTTCCATAAACCGAACCGTCCGATTTCCAAAATGCGCCCCGTCGTAGCTATCTTATTCATCGTTGCCGGCTTGGCCGGAGTCGTTACCGCAGCAACCGCGACCACGACCGCAACTCCAACGCCAACGGCAGTAACGGGCTGCTGCCCTTGCCCGACCCTGAATAACAAGCAGTCAACAATTATCAAATGCAAGCCCTGCGATTGCCCACTCTGAGTAGGCCTCTTTCGACTCCGGTGGGGACGCTTCTTTTGCAAATCAATATATAATGGCCTGACATCGGCCGCTTCATAATGTAGAACCAGAGAACGGAGTTGTTGGGGAATGGTTCCTGCGCCGGCACGGAGTTCTTAATGTTGTTCCGGTACTCGTACTTTCGATGAAACGATCAGAATGCAGTGACGACCGGGACCATCGGCTCCTTGGCATCTTCAGTCAGCTTGCATTTCCGGACAGTGCATCTTCCGCTGACAACTGCTAGCACCGCCTGCCATCCTCTTGGAGCGGACTGCAGTGGTCATGCATACCAGATAGCGCTGACCGCCTACACTGAGGAGCCCTGCGAAGCCGATGGGTTAAGCAGGATAGAAATCGACCATCCTTGTCATGAGAACGTAAGAATTCATCCCCAGCATAACCGAATATGCGTACAGGTTCTATCCTCGCGCCACTTGTCGCTACCGTCATCGGCCTGGCGGTTGCCACTCCAGCCTCGGTTGATTTACGCTTGCCGTGTTGTCCTTGTAAGACCCTCGGAGGAGGCGCTATTACAGTCAAGCGAGAGGCAACGCCTACGACAAAGGCAACCATCTCGCTGCCAACATGTCGCGTATCTCCCGATTGCAATTGTCCGTTGTGATGCGGTTTCAGGGGCGAGCAAGGTAAGAACGCCAATTCACGTGTTCTTCTGTATAAGCTCATGGATAGAGCAGCCGCGGTTACGTTTATAACCGGCGAGGAGTCCTGAAGGAAGGAAAGGGTGGTATGACCGAGTTGGGCTTGAATGGGTCCTCGACTTCTTCATGACTTCCAAGTGAAACCTATCTATTTACCGGCTATATAGCAACTCGCACGAGTATGGACCTGAAAAGCATCAACAAATATAGACTCCTGACGTTGACCACCGCGCGGAAGGTGGCGCGAGCGTCGACAGGCCTGGGTGTCATGCATGATGCGAGACATGAGAGAATGCATGGACAGTCCGTGTGCGTGGATTGACGGAAGCGGCTCGGACGGTGGTGCACGTGCCACGAGAGATATAAAGTCAACTGGTGGAGGTCGAAGGAGGGCCAATTATCCTGAAATGCACGTCGCACAAGTCAAATTCATCCTATGCGCTTTCGCCGCGCTTGTCGGCGTCGCGACCGCAACAGTCACGCCTACACCGGACATTGGCTGCTGTCCCTGCCCGCCTCGCAATCTCCTCAAGCGGGACGCGGTCATTCCAAGTTGCAGGCCGTGCGCTTGCCTACCATGAACGACATCAGGTAAGGCACACCCTGAACACAGAGAGAATGCCATGACGTACTTCTCCGCCGTTACAGAGTACTCCGATGAAGGCGAAGTATACGGTGATAGATACCTGAGCTGTGTAGCGCTTGTGAGAATGGAACGCAAACGCTTGAACGCCGTAACAAGGTTTTTGTCTATCCTCTCTGGATAGTCGAGGAGCAGGTCCGGACTGCTCGGTTCTTGGCGCAAGGGAACTCTACATCATTCGGTATAAGTCTCCGCCCGGATCTGTGCCAAGCAATGACCGTATAGGCTGTTTGGTCGGTATGCAGAGATGATGGCGCTGCGTTTGATCTGTGGGGTCAGGATGAACACTTCGCTCCTTTCTACCAAGCGGTCCCGGAAGCCGGGGCTGGGAATGCATAGGGCGTCGTGTAGTGCACAAGGGTCGTTGGCGTCGCCTGAGGGGTCCGACGTGTTGCGGAGTTCCGAGCTCTGAGGGGCTTGGCAACCTAGCCAGAGGATATAAAAGCTGTATGACGGGGAAACCATAAGGGTATCAGCGACAGCAACGCGCAAAACCAACACCTCCATGCTCACTATTCGCATCATCGCATTGATCCTCGTGGGCTTCGTCGGCGTGGCCGTCGCCACACCAGCAGGACTGCCGTGTTGTCCCTGCGAAACGGCTGTCAAGCGCGAGCCAGCTTTCACCGCGAGGGGCGGAATAGCAACGCTCCCGGCTTGTATCCCTGGGTGCGGATGCACGGTTTGAAGGGAACTGCAGATTGACCAGGATACTATCACTGGAGGCAAGATTGACTTCGATCCTGTGCATCGTGTCTAGTCTCATGTATTAATTCAGGAGAATCGTGGGTTATATGAGTATCCGGGAGTCGCTTCGGGGGTGGATATGCGCCGCTGGTTATTGTAGCAGGAATGGACCACCACCAGCTATGACTCGTTGACCAGAGCAATAAATTTCCGTATATACGGAGTCCCTTGAGCTTTCATCGAGCCTGAATTCGAAATATTCACAGCTGGCGCAGTACACGATCAGATGGAAGAGAGAGAGAGAGAGAGAGAGAGAGAGAGAGAGAAAAGCACAGCCACTTTCCCACGCTTCATTGGCCTGCCAAAATCTTTCCGCGCTGCTTGTGCCCGCTACGCTCGTACAAGATCAATGAAGGGCACAGGCAAAAAACCACATTTACTTGTCGAACCCTCTCCGCAATGGTTCACCCAACTATTGCCTCTTCCTGTGCCCTCCAAGCCGCTAGCTGTAGCCTCACCCGCCAAAGTCACGGCGCTCCTCGCGCGCGCATCTTCCCTACACGATGCGGAACTCAAAACCTATAACTCGTCCGAGAACAAGGCCGGGATTGCATCCTCGTCGGCGGACGCGACCTTCTTGCAGAAAGTGTTGCAGGCCGGGACGCTCAGCGACAAGCTCAGCGCTCTCACGCTACTCGTCCAGAGTAGCCCGCTACATAACACGAAAGCGTTGGAGAGTTTGAAGGGAATGGCGGAGCGGGGGAAGGGGAAGGGAGGGAGGGAGGAGAGCTTGAAGGCGTTGCGATGTATCGTCGATTGGTGGGTCGGCGGAGGAGGACCAAGCAGAAAGCTGAAGTACGTTAATAGATCCTCATGCAAGCTCCGTGAATTGACCGTCCGTGGTTTTGTGCAGATACTTCCGTGATCAACCTCTCCTTCATCCTGACGTTTCGGAACGTCACCTCCTTATATGGTATTTCGAAGACTGGTTGAAGAAGTACTTTTTCTCAGTTATACAGATCATGGAGGTACGCGTCGCTTGTTTGCTTTGACATACAGACGACCTCTTAGCTCACCCCGGATCCTCCCCCTCTAGACGCTGTCCCTCGATCCATTGCCATACGTCCGCACGCAGGCATTGTCCCAGATCGCTGCCTTACTTCGCTCGCAGCCTGAGCAAGAACAGAATTTGCTGCGTTTGCTCGTCAACAAGCTTGTACGTCATCCAATACTCTCACCCAATGCATACAGACTTGTTTGATCTGAATTGACGTTACAGGGCGACAGTGACCGCACAATATGCTCCCGAGCGTCGCACCACGTACTGCAGCTGCTACAGGCTCACCCGTCCATGAAGCTCGTCGTTGTCCGCGAAGCCGTTTCGCGCATGTTCCATACCGCGCTCTCCTCGAGCGCCTCAGCTACCTCCAAATCCACCCATATTCGTTTCGGCGACGCCGGCCCGAAGGGACATACGAAGGATACTCCGAAAAGGGGGCAGCGGAACATGCACGCGCGTTACTATACGACAATCACGTTCAACCAGATCGTGCTGACTCCCAAGGAGCGCGACGTCGCGGTGCAGCTTATCAATGTATATTTCGATCTGTTCAAGGATCTACTCGGGGAGGGCGGCGAGGCGGATGACGCGCAGTCCGTCAGTGAGAAGGGAGAGAAGGACGGGGGGAAGGATAAGGGAGGGAAGTTTCAGAAGGAGAAGGGCAAAGACAGGAAGGGCAAAGGGCGCGAAGTGAACGCGGACGGGATGTTCACCGAGATCGAAGACTCGAACTCGAGGTTGATATCGGCACTGCTGACCGGGATCAACCGTGCACTCCCCTTCGCCAAAATCTCGGAAGGAGATCTTGGGTAAGTCTCGCTCTGCCACTTCCTCTTCGAGCTCCTCCTAACGTACGCGTTCTTACAGGTTCAACCGACACATCGACACGCTGTTCCTTATCACGCACAAATCGACCTTCAACATCTCCTTGCAAGCCCTCGTCCTCATCCACCAGATTTGCGTCTCGCTCCGCCGCCCATCCCCCCCATCCTCCTCATCAAAACCATCTGCGTCGTCCTCGGGTGCGCAGGTGCAAGATCGCTACTACCGCACGCTTTACGCGTCGCTTCACGATCCCCGACTGGCGACCTCCAACAAGCAGGCGATGTACCTCAACCTCCTCTTCAAGTCGCTGAAGTCGGACCCGAATGCGGCAAGGGTGAAGGCTGTCATCAGACGGTTCGTGCAGGTCATCGCGAGTGGCGCGTTTGGCGGGTGCGGTACAGAATTTATTGCGGGCGGGCTGTTCCTTCTTGGCGAGGTCCGCATTCCGGTCATCTCCGGCAGGACATGGGCTGACGAACATGTATAGCTCTTCAGCACGATACCGGGGCTCCGTGCTATGCTTACTACGCCACCCTCCAAATCAGAAAACGCAGAGGCATACGACCCAAAGAAGCGTGACCCCCAGTATGCTCACGCGGGCTCGTCGCCTCTATGGGAGCTCGTACGTGACTTCCTCGTACAAGCTCGCATTCTAGCGATTCTAATGTTATCCCATAGACGCCCCTCCTTCACCACTTCCACCCTTCCGTCGCCCTTCACGCGCGACAGCTGCTCGCCTCGCAACCCGTGACCGCCCAGCCCGACCTTGCGCTCAACACTTTGTCGCACTTCCTCGACCGCTTCGTGTACAAGAACCCGAAGAAACCGAAATTGAAGGGTGATAGCGCAATGCAGCCCGCCGTCGCAGCCACCCTGGGGGGAGGGGCGACGGGCGTGCATCTTCGCCGGGGCGAGGTCACGGACGGTCTGGGATTGATGAACGAGGAGCAGCTGTTGAAGCGACGACCGGAGGATGTTCCGGAGGACCAGGTTTGCATATTTTCGAATTTGCATTTTTCGAGCACCGTTGTCTGACCTTGTGATCACGGCTTGTAGCTGTTCTTCCACAAGTATTTCTCGGCTAAGAAGAGAAAGGAGGCCGCCCGTTCCAAGGCAGCTAAGAGGAAGGAAAGGGGCGAGGACGAAGAAGATGAAGAGGACGATGAGGGCGTCTCTAGCGATGACGACGAGCACAACGACGAAGATAAGGGCCAGTCTGCGGAGCGTGGATCTGAATCGGAGGACGGCAGCGACGAAGAGGAAGCCGAGATCTGGAAGGTAACGATTCCAGCCAGTGACTCCCATATCGTCAAACACTAAATTGCGTATCTTTAGGCAATGAAGGCGACGATGCCCCGCGAAGAGGGTGACGACGATCTGCTTATGGACGACGAGGATGAGGATGACCTCCCTTCGGACTTGGATGACGCCGTGGCCGATGACCTGTCTGCCGACTCCGACGCAGAAGCAGGTCCAGATGTGGCCGACGATGATCAAGAAGAGGACGAGGATGCCGAATCCGCACAGGATGACGATGATGACGATGATGGTTTATCGCTTGCGGAGGCGTCCGACGCCGAAGACCTCGTAGACCTCGACGAGGAGGTTCCTGAAGGCCTCATCCCCTACGATGGGTCTGATGCGGGCACAGATGAGGACGAAGGAGACGCCGAGGAGTGGGGCGGTATCGGCGGTGGTACGAAGAAGCGCAAGCGCGCTTCCGAGGTCAGGAGGGGACGGAAGAAGCTCAAGTCGTTGCCCACGTTTGCGACGTACGAAGACTATGCCGCGATGATCGAGAACAGCGCAGAGGATAACATATAAGTGGGAGAGTACTGCATCAAGTCGTGTTGCTCTACCTATTCAATACATACGGCTTCTTCGGCCCCAATCCCGATTACCGGTTATACATACATTATGTGGATGACTCAGAGAGCCTTCCAATCACCCAAATGATCCTCTAAGGCCAGCGCAGCGCGGTATATTGTCAGCTCGTCGTAGTGTTTCCCGATGATTTGCAGAGAGATGGGCAACTTCAAGTCTGCCGGACCCTCGGCCGGCGGCAGCATCCCTATGGGCATAACCAACGCAGGGTGTCCCGTTTGGTTGAACATGGCGCAGTTCAGATTCTGGCGGAGATAAATCGGTGAGCGAGGGATGCAGGTTGCTTAAACGGAACGATTACCTGTCCAACGGTCTTCGCGAGCTTGGCAGCTGGCGTTGCGTTCGCGTCAGCAAGCGTGTTTGCCGGAGCGGGGACGGCAGGGAGTACGATGATATCGTACTCGCGTAGACGCTCGTCGTAAGCATCACGCAGTTTTCGTAGAAGGTTTTGAGATTTTCCGTACAGCTGAAGGACGGTTTAACTTCGAATGAAACAGTTGACAGGTGGGATAACGCTCACCGTTGGATACTTGTCCCACAAATACAATCCGTTTAACATGAGGTTACTTGCAGAGGGGAATAACTATAGGACTGTCAGAAGGAATGATCAGTCCACCGGAGCTCATGACATACCTTGTCCCACTTTTCCTGCGTCCACGGCAAAAACTTGTCTTGCAGATCGTTCAGGTAGAGCTGCCTCCGACTGCATGTTGCGCCGATTCTGCCCATATAGCCCGCCATGCGCGTGGCAGCGAGGTGGTACGCCGGTCCGCGATTGTGGATAGGTATGCTTATCTCTTCAACGACGGCCCCGAGTGCCTGGAACTTCATGCAGGTCTCTACGACCCTGGCACGAACGCGCGGGTCCATGGCTGGCATGTCGAGTCCTTCGCGCAGGAGGCCGATTTTCATGCCCTTGACGCCCTGGATCCGGGAGGCGAGCAGCAGGGAGTAATACTGAGGCACCGATCCGGGGAAGGGTGTTCCCGGACCTTGCCTGTCGTCGATGTTGTCGGCACCCGCGATGACTTGCAACATTAAGGCATTGTCGAGGACATTGGAGGTTATTGGACCTTTGGTCGTGGTAAGCGCGTGCTGATCCACTGAATATCAACGAGCAAACCTGCATGATCGTTCGTAGGTTCGTTGGACACTATCCCAGTGTAAGACACCAGTCCAAATGCTGCACAACTCGGTCAACTCGGTACTGAGGGATGAAGCGCGGCACACTGACTCGGCTTGAGACCGACGCAACCACAAAGCGCCGCGGGCATGCGTATGCTTCCACCCTGGTCCGCGCCAACCGCCAGATCGACGAGGCCTGCACCGACTAAGGCAGAGCATCCCGAGGACGAGCCGCCGGCGCTTCGCCCTCTGCAGTACGGATTGTGAACGGGCCCTGTGGCGGCGGAGAACGAGGCGGCGAAGGTGCACATGCTTTCGCAAACGGCTTGGCCGACGATGGTCGCACCGGCCTCGAGCAGACGGGTGACAACCTTATGATAACATCAGCAACTGTGTAACGATAGACAAACGAGCCGGGAAGCTTGCCGTTGCGTCAAGCTTCGGCACCCAGTCTGTGACGACATCTGTGCCCATGAGGCAGGGTACGTCGGCCACGGCGATGCAATCTTTGAGGCAGACGGTGCGTCCGGCCAGTGGCCCGGTTTTCGTCGCATCCGTTTTCACATCCTTCAGCGTGTACCTGCGGACAACGATCAACCGTTGCAAAAGTCCCTAATAAAGGGATATCTGACCTCCAGGCCCAAGCGCCCAACTGATTATCCTCGGGGTTTGGAAAGTGTACGTTCTGTCGAGGAAACCGCTCACGATCCGGGACCGGATAGTAATCTTCTTCGTCCAGAAGCCTGCCGAGCACCAGGCACGATAAATGCATTAGCGAGAGCGAACAGACACCGAAGCGCCGCAACGAGAACGACGCGATACTTGATACTTACGGCTGTACAGAGTCGTAGAGCGCTTGAAGGAAACGTAGGTAATCCGTTTCCTCCTCTTCCCTGATGTCGATGTCACCAATTTTGCCGACGGTGGCGCGAAGATCGTCGACGGTGACCGGATTGTTTCTGCGAGGTAAGGTTTTGTGGTGAGCACGCCAAGATGCGTATACCCCGGGTTCGGATGCAGAACCTACTCGGAGACGGCGAGTGAAACGACAGACATGGTTTCCACTGACGCAGGGCGATGCAGGTGGAGCGCAAGCGCAGGCTACCGACGAGACGGGGCGGATGGGCTTTAGTCCTTCGTGGGGTGAGGGGATGGGTTCGGAGCGACGCGAACGGATCTTTGAAGGGCATGATGATGCTCTATAGCCAGCGTGGCGGATCTACACACACACACACACCGGAAACAGGTAATAACAAGTTGGCTGACGCCGTCACGATGGCAGCCTGAGGCCTTGGGACCTGGCAAAACCTGGCAACGTTCAGCCTGCGGCACGCATCCCCCCAAAAGTCGAAGCCGGTGGCATCGATAGCGCAAGACGGGCGCGGAACAGCGAGCAAAGATAGGCAGAAGCCCCCACGCTCCCGCAGGCAGGGGAGGCGGAGCGAGCGACCGGACTGCGAACAGCCGCCGGGCGTGGTTCACATCCTTGGCGCGGGTTCGGGTTTGCGGAGCTGGGGCGAGCGGCCGGCGTGCGCACTGGGTACCGATGGAGGAACAAGGCGCGAACCCGGCAACTTTGGTCGGTACCGAAATTAGCCTGGGCAGGGCCAAAACACTGCGGGCTGGCGTTCGTGAAGCAGGGGCTGATGAAGTCTTCGAAGCAAGCTGGCTGTCGAAGATGGGGGCGTTTGGCTTCTCGGGCGCCACCAAATGCGGAGAAAGAAGTCGAGCCCGTGGGCATCCTTCCGCGTGTGGCGGAGGTTTATTGTTGTACATGGAGGTGGGGAGGGCATGATACGCTCAAACCCGCATCGGGGTGACGCGTGGCGTTGGCGTTCCGACTTCGTCGATTTCAATGAGATCCCTGACAGATAGACAGCACCCCTCCGGCAAAAGTCTGAGTTCGTTTTGCCTCCCCCGAGTTTCGCATATGTCCATATAACGGATAGATCACGTCGTTCAACGTTCAGTCCAGCAGGCAGTTCAAGATCGATCGTCCTTTCATATATGTCGCTCCGGCGTTCAGAAAACGATCGAGAGATCAATCATTATCGGCGCTCTCCACCTCACCACGGCTTGTCGAAAGCCGGCGCGTGCTTGATGGCCTCCGGATCGTACGGGAACTGTATCGCCAAAAAAAGTGATCATGAGCCCGCGAGCAAAGAATAGAACAATTGTGGGAACGCTAGATACCTTTTCGGCCCAGTGCTTCGCGATCTCGCTGCGCGTCGCGACCCACACGCCTGGTTTCTTGGAGATGTATTCCACAAAGTGCTTGAGCGCAGGGAAGCGTCCTGGCTTGCCGATACTGCGAACGTGGGAGAAGAAAATCACCAGGGAGTGAGCGTGATTGCGTCACCGAGTTGCGATAAGGGAAGGAGGAAACAGACGTGGTCGAGAAGGGCGAAAAGTCTGATTGTGACTGTGGCTCTGAAGAGTTCCCGGGTACTCACACGCGACAGTGTAGGCCGATGGACATCATCTTGCCGCCCTCTTCGTAGAGCGTGTCGAAGGCGTTCTTCAGGTACTCTTCGAAGCCGCTCGCGGACGTGAAGCCGGGCGGCTGAGTAAACTTGAAGTCGTTATTGTCGTAAGCTATGCCGTGCCGGACGCGAGCAGTAAAGGAAGGAAGAGTAAGAAAGTCAGCAGGAGGGATATCTATCGTGTCCCAGTCGGAAAGAAGAAAACGAAGAGGCTTACTGTACGGAATCATGAGCAGGCCCTCGTGCCTCTCGCCGCCGGGATACGGAATCCAGTACGGGAGGTCATCGGCATCTGTGCGCACAAAAACACAATTCACATCGTTTAGCGCGGTGGTCTCGGTGGCGTCCCGGCGCCTCTCCGCCGATGAATGGTTACGCGAACGAGAGAACGTGCGAGACGCGGATCGCAAGCGGAGAAGGACCCGAGTATGGAAGCGGCAGCAAACACGCACAGGAATCGCTCTGCCAGTGGAGCGGGATGCCTTGTTCCTTGTGGACCTGGGCGATGAGGGCCCTCGACCGCGTCGAGGGCCGGCCGAGGTACCAACCGCCCGGGGGCTTGCCCGAGACGGAGTTCCGCTGGATGGACGCGATGCCCGCTCGAATTAGCGCCTTTTCCGCCTCGGGATCGTTCTCGAGGTCAGGGTGATCGATCCAGCTGTGAACGCAAGAAATTTAGCATGGACCTTTCGGTATTTTTCCCTACGGGAAATAGTGCAAGGGGACGCACCGGTAGCCGTGCATAGCGAGCTCGTGTCCATGCTTCTCGAACTCGGGTCCCGCGGGCGGATTAACGTCGAGTGCACGACCGACCGCATAAATAGTTATCTGTGTGGCCGCGAGCCATTACGGTTTAGGACTCGAATTGGACATGCCCAAGGCGGCGCCGTGGTAGCGGGGACGCTGACCTTCATGTCATGCTTGTCGAAGAGGTTCATGATGCGCCAGACGCCGGCGCGGGAGCCGTACTCGTACTGGGACTCCATCGGCCAGTCGCGGCTACCGTCCTTGAGGGGCGTTGCGCCGAAGCGCTCGTTGAGGTTTGCCTCCGTACGAGCGTCTCCGTTAAGCGGGTTGTACTAGGCGTGGCGAACACGTGTTTAGCATGGGCCGTGCGGACAGGCGATGAGAGTATTAAGGTGGCATCGATGACGCCTGGTGGGTTATTCCTCACCTCGCCGCCTTCCTCGTAGTTGAGGACGAAGGAGACCGCGATGCGCGCACCGTTGGGCCATTGGGCGTCCGGGGGGTTGCGCCCGTAGCCGACAAAGTCGCGGAGGGGGATGTCTGTCGAGTTGCGTTCCATGGTGATGATGATGATGACGACGAAGGCCCGATAGCTGGGAGGACGACTGTGCTCGTGTGCACGCGCGCGCACAACTTGGGACAGACTGCCATGGTCGACGCGGGAGGCAAGCTCTTGTTGGTGGCGTCCGGCTGCCGACGGCAAATCCGGCGTCTCTGTTTTCGTCCGTTGGTCGTCGTTCGCTGAGATTGTGGCGTCCGCACTAGCGTGCGGCGTGTGCCGGGGGCGGGGGCGGCGGGCCGGCGGGCGGGAGGCGGGGATCGGTCGGTCGGGCGCGGTTGTGTCGGAGATGCTGTCGGGAGCGCTGGGGCCCACGCAAGGTCCGCGCCGCAACCCGTCAGTTATCCGACCCCCGGACAAGGGCAGAGAACGCAGGCGGGGGTCCGCTGGGGCCGCTTATACGCTGCTTCGCTTCGATCGCTTCTGGCCACCCGCTTCTGGCAAGGGAAATGCCCCAGTCGTTGCGTCAGGGCTCGAAGGGCGCGCTCTCCAGTCGGGCTGTGTTCCTTAAAGCGGTCCAGACCAAGTGAGCAGTGCCTGCTATGTTTCCCGCCATGTTCGCTAACATCGCCGCCGTCAGAGGCTCCGACGACTTCGAGGGCAGACACCAGTGGAGCAACAAGGACCTCGACCCCACCCCGCCTGAAGACCGTAAATGGACCCGCTGGGACTACGCCGCGCTCTGGTGGGGCTGCTCGTTCAACGCAAATGCAAGTCCATCTACCCCCGTTCATTTCTGCGCTGCGCACAACCTGACCCCCGGTCTAGGAGTGGGCAGGGGGCGCTGCGCTCGTCTCCGTCGGCCTCTCGTTCTCGCAGGCGATGGGGGTCACCATCGTCGGCTCGTTCATCACCTCCATCGCCATTGTCCTCAACGCACGGCAGGGTGCCCTCTACCACATTGTGCGTGCACGCCAACTTCGTGGGCTAATCTCACATCCCACCGTCTGACTCGACTGCCCACAGGGTTACCCCATCACCATCCGCTCGCAGATGGGTGTCTGGGGAGGCTACGCCTTTGTGTTTCTCCGTGCGATCGTCGCCATCATATGGTACGTGACTCTGTCTTGGCGCCTCGGGCATTAAACCCGATTCACCGACGTCGCCAAGCTAACCATGGTTTATCGCCTCAGGTTCGGTATCCAGTCCTATTACACTGGCCGCCTCTTTTCTGTCGCCCTCCGCTGCATATTTGGCCATCGATGGACCGACATGACCCCCTTTCCGCTCTCGGCTGGCATCACTAGCCAGGACTTTACGGCATTCATCCTTATCTGTGAGTCGCCTTTGCCAAAACAGGCCAAATCACCATTCGCCTGCCCCCCTTCGCCCTCCGCAGTTTCCCCTCTCAATTATATACAACAGTCGAGATATGACTGCGATGCTGATATTACCCCGATAGATGCCCTGCAGTTACCGCTGATACTCGTCCATCCTGCGCACATCCGGCGCGTCTTCGAGGTCAAGGCGTGGATCCTCCCACCATGTGCCATCGGCCTCACCGCCTGGGCATGCACCAAAGCCGGTTCGTGTGCCTTGCTTGCCTTTCTCCTGACCTCATCCCCACCCGCTTCCTCGCCGTTCCTTCCCTTGCCTTGCTCACATAACCCGGCTCTCACCCTCATAACCTCATCCTTCCCCCCCCTTGCAAATCTGGGCCCTCCACGCTCATTTTGGCTATCGGTCTCGGTCCCTCCTATGATGATATGCCTACTCATGTTTCGCGTCAAATTCACCCAGGCGGCTTCTCCAAATTCGATTTGGCCACCAAAACGACCCAGCACGGGTCCGCGCTCGCGTGGGTCTGGATGAGCTGCCTCAACGCCGTCATCTCCAACGCCTCGCCGATGATCCTCAACCAGCCCGACCTTGGCCGGTACGCGACACGCCCAGGCGAGGCAGGGTGGTATCAGGGCCTCGCCATGTTCGTCGTCAAGAACCTCGTCACGTTTGTGAGCCCTGTCCGGGTGTTCTTACGTCATACAGCTCGTTAACGACCGATACCTCTCTTCCCCCCAGTTTTCGATAGCCACGACGTCCGCGCTGGTGGTTATCTACGGCGGGGAGCCGCAGTGGAATCCATGGGACCAGCTGAACTTGATTCTGGATCACAACTGGACGTCCGCGGGCCGCTTCGCCGTCTTCCTCGTTTCCATCCTCTTCTCGTTCGCTACCGTCATGACAAATATCTCTGTGCGTATCTCCATCTTGTTTCTTCCTCCGCGCCTAGGTCGTCCGTGGACCTATTCTCAAGTACGCCGCGCTGACCTACGCCCTTTTTCTTCCGTCCAGGCAAATAGCATACCGTTCGGAGCAGGCAAGGCACCATCATCGCGTCGTGAGAAACTTGGAGCACCCGCTGACCTCCCCCTTCTCTGCTTCTTTGTTCGGATTTCCAGACATCACGGGCATCGCACCGCGCTGGCTCGATATCCGGCGCGGCCAAGCGCTGTGTTACTTCCTCGGCCTCGCCATCGTCCCGTGGAAATTCCTCGTCAGCGCAGGTTCGTATACCCTTATCACTGCCTCGAATTCCTTCACGCGACAGTACGGCCTTCCGACTACTGATCGCCGCGCGCTTCTTTCAGCCAAGTTTATCACTTTCCTCGGGAGCTACACCATCCTCGTCGGCGCCATCCTCGGCGTCGTCCTTTGCGACTTCTATGTCATCCGCAGAGGCAAGTGGCTCTCCCCCAGCCCCCAGCCCCATCGCTCCACCGCCCCGGGCTGCGGTCTAAACCCAATCAACACGATGCCTTGTTTTTTTTTATTTACTGAAACTGCCATCCGCTTGATATATAGGCAACATACACGTGCCGTCGTGTTACACCGGCGCGCGGGACGGCGTCTATTATTTCTACAAGGGCGTGAACTGGCGTGGTTGCCTCGCGTGGGCGTGCGGGTTTTTCATACCCTTCCCCGGCCTGGTGGGGAGCTACGACCCGTCCGCGGTTAATGCCGCAGCGATACACATGGTGAGCGGCCCTCCCTCCGGTCTAGATCCGTTGGGCCGAAGCCAACTGACCGGGTTATGGGTTCGCGCCGCAAATCAGTATCAGATGGGCTGGTTGCTCAGCGTCACCATCTCGTTTTCCGTCCACCTTATCCTTAATAAGCTGTCGGTATCCCCCTCCATTATCCTTTTATGCGAGTTCTGACGCCTTCATTTTTTTCCGATCAAGGTTCCCGGTGCCGGTATATCCGCCCAGCCACGCGCACGTACCCGTCACGTACGAATACCTCGGCGACCAGGCCCGGAACGGCCTCTTCGACGACGAGCACTGGCCCGGCCCCGGCGAGCCCGTCTCGCACAGGGCCGAGTCGGGGAAGATGTCGCCCGCGATATCCGAGAAGGACGCGGCGTCGTCGCTCGGCCGCTCGCACCTGACGGACGGGTACGTCCTGGACAGGTAGCGTCTCCCGCAACGCCGGGCGCCTCCCTTCGGTTGAGTGAAACCGCATGCTGCGGATCTTTTCGGTGTGTCAGCGTTATCGGCGCCAGCTGGGGCCCCCTTGGATGGAGCTCGGGGGTCCAGGGATATCGCACGCGTCATCTACGTATTAAATATCTGTCTTGGGATTGGTCGGATCGGATGGTTTCTCCTGCTTTGCTTAATGTGTATAGATTGTATCGTTATTCGTGGCTGCTTTCGCTCGTTACAACCCGAGTTGGGAACGCGCGCGATGCCGTGTATTCATATAGAATCTTCGGTACTAGATAATCACCATTGCTTTGTTGCTGTCGCGCTTGGATCACGCGCGGGCTCCACTCTCAAGTTTAATCCTTCTGAATTTGATCTGCGATTCTACGGCAGCACGACAGGCAATGTATGGCACAAAGTTCTTGATGAAGCAGGGTAGCAGGGTGCTCAAACGGTACTGTAAGGACATCACGACGTCTGAATCTTCATATGCACTGACTTGGCCCGCGTCAGTTGATCGTAACCTTCGGGACAGTTCCATGAGCATGACCTCGAGCTAGAGTACGGTGCAACGCACCAAACTTGCTGAGGCTGACGCCTCGTCCGCTGTTCTTGACGCCGGTCCAAGCCAGGGCAGGGTCGAGGTAGTCGCAACTGAACCGAAAGCGGTGAGCGCCCCGCTCTCTCGACAAAAGCGGAACGCGACCGGATGGGGCTCACCGGTTCAGGAAGATGGTGCCCGCCTGGAGTTCCTCCTCGATGCGCAAGAACGCAGCCTGGGACTCGGGATTGGCGGCAGCGTTCGTCCAGACGGACGCGGTGAGGCCGTACGGCGAGTCGTTCATGAGGTGGACGGCTTCTTCGTCCGAAGACACCTATCCGGCCGCTCGGGACGTCGTACCTCGCAGGGTCACTGGAAAGTTCTCACCTTCATAATACCCACCACGGGACCGAAAGTCTCTTCCTGCAATCAGCGAAGGAAAAGTTCAGAACCCATCACGCTGAGAAGCACGTTGTGGGGGCTCGCCTTCATGATGTCCATGGAGTGGTCGACGTCAACGAGCACTTGCGGCGCGACGAAGGCATTGCCTCTGGAAAAAGCACCAGTCATTTCAAGCTAGGAAACAAAATGCACATAATCATCATACTGCTTACGGTCTGGCCATCGGGAAATGCGACTCCGGAATGAGAGTCTTGGCTCCCGCCGCAACTACATCAGTCGCTGTTGAATGATTGCACTGATAATGCGACTGAGGAGAGTGATATACCGGCGTCGGCAACCTGTTTTCTGATCCGTTCGGCGCTTGCTATGCTGACAACAGGTCCCATGCTCGTCGCTGGGTTCGTCGGGTTGTCCAGTCTATATCGCTATTGGAAGGTCGGCAATCGGCCCTGACAAGTCAAGAAATATCTTGCGCATACCTTGACGATTTCCACGAATCGGGCAACGAATTCGTCAAAAACGGATTCATGCACATAGATCCGCTGTCAGGGTCGAGCATTATGCACCTTGCAGAGATGAAGATGGATATTGAACCTGCCTCCACAGCGCAGCAACTCTGCCCGGAATTGAACATGGCGCCGTCTACTAGTTCAGCCGTAGTGTACGCGAGATCTGCATCTGCACGGACATAGGCGGGATCTTTGCCTCCGAGCTGGTGGCTGTGTATCAGGAGAGCGGAACAGCAAACCATACGGGGTCTCTTTACCTCGAGAGCCACTCCCTTGAACGTGGGTGCCGTCGCCGCTGCTATCTCGACCGACCGACCGTTGGCCACGCTGCCGGTAAAGCTAACAAAGTCAACCAACGGATGCTGAATAGCATGCGTGGTGAGTTCCGGGCTGAGATGCACTACCTGTTCAAGGACGATGAGTCAGCAAATGAGAGATAATAAACGCGCGGCCTCCTGACCTGGATGACGTCTGCAGGAACACCTGCCGCCACCAGCGCATCGCGGAAACGTTCTCCGGTGAGCGGCGTTTGAGGGGATGGCTTCAGGATAACGGCGTTCCCAGCCATCAGCGCCGGGATAACGCAGTTGACCGATGTCAGGTAAGGGTAGCTGTTCCAGAACATCGGTCACGGCACAAAGGAAGGTGATCAGGCTATGCTTACTTCCACGGAGCGATGCACAGCACGACGCCTAAGGGCACACGCCGAATAAACCTCCTAAACCCGGGCTTGTCCGTGTCCGTGAGCGGTACGTCTGCCAGAGACGATTCGGCGATGGAGAGCATGTAGTCCGTTCGGTCCAGCATGCCGCGTAGCTCGCCGGGGGTCTGCGAGATGGGACGACCCATTTGGAGGGTCAGCTCGCTCGCGGCACGGTCGGCGAACCTCCTGAACTCTTCCTGAGGCCCTGTCGTTTCCTGAGGCCCTGTCGTGATAAGCGGTCGCTTCCCGCGATGAAGACATCGTAGGTACTACGGACCATAAACTTTCTGCCGATGGCGATCCTCTGCGGGAGTGGGACCTTGGCCCACGCCTTCTGGGCGGCGCTGGCTCGGTCGACGACGGCATTGAGCTCTTCGACGGAGGGATAGACCCGTCTGCTGCCGTGAAGGGTCTGGAGCGAGTGCGGAGAGACGGTGGTCTGCTCCGTTGTCGAAAAGCCGCTCATGGTGTTCGAGAATAGCCTGAGACGGGGAGATCTGGTCGATGTCGAGTCGGCTTATCAGGAATCTCGCGAACGTTACCGTGTGGCTGTGCCGCACCAATATCCCGCAAGTTGCCGGCCATGCGTTATTTGACAGTATGTGACTTACAATGAGCAGAGCAGGATACATCAGGTCGATCGATAGCGTCACGAGAGCGAGCAGAAAGCGATCCAGGCCGGAAGCAGCGAGGGCAAGAACGAAAGCGAATAAAAACGTCAAACAGAGGCAGAGGCCCCGTCAAGCGTCCCGCTCCAGAGCAGTGACCATCCGAAACACCTCGTCTTCAACATAAACGCCGCCCTCTCCAGGGATCCTCGAGGCTTGATGGCACGCGGCCGCGTGCTTCCACCTGTCATGACACGGGTTGAGCCTCTTCGATGACAGAACAATGGGATCTCTGCGAGTTTACCAAAACAGTTCAGGCACTTTGGGCTCGATGTCCTTCACGCTCTCCACCGCGACCCAGGCATGGCACTTGTGACATTTCCCCTCCTCGATAACGGGCTTCTCTTTCTTGGCAGGGTTAGCCTTGGGACGCTTGGCCATACGGAACTCCACAGGAGGCGAGAACGGCGTAGCGGTGGCGGCGGAAATACCTATAGCCAACCACGCGGCGCCGTCAGCTGCTTGCTTCAAACACCTGGGAGGACCCGACAAAACGGAGCCGAGACGCACCGTGAGCGTAAAGGAGGTGATAGTTGTACGCGCTAAACTTCATGCTCAGCCAGTCCTGGCGCCCTTCGCCTCCTCTGCGCCGGCTCTCGATGCAGATCGGGCAAAGCCCCACCTTCTCTCGTCCGATTCCTTTCACGAAGCGCGGCGTATACAGGTCCAAGCGACCGTTGATCTTGGGCGGATTGAACGTGCCTTCACGCAAGACTCTAGTCAACCTAGTAAACGACGACCGCACAACATTGTGTCAGTCAATGCATCACCGCGGCCCGTTGAAGGAAGTATGTCTACCTTCCGTCTTCGTCCGGGTAGAATGAGCTCACAGGGAAGCGTCGATACCACAACGGGTAGTCCGAGCGAATCGGGATATGGCTAGGAAATATCCGCGTCCCCTGAAGGTTGGTATCATCGCCATCTTCGTGGTGGTATTCGTCCGAGTTGGTCAAGCCGGACAATGAAGACAGGGAAGACAATGGGGACTTCGGAGCTGTCTTCGGGTGTTTCGACTCATATTCGACATCGACAGATTCTGTGGGAGAGGACGGAGGCAGATCGAACACGGTGTCACTCGAGTGCACGACGAGGGTGTCTTCCGATTCCAGGACCATCGCAGGCGATCCCGGGGGTGAGTAGGTGGCTTCCACCTTGGCTACAGCATGACGAGCGCAGCGGGTCCTCTTGCGGGAAGGGAGCGCCTGATCCGCGGGCTTGCGTTTTCTCGTAGGAATGGCCAGCATGATCTGCGACAAATCGTCTTGAGGGGTTGGAGCAACTTTGGATCTGACAGGGCGATTAGTGAGCTTTCGGCCTCGTGGCGAGCCGGCGCCATGGCTTGTCGGGGCAGGGTGGTCTTCAATCTTGGCTATGGTAGCACGGAGTCTAGCTCGAGTCAGATAGCGAGAAGCCTGCAGTTCAAGATCCTCCAGAGTGCGATCGCAGTGGGAGTAAGTGGTGTCAGAAGTCAGAGGTGCGGCCGGGTTAATCGGCATCCTGCAGAGCTGGACAGAGGCAGGATGGCGTTCAAATGACTCAGGGAACGGAGCTTTACCCGATGATCGAGTATACATAGAGGCAGGAGACGAAACCAGTTCGGGAAGTATGTGGGCACCAGGAATCTGAGGGGAGGATGAGGAAGCTGGTGAGCAGTCAAAATCTGAATCCGAGTCGTAGTCATAGTCGTCATCATCAGCAGAGGAGAACGATGATCTTGAGGATGAGGACCTTGTTCCAGGTGAGTCGCTTCGGAGAGGGGGACGCCGCAGCTTTGCACTAGGACTGTCGTCGAAGGGGTTGACGTCGGAGTCGGAGTCATCGTAATATCCAGGCGGCGGAGACGGCGCAGAACGATTGAACCTGAACCTCGGTGATGAATCAGGCAACCTGGCGTCGGAGGAGAAGTCGGAGTGTACAGAGCTCGGGGACGAAGACCACTCCAAGGGCGCTGTCCGTGAGCCAGCGGAAGTCCTTGTGCGTAGCCTTTCGACGAAGGACGTTGTGGTCTTGGATCCAGCGTTCCTAGGAGAGGGGTTTCGGACAGCCTTGAACGGATCTATGGCCTCCAGCGACGCGATAGCGGTTGCCTTATCCACGATAGGGCTGTCCTCTTGACTTATACCAAAAGATCCTTGAGATTTGCGGATGACAGGATCGGTGTCTGGCTCCTGCGGGGTTTTCCATTGCCGTTCGTCCAAGGATGGAGTAGCAAACATATTCGGGAACTGGTCCAAAGGATCGTAGGCGAGGGCATGAGAGGGAGTACGAGCGGCACTGAAGGATGACGCTCGCGAGCCGTATACACTGCCGGAATCCGGGGGCGTGGCCAAGGCATGAAGGGAGGGAGAAAGCAAGTTATACAGGCGGTAGCCAGAGTCAGAGTGTGTCTGGGTAATCCCCATGCGATTGCGATAAAAGGGGCTGGATGCTAGGGCGCATTCCAGAGGATCCATCGCGGCCTGTCCAGGCGACAACGCGCGTTAAAGCGCGCATATATCGATCAAAAAGGTAGTACGTACCCTTGTACACGAAACTGTGTCGCTATATGCGCGTAAAAACGTGCCCTGATGATCTGCAAGCCTCGAGGACGAGTGGGAGAATAAGCACCAGGAGTGGAGGAGACGCGCCTCGCGCCTTTTTGCTTCGATCGCGTTTCGAGCTCCGCCCCAATATACTCCGACGTCCGAACCCGACCTTAGGGTCACACACTCGCTCTCCACGTCGACCGTGACGAAGATGCGCTACAATGGCCCTGGCGTGCTAGCTTTCTTGTTATTTCCACTCGCTTTCCTGACCTGCTGTGTACGCGCGTCGGCGCTAACGACGTTCATCTCCCCAAATGAACGTCTATGTTTCTACGCGGATGTAGACAAGGCCGGAGAGAAGATTGGTGTGCGTCCTTTCGCCATGTACAATGAATGCCCGTACGGGATGCTCATGCGAAGGCTCGTCCCATGGATATACTATCGTCATCTAGTTCTATTTTGCAGTACAATCCGGCGGTTCGTTTGATATCGACTTTGAAGTGAAAGACCCAAACGAGAAGGTGCTCCTCGACGGACTGCGCGAGCGGCAAGGCGACTACGTCTTCACTGCAAATACCGTTGGAGAGTATGCGTTCTGCTTCGAGAACGACATGTCGACACTCTCGGAGAAACTCATCGACTTCGACATCATGGTCGAGAGCGAGCCGCGGCGAGAGGCGCCGGCGAAGCCGGGGCAGATTGCGGAGCAGACGAGCGCGCTAGAGGAGAGCATATTCAGGCTAAACGGGCAGTTGATGAGCATCAAGAGAACGCAGAAATAGTGAGTGGCTGACTGCAGCTGTGGTGGCAGCGGAACGTTGCATGCTCATGGGGGCGCGGTCGTACAGTTTCCACACGAGAGAAAACCGGGGATTCTCTATCGTCAAGACCACGCAAAAGTTCGCCGCTTTGTAACCTCATCGCATATTCGATGCTGATAGACGTGTTTGCAGTCGTTTATTCTGGTATGCGGTCCTGGAGAGTCTGACCATGATAGGCATGGCGATGTACGTCGTTTCTCCCCCTGGTTTCTGGCGTAGCTACGCGGTATACGGCGCTCTCGCTTACATGCTTATCGGTCAGCGCTCAAGTCTACATCCTTCAAACATTCTTCACCAAAACGGGTCGACGATACAAGGTGTAAAGCGTCTCGCCAATAATGTTCATGTACTTATGATCACGTCGGGGCGTAATTCTCATTACCATGTTATATACGAATGCAAAGCCTCTTCATCGCACAACTTGTAACAAACGGAACAACTGATATACTACTGTATCTCTGCCAAGCTGGTACAAGCTGTCTACATTGGACAAACATTCCCACGCACCCGCTGCTCCTGCACCGATGTACATCCTCGCCCGGGGCACCCGGCGCGCCGTCCCCGCTGTCGCCAGAGCGCGCAAGCAATGGAGCGCTGCTTCCGTCGCTCGACGTATGAACAGTATGAACAGTTCGGACGCGTCGTGCGTGCCTTTACACCCAACATGCGCCTTGACTGACTCTGTAAATGGCAGCGCCAACGGCGCTGCACCTCCAAAACCCGCGGGTGCGGCCTCCAGCTCGGCCGTCAACCCGAAGAGTAGCTCGTCGGGTACAGAGGGCTCGACATCGTCACCTGTGCCGACCAATCCAGTGCCGTCGCCGCCCAGGAGCACTGTGCCCGGTCACATCCCGAAGGAGCTATCTCAGTCGACTCGAACGGAGGCATCCTCAGAAAATGTCGATTTTCCCACCGGTAACGTCGCTTCACAGTCCAACCAGCAGGAGGCAGCGAACCCAGAGCAGATTGCCCCAGTGTCCGCCCCTCACAGCGCGGAACAGTCCTCAATATCCTTGGAGGAGGCAGAACCCGCCATTGCGAAGGCACCCCATCCCCCTTCCGGTGACACCACCTTGGCTTCGGCCCCGTTGCCTTCTGACGCTGCACCTAAAATCCCTCAAGAGGCTGCCTCGGCACCCAGCCTCGCCGACCTCGAACCCTCAGTGGCCAACCTCCCCACCACACCAAGTCCTCCGAGTTCTTCAGAGACAATACCAGAGAGTGCTGACCCCGAGCAGCAAGCGCCGATCACTCCCCCGGCTTCCGCCGCTCCTCCCTCAGCAGCCAAAGAAAACAGCGTGGAAGAGCTAGACGATGTACTAGAATCTCCCGCAGACCCCCTCGCCGCTCCTTCTCTCTCCCTTCCTTCCGCAACTCGCGGCAGGCGTCGCTCTTCGCGCCCCTCCACCTCAACGAATCAGGGAGAGGTCACAGAGGCAGAGTACGCTGCAGCCGTCGTCCCCGGCCGCTCGCTCTTCCCTGCTTACCACCACCCGCGCACGCACGGCATCCCCGCCGCCTCTATCCACCTCCGCGCGCATCATCCATCGCTGCTTGAGCAGTTTGCCTTCTTCGTGCAGCACGCGGCGGCGGCGCTGGGCATTCCGACGGGCGGCACTGCGATGCTGCCCACGCAGCGGAGGCTGTGGACGGTGCCGACCGCACCTTTCGTGCACAAGAAGAGTCAGGAGAACTTCGAAAGGACGGTGCACAAGCGCGCGATCAAGGCGTGGGATGCGGATCCGGAGGTGGTCAGGAGGTGGATCATGTACCTGAGGGCGCACCAACTGCCAGGTGTCGGCATGAGGTGCGTGTTCTGGCTCGTTACTGAGATTGGGTGTTCATGTGCTTTGCCAGGGTTGTTACTTGGGACCGCGTCGAGGTTGGCATTGGAAAGAAGATTGAGGTGCGGATGGACAAGGCGAAGGACAATCTTCTCAGCCAGGAAGTCGCGCGGCTTGGCCAGAAGATCGTCCAGGAGGAGCTCGCCGCTGCCAAGGCGGACATCACTGTACCGGCTACAGCGACCCCGACTCCGTAAACAGCTCACGAGTCGCTTATCGCGTGGTAGATTTTGGCAGGATCGTATCCCCTAATCACTGGCAATAATATAATGGCTCGTAACCGTCTATCTATGAATCATATGCTCAACTTGTGAACTGATCTCTGCGAGAGAATTGTCCTCCGCTGATGGTACGACGAAAACTGGGCTACCGCTAGATCGACATATGTCTGCTGTACGGTGTACCACCGCAATAGGGATAAGAGACGCTAATCGATCAGTCGGAAAGACGCTATCCCAACTTTCACGCTATGGCCGGAAACTGACACTGCTAACTTGGAGGCACGCACCACCGGCCCGAGAGGTGGTACATAGCACGTTCACCATCGTGCCCTGTTTGTCAAACAGGACACTTGTCATAGTCCTGCGGGCGGGTATTTATACTGACTGGGACGCTCGAGTCGGCTTGAAATCCGCTCCAGGGATGTTTTGGCATGCCGGATCGTCAGCCAGTGGGCCCTTCGTTGCAGCTGCTTTGTTCGCCGCGGTAAGCTTGGCGTTGTCAGGGAGGCCATTGTCCTGCAGAACGGGAAGGTGAAAGGAATATTCCGTGCAGAACGTTTGTGCACTCACCACAATCAACCAACTGAACAAGAAACAGATGGCGACAATGGCAAGGTAAACCAGGAATATGATGTGCAGGGCCTTGGCGAATGCCCGGATCACGCCTTCGCGGATCTAAAAGTTCAAAGGTTGGTATTGATATAACTGCATAACTAGATCTTGTGACGCACCGTAGGATCGAGATCCTGCGGTAAGGTCAGCGAAGCTGAGTGTATTAGCTGGCGCTTGAGAGCATCCGGCAACTGCTGCGGTAGATGAGCTTTAACGACGTTGTTTCGTATCGCATTGGACAAAGCGAGACCAAAACTGGAACGCGAGCTGGTCAGATTCTAACGAATTGCGCAATGACGCGGTGCTTACGCTCCGCCCAGCGTTCGGCAGAAGTTACGGGTGCCGGTCACCACCGCTCTGTCAATTGGCGGTGCGGCGGCTTGCGCGGAGACAAGGGTCGTCTGCAACGTTCCTCCGACGCCGATGCCCTGTATAAACAGAAATCTTTCGAAGCTTGAGACCGAGGATAAGAACGTGCACTGGCCGCTGCACTCACCCGACGATGTAGCTCCTGTGGATCCACCAAATGACACCGCCATCGCCATATCCGCGTGCTATCCTCGGGAAGAGCGTCTCGAGCCCGGCTCCAATCAGCCAGAATGCGAACCCGGTGACAATTTGCGGTTTGATGCGACCAGTGCGCATGGTGATCTGCCCGTTGGTCACACCTGATACACAAAACTTATAAGTGCGGGATTGCATAGCATGGAAGTAGCTCATACTGGATATTGTTTGAACAACTAGTAGGGCGAGAAGGTAGCAAGCGGAGGTGATGGCAGACATGTCTAGCATCGATTGGAAGAAAATGGGCAGGCTGCGTGGACCCTTCTGTCAGCTGCGAAGGCCACAAGTAGGAGTCGCATGGATATACGGACAAGTATAGATTTCCATAGTAGACCATGCCAACGAAGATCGTTTGAACGAATATCACGCCTACAGTCCTGTATCTGAAGAGTCGCAAAGGTAGCACAGGAAGCGCGGCAATCTTCCATTCTACCACGATGAAGGCAAGCCACAGCAGACAGCCGACGGTCAGCATGCTGATTACCAACTGCGATAGACGTCAACGGCTTGGACCCGATTGTTTATGCCAGGCGAGAGATATACCGGCGAGCTCCAGGACCAAGTAGCGCCTCCGCTTGATATTGGGACAAGGACAAGGACATTCGCCGCCAAGGAAAGAGCGGAGCCAAGAAAATCAACCTATCATGCCATGTTCAGTCTCGTTCTCGTCAGAGCAGATGTCAGTAGTGTTCCTTGCCTTGGCTAGTTTCGCCTTGAAATCTCCTGGCACGCGTTTCAGAGGAATGCATGTCCAAACAATGAATATGCACAGTGCCGTCAAAGGGGGGGTGAACCAGAACGTCCAGCGCCATGTCACCTTTTGGGAGAAAACGGCACCGAGGAACGGCCCCTGCAAAAAGCGCAGAATTGATCAGAAGTCAGGACGACTGGGGAGCAATTGCCGATAGAAACTGTATAAACATACAGCCGCGCTACCGGCTGCTACAGCCGATGCGATGAAACCCTGCCATTTGGCTCGCTCCCGGAGAGATGTTACGTCCGACATGATGATCATGGCCATGTTATTGATACCGCCACCTCCGATACCTTTGCGAACGGTACATTAGATGATGCACTACAGGTAGTCTATAACCAAGAAACCGACATCACGCACCGGCGATTGCTCGAAAGATATACAGCTGAACCTGCGTTTGGGCAAATCCGCATAAGAGGTCGCCGATGGCAAAAATTGTGAGTGCACCAAGGAGTAGATTCTTGCGGCCAAAGATGTCACTAATAGATCAAGGAATCACCACCTGCTATGTCACCAACTTCCTATACGATGCGTACGTACGATAGCCGTCCGTATATCAGTTGGCACGACGTATTTGCGACCAGATACGACGTCCCAACCCATGCAATGGTCTCTCCGGCATCTTTGTGAACAGCCCGTTGAGCACGATATGCTGGCCGATGAACTCGGTGACGCACGAAGGTCATTCGCAATAGTCGCAGATGCGGTGGCCACGGAGGTGGAATCAAGAAAGGACAGGAACAGTGAAAGTCCCAGGCCACAGAAGATAATCACTAGCTTCGAGGTGCTGCAGACAGATAGAGCACCATGAGCAGAAATGTTGAGAACAGCTGTTCTTCTCCACAGAGCACCATCTGCTCACCTTAACCTGGTCGTTTGGTCCTGCAACGAAATCTCCGACTTTGATTTCTTCGGCCCAGGAACAGGATCGTCGAGAGACGCCTTTTCAGGGTCATGTAAAGGAGAGGGCACCCGAGTAGGGCCGGCCGAGCCAAACACCGAGTCGCCTTCTTCCCGGTCGTGAATAGCATTGCTTGCTGAGATGATTTGGTCGTTAGGATTCGTCATGTGCGTATGAAATGGGCCTAGTGTTGCATATAGCACATAGAGGCAATGTATGACTGGGTATGGAGAAACCCGACAAGTGGTATCCCCGAGATATCATCATTTTTGTGCTCGAGGAAGCTGCAGTAGTCATCCACTCCCGCTTGACTGGCTGATATCGGAAATAGACTACTTGCCGGAGTCTGCCGATTACATTCGGCACGTTTCGGCACCTGGCGAATCTGCCATCCAGATCCTGCCTCCCCATATTCACATACAATTGGGAGGCTTAATCCCTGTACTATTATGAAATCCCCCGGGACTCGATTCGATAACTCATGTGCTTAGAACTTATGGCATCGCTCCCTCTCGTCCAATCCCCGCGATGACCTCTGTAGCGCAGCTCCTTACTCCAAATTTCTTCATCGCATTGTCACGTTCGAGCTGAGGAATCCTGATCCAGGGTGTCTTTTTCAGTGGTTGCCTCATTCTGTGGAGGCACGAGTTGCGACTGGCCCGCATCTTCTGGGACAGCCCACTCCCGATTTTTTTCAGAAAGGGCAGTGTACCCGTATGCGGGATCGGGAAAAGGGCCATAGAATGTGGATCGGTCTGTGAGTGTCGTAAGCTGATGTGACATGAGGAAGGAGACGAATTGTAACAGAAAAGTGGGGAATTTACCGTATCGGCGTAACCGCTGCCCGGTGCGCAGGCGCTCGACGAGATCCGGGTTGGACGTGAAGTATCTACCGAAAGCAACGGCGTCGTGATCGCCCTGGAACCCCATTATAGAAGCGGAAGACGGATCAATAGGTGATCACGTACACGGTCGATACCATCCCAGCAGTTTATCCAGTTGTAGCCTCCCGCTACAATGAGCTTGGTTGGCGGCCGGATAGCAGCACGGAAAGGTTTAAGGGAAGGGATACTGCTTTCATGGGCTGACAAATAGATGTCAGTTTCATGTCTCCTCTTCACGAATGGACGAGTATGATATTTCCGCACTGTTGTCATTGTTATGGACATGACCAACCCCCATATCGTCGGCAGCATGCAATAGAATGTCGATTTTCTCTATTTCGCTCTTCCACTCGTCGAAGCGTGGTTCAATCATATGCCTGGCCAGACAGACAGAGTCAACGTATGCAACAGAGCAGTATGGATACGATGAGCTCACACATATGCAATACCCCGCTTGGATAGCTCGGAACAGAGATATGTCCACTGGACTACACGCTCCTTGCCGTTAACCTCGTTCCATCTCGTTAATGGTGCGGTACTATAAGCGACACGCCACGCACTTCGTTGAATAATCCGAAGGGTGCTAGTCTAACTCCAACCCTTTCTTTTCCAATAGCACCACACAGTTTCGTTACAAGTTCCACAGTAAAGCGGCACCTGCATGATATAATGCCAGTAGCCTCGCGTTTGAGGGCAGAGGATATACCTATTCTGATATGAGCCTCCATACTGATCGCCGCGTTGATTGACGTTAGAGTGGTGAAATTGGTCGGGAAGATAGCTGCGCAAGCCGTTAACGAGTCACCAGCAACGAGATTAATGATGAATGACCCATTTGCGGCGTGAACTTCGACCCCATCAAAGCCCGCCAACAAGGCTCTCAGAGCAGTATTCACATATTCATCGTGCGTCTGCGTGTTTACTCCACTCAGACGGTGACACAACTAATTTCGTCCGAACATACCAATGCTATCTCTTCGGCACTCATAGGGTGGGGCCTCTCGTACGGAACGGACTCGCCGCCCTCTATGAAGTATGGAGCTAAATGGGCATTTCTGCGAGCAAGGAAGCCAGGCCCAGAAAGACGCATGCATTATTCAAGGAATTACAAGGGAAAGCATGCGAGTTACACACCGTACACCATGTTCAGAGCCTGTGATAGCTACTGCCGAGGATGACCATGTATCCAAGCCGGTGACGCGAGAATGGGTCTGGCGACCCTGATGCCACACTACGTTCGCAGAGATTCCCGAGCTCAGTTGCCAACATGAGCTACACTCATGAAGAACGTACGCTGGCAGATGATATAGGCTCCTTGAGCATGCACTGCTTCTGTCACCCTTTTCCATCCGTCGAGCTGCTCGTCGGTCCAAAGGCCGGGAACACCCAGGGCACCGGATGCCCGCAACGATACTGGACTGTAGATCGGGGTCAGATAAGCAAGATCATCGGGTACAGCTATCATAACGTGCATCGCTTCGGATATGAGCAGCCCTCCGGCTGTCGCGCGCTGCGTGTAATGTTCGACGAGAAGTTCATTCGGGAACCACGTTCTTAGATGAGTCGTCGAAGGCGTGGCACGATTGCGGGTCAGGGGTGCCAGCACCACGCTGTTTCACTGTTGTTCATCGCAGAATCGAGCTGCTTGATCTGCATACCGACCGATGCTTGAGATGCAAGCTGCCAACATCCAGGGAGGTGAACATGGAAGTCGAGTACGAAGCCGCGGGTCGCTGCCGACGGCACCGTCCCACGCCTCAACGGAAACGGCTCCCCTGCCAGAACAGGCAATGCTCACGCCCTTGTTGCTTCTGCTACCCAGTCCATGAACGCCAGCGCTGCCGGTCTGCCACAGGCAGCGCCCGCCTCTGCCTCCGCTCCCTCTGTTCCCGGATCCGACGGGACGCCACTCTCTGCGAACCCACAAATGCAGTCACCCACTACTCAGCATACCCACAGTTCTCCAAATCTCGGTATCGGAGGAGCAGGAGCGGCAAGGGGCCAGCCGCTAGGGACGGCACCCCATCTTGCCGTCGGGCCGTATCCTGTCTTGAACAACAAGCGCGGTCCTGTCGCGGTGAGCACGCTTCGCGAGCGAGGAGCATATTGGAGACGTGTTGATTGCCGCTGTCCATATCCAGTGCAAACGGTGCAGGCGCGCAAAGACCAAGTGCCTCCACAACGGGCAGCCTCCCTGTCGTGAGTTGCCATCTTTCCGCCTGATCTGAGCTGCGGTGATAGACCGTTTGTCTAGGGTCTTGCGCAGAATCGGGCCTCGCCGCCGAGTGTGTGTTCCCGCCCAAAGGCACCTCCTTCATCGACCGGGCACCAGCAAAAAAGGCACGACGTGCCACAGACCCTCCGACTTCGACCAGTCCAAACTCGAACTCGAACTCGAACACTTCTTCTTCTGCCAATACCGCTCATACCACTACGCCCCAACTTGACACAGGCGCAGGCAGTCTCGGGGTGCCCATTGCCCCTGGACCTTCGCCTCATGGGCACAGCCACGCAGCAGGCCAATCGCCGATCCACCTGTCCCATCCGCATCTTCCGCATCCACTGTCACAAGTCCACGATGAGGAGACGAAACCAGTAGGGAGCCCAACGGTCGCGAGCCCGGTCGGGCACGGAAGGTACCCGAGCGTGACAAGAAGCGGTAGCGGTGGATCTAATCCGAGAAGTAGGCTGACTCCGAAACCCGGTTCCAGTCCTGCAAGTGCGTCGGAAGAGACGCTACCCCCGCTACCGCTATTGGAGGAAGCGTGCGAAATTTTCTTCGGGCAAGTCAATCAATGCGCGTTCTTGCACAAGCCCTCCTTCCTCGCCCGATTGGGTGATCCCGCCCAGTCCCCGTCCCCTCTTTTGCTGTTGAGCATATGTGCCTTGACTGTGCGATTCTCACCTTCGCTGGCTCAATTTTGTGGAACTACGAAAAAGAGCGCGACGTATTTTCACGACACCGCTCGTGCCCTGCTATTTGAATCCTTAGGTCTGTAGCCCCGTATTCTCAGGATGAAGATACCGACTCGTTTTTTTTTCTGTGTAGGAGATCCTAGTGTAGAGGCATGTCAAGCAGGCTATTTCCTCGGGCTCGCCGACTGGAGTGCGTGCCGCGGGCGGCGATCCTGGATGATTATGGGAATTGCGACTCGCAGTAAGATACTTCCGTATGGCTGCTTAGATCAGGACGCTCATGGCTGCTCCAGTGGCACTACTACTCGGACTCCACCGTGAAGAAACGCACGTCCTTCCGCCGAATCCGACCCCGAACCAGATCGTTCAGGTTGAGACGGCCCGGAGAACGTTCTGGACGCTCTTTGTAAACGAGTTCGTGGCGAACCCTCAAGTTCGCGCTCCTTTCTGACACATGTCCATAGTCGGTCCGTATCCGGCGGTGGCGCATCATGCCGGCCTTCGGGCATTCAAGCCTCTGAGATTTCTACTCGTCTCCCTTGCGATGAAGACAGTTTCGCCTTTGGACAGCCAACCCCTGCGTATTATCTCAAACAGCTTGATGATCCGGCATGGCACCAGGTCAACACTGGCGTCGATCTCGGTGCGTACCTTATCTCATGTTCGCAACTTTAGTTGGTGTGATGATAATCTTGCATTCTAGGCATGATGGCTTATATGGTCCACTCGGCAGAGCTCTGGGGCCGCGCTGCGCGCCGCGTTTGTGCAGGCGCATCGTCCACCTCCCCCTTTGACCCAAATTCTACCTCATGGGATTCTAATCCCGAAGTCGCCCCGTGGAATCCCAACTCGGAATTTGCGCAGATCAAAGCAGCTTTATCGCGTTGGAGATCTCAGCTCCCACCGAGGCAGCAATATAGTAGGAGCAATCTGGCTGTGTATCATCAAAGGAACTCGGGCATGGTGGGCCGCTTATCAGCCCTTTCTTAGATGAAGGTTATGCTGATTATTGCTTCTCGCATGCAGAGTTTGTATGTGTGCTCATGACTGGGGTATACGTCAGACGGCTGATCTTGATGCGCAGCTCGTACAATCATTGCATGAATCAAGCCGCTGAGGTACTCCTCCGGCGACCTTACCTCCCCTTCATTGTCAGATCATTAGCGCCCGAGGGTTCTGGGCTTTCGCTGGAGGGAGTAGGCAGCCCGTGGCCGAATATGCCAGGTCAGGTAAGTGTGCATATTCAGGCCCTTCTGCAAGTGCCCGACCCGTGGCTTAGAACCCAACGCCGGAATTCTGGGCGCAATGCGGCAGAGAGATGTTTGAGGTACGCTAGGTTGTGGTGAATGTTGTTTGTCCCGACTCACAGACGTCATACAAAGGCTGGATTCACAATTATGCAAATCATCCAGGATTTTTGCTCATTGACGCAGTACAACAGTCTCTCGCCGCATCTGGTACTTATTCCCTTCGTAGTTTCTCTGCGTTTGTTACAAAAGGCTGACGCTGCTGCAGGGTTTTAGCACATACTTAGCGGCTGCCACTTTGACGTATGTTTGGCGTTGGCCATGGCGTAAGTTTCAGATCTATACGTGTACCTCTTCCAACTCTGATGGCATGTAGTCTTCCAGGAACGTGCGTACGAGGTTCCCCTCCTCGTTCTCCGCTCAACGGAGATTCTCTCTTCCATGATTCCCACCTGGCCGATGGCCAGGCAGTGGGTGCGACTCCTCCGCCAGCCGATCAAGAAGCGCATCGACGAAGCCGTACAAGATGACATGGTCACCGATCAGCGTGAGGGCGTCTACCGCCAGGCCTCTATCTCGAATCACGCCGACGGTGGAAGCGCAAGCAGCGAAGGCGGAGACGATGACGCAGATGGGGAGCCGGATGGTCCTATGCCAAACGAGCAGGCCCAAGGGCCAATCACCGTCGAACAAAGCCCCGCGACTACTCCCACCCTCACCCATTCAGGTGCGATGAATCCGGCAACCCCAAGAGCGGACATCGATCCTACAGCGTGGAACGTCGCGCCGTCTCTGCACACGCTCGCGCTGGCGGCGCAGCAGCAGCAGCAAGAACGCCATCCCCAACAACCTCAAAGCCGCCATCCGAACATGGGTCCGCATGAGCACCCCGGTATGCACGTGCCGCTCGCAACACCCATTGCATATGGACCCCTCGTGGGGACCGATATGTCGATGTACTCGCTACTAGGCCCGTACTCCGAAATGCCATTCGGACACCCGAGCAATCCAAACTCGTTCGGGGACGTGCTCGCGTTCATGTCAGGTTCGGAGCAATGGGCTGGCTAGCAGTTGAGGCAGGAAGTCGGACACGGTAAATTAATTAGGTGTGATGTCTTGTTATCCGTCAGCGGTTTGCTACGGTTAACACGGTTTTTTATTTCGTGCGGCTTGTTGTACATCATGGTTTGAGTGACTGATACATTTGCATGCATGTAGCTTGTATGCTCCCGAGACCGTTTGGTATATCTTATGCTGCTAAATGGTGTGCCACGTTATTATACACCCACATGCACAACGAGTGGGGCCGTCAAGGATTGATTCTCTTGGGCGCTGACCTTGGTGATAATGCTAGTGTTGTGTTGAATCGAGCAGAAACGGGCTACCAGCACATATGCGGGTTGTGCCTGTCAAGATCACGTTCTCGCCGGTTGACAGTGTGGACTGTGGGATTGGTTACACTGCCACACATCTACTTGATGTGCACGTTGTTGGGTGTCCATCCCCATTCCTCGACCTTTCTCCCAAGTCATAAATTCGGCAAAGCTCTACAAAATTAACAAAATGACATATCTTACTATCTTATTAATTTTGAACTCCATTGGTTCCTGCAAACTACGTGCTCCCTCCTACAGAGCACCGTGAAGTGGCTGTGCTGAATCTGGTGGCTGACTCGCGATGCTCAAACTCCCGCAAAAAGAGTTCTTCTTGCATCAAGTGCCGTACCTTCCACAAAGGTTCTAAAATTGCACAACCTTTCTATAATATTCTTTGGGATGCCACTAGAGAATATGTTGAGGATAGAATTTTATTTTTGGTCCATTTTGGCCCATTTAATCGGTGCTGATGTTAGTTTATACTCCTCCGAGGACAAAGAAAGAAGTTCTATTCTCAACATTCTCTCAAGAATCAAATTTAAGCGGTAGTCTCTCTACCATTCTAGACGTCAGCTGGCATGGTTGACTGCATAACCTGGTCGGACAAGACACTTTGTCCGGTACCCTTCATTGTCATGGCAGTGCTATGCGTGGGAAGTTATGTCGGAGTCGAATTTTTGGCTGGGCGTTGCCCATCCCCATGGACTGACAGACATTCGGTTGATCATCCACGTGCATATAAGCCTGTAGTTTACCTTGGTATCGGGCATCCGCTTGCCCTCGTACATAGTTCAGGGTATAACAAGCGAACTATATCACCTTTGGTCTCGTCAAGCTCCTCCGAATTTTGACAGTGCTGTGAACGAGTCATTATATATTATCCATGCTTAGATATAGGTTCGAAGACTAATCCCTTCGTGAGCACTAGTACGTAATAGGCAAGGATCGGGAGCATCTAGTTCTTCGTCATGATCAGTCGAGGCCCCAATCTCTGCGAGATCGCGCAGGATGTTTGCCGGCACGGCCCGGTTCAGTTCGGATCGGTCGACAGATTCTCCTCACTGCTTAGTACTTAGTGCTGAGCGACATATCGCACCCGACATGATGCATATGTGCATGATCTCTGATTTGTGCTGAGTTTCAGAGCCGCGGCCATCCTTACACAACGACTCGAAAACCGAGCTGGCGATGTTATCCGATATGGATTAGGTACTACAGCGGCGATACGGTCAAGATAGGTTACGACCTCGAGGCTAGGAGCATATTGAACTCTGCAACCCTGTTATAATGAAGCATCCCTGGCATGTCTAGCATTCGACCTCTTCTATACGACGTCGCCTGGTCTGAGCTCGCTCCCCATATCCAACCTTAGTAGTACACAGACCCCAGCCTGGGCGGATCTCACCTTAACCACGGTCACAGGTTCCCTGTAGCCTTCCGACTAGGTCCGGCTCGGTGGCCCGCCGCAATTCTCCTCGGTCTGCCTCACCTTAAAGGCTCGCTGTCCCCAGTCTCTTCACTTTCGATCCTCGGACATCCTTGGCCAATGAGTTACTATAATTCCCGTTATTCCATCCCCAGTTCACCTCCTATGGCATACTACGGGACTCCTCGTTCTTCATACCGGCACAGTCGCCGTTGTCAGTCCTTCACTTGATATTGGTAGATCTACACACTCACTCGATGTGTCTCCGGATACAGATTCTCAGCCCGCTGTCTATTATACTCCACAACCCCAGATGCAATATTTGCCCACAACCGCCGCGGTACAGCCATATTATGTACCTCAGTATCAATTTCCATCCCAGTTTCAGTATCCGTACCAGTCCACCCCTTGGTACTATCCGCATAGACGGTGGAACCGCTATCGGCCAACCGAGCAAGGATGCGGACCCCTCGGATTGTAAGCTCTCCTTCGAACAAAATCCAGTTCTATACTAATGATCCTTTCATCCCTTGCAAGCCTTGGAAGCTGTCTGACACAGATACTATGCTGCCCGTGCATATGGTGCGGGTGTGCTTAAGGAAGCAGCACACACCAAGACCTCGAATCCTCCGCGCATTATGAAACAGCGAAGCATTCACCATGCTGCGGTCCTGATTAGAGTAACCATGGACATGCAGCAACCTCGCCCCGTCAGATGATACGCACATTCCCGCTTTCCCGAGATTACCGTTCACATTCAGTCCCGGCCTCGCGCATCACTGTCGTGTCGACGTTGGATGAAAGAGCATCTGTTCATTTGGCTTGAAATACCGCTACATGGGTTCAGTAAATACGATAAGTACTGTATATGCCGAATTAAGCACCTACAGCAAGACACTGTCGATCAAACAATTCAGCTTCTATGCACGCGAGGCGGGCATCATGATGATTGTGCGTAAGTAAACTGTTAAGTTTCGACTTATAGATTAGTATGCACGGCACGCGGTCTCGTGAAACTCACGCGAGACATCACGCGTTTCCGACGGTCACGCTCTACTTATGCCTTTTTTGGACAAGTGACGCGGGCAAACGAACCAGTGCGTGCCTTTCTGCTGCCACAGTCGCTCCCGTCGCGTCCTTGGTCTTGTCCCCCTCTTGCGTCCTCCCGCCCGAAGACACTGGGTGGTTAAGTGTACTCTCAAAGCCTGCGTTACCTCGTTACTTTAGGCGGTGTCGCTGAAAGGAACGTGGCGTCCACAACGCTCCCGTTCGTCGTGTCCTTTGGTTTTGACCTCGGCCCCAACGCCCCATCACACAGTCATACAACTTGCAACACCGATGGCGGCCACAACCGCTCCTACATTTGGTGGCAAATACACGCTGGAGAGCGAGATTGGCTACGGCGGATGCGGTACGTCTACGCGTCCCCCTTTCTCCACCTCCACCCCCTTCGTCTAGGGTTGTTGTGATGAATACCAACCACCTGTGATGCATGCCTGGCTGACGATGAGATGCCTGCAGGAACCGTGTTCCTTGGCGTCCACACTATAGCAGGCAAGGAGGTAGCAATCAAGGTAGAACCACTCCCACCACCGCCAACGCCCGCTTCACCCGAAGCCGGTCGGTTCAAACGGCTAGGATCTCCCCCCAGGAACGAGAAGGAAAAGGAACGCATTATGTTCCTCTCTCTTCGATCATCCCGGCGTGAGCTGACACGCGGTGATCTCAGCAGGCGAAGGAAAACGTACCGGTCATCCCAGGTGGACCCATGAACTACGAATCAAAGCTTCAGCAGATTGCGAATCTGTCTACCCCACTGAAGCAAGAGAGCAAATGGTATAAGACTTTATGTGGGGCGCCTGGTAAGTTGTTGTTGACCCGCATGCGGTGCTTTCAATGATCCGCTCTGCGTAGGTGTTCCATATATTTTGTACTCCGGTCGTTCTGGGCCCTACAACGTTCTCGTTCTCGACCTGATGGGCCCGTCATTGGAAGATCTGTTCAAGATGTGCAACAAGCATTTCACGCTGAAGACCGTGCTCATGCTTGCAGATCAGCTTGTACGCGATTCCTTGTGTATTCAAACTTTCGTGTTTAACGTCTCAATACCTTGCAGTTGACTCGAATACAAACGCTTCATTCGCGCTCCGTCCTGCATCGCGACATCAAACCGGCGAATTTTGTCATGGGCACCGAGGCGGGAGGCAACACGAGCATAGTGAATGTGATTGACTTCGGCTTAGCCAAGCGTTTCAGGTGATTGGTTTCCTCTTACCATGCTGACAATGCAAAAGACTTACGCCGTTTCAGAGATCCGGTGACTAACGAGCACATCCCCTACGTGCACGATATAGATGCAGATGGCCAAGGACTACACGGTGTTGGCACTAGTCTTTTTGCGTCATTGAACACGCATATGGGCATAGGTATAGATGGATGTTTGCTATAACTCCAAATTGATCCACTGACGCGTCGTACAGAATCCTCCCGCAGGGATGACCTTGAAAGCCTGGCCTATATGCTCATCTATTTTCTACGGGGCTCATTACCTTGGAGGCGGCTGAAAGGGTCAACGGTCAAAGAAACCTGGGACGTGATCAGGGACAAGAAACTCGAAACTGAGGAACTCCTAACAGTCGGCTTGCCACAAGAATTCGATATCTTGTACCGTTATGCTCGAGGTCTGCAGTTCGAGGATATGCCGGACTATGACGGACTAAGGGCCATGTTCCGGTGCGTGCTTTTTATTCATTTATTCAGGGTATAGCCGAGGACTGACCCTTTCGATATGCACAGCTCGCTCGCGCAGTCAAGGGGGATACAGTATGATTGGATTTTTGACTGGACCGTCGGGCCTCCGCCCAACCCCCACGGACATGATCCCTATTCGTCTCCACGCCATGCTCTTGGCCATAGACGTCCTGGTGCTCGGAAGCGACATTGTGAGGCATGCGACGCCCGTGCGTTGGAGGAGAATGCATGTAGTAAAGTCAAGGCGGAGCGCGCTGCGAAGAGACTGGCAGAGGCGCGACGAAAAGCAGAGCGGGATGCGGGCAGCCCAAGCAAACCTTCAATGAGGAGAGCAGAAACGATGCCGGAATTGAGGAAGCGCGTTGCATCGGCAGGAAACATGCAAGCGTGGCAGGAAGGTCAAGATAAGGTAGTCAGGGGACAAGGGCACGGAACAAGGACGGCGAGGGCATCGCTACCTGGCGAAGGAGAACGAGCAGCTGAAGAAGAGTACTGAGGTCGGGTCCCGATGTCGTTCTTTTTGTGGGTTTATCAGGATGGCTTGGTTGTGCAATTCGTTGCTAATCGTTAACGTAGGGCGCGCATCCTTTCCACCTCACAAAAGCCCGTTGACGGCACGAGTCATGCTCGTATTGTCACGGTCCTCAGCACAACCACGCACGAGTACGGGTAGCCTCTGCGTTGACTCGTGCCACTGTCGCCATTCACACTTGCGGCTACCTGTGAGTTGTACTTGATTGACGAGGGTTATCCCCGTCTGCGTCCATCTCATGATCTTGTGATATTATGGGTCTCCCATCCCAATCTGCCCCGTTTTCAGAGCCGAAGACGCACGGACTGCGTCCACAAGCGCGAGACCGAATCATTGTATTTTCTCTCGTTTGTATTGCCGGGCACCATGACTTCATTTATATGTATATGCACCATCGTAATGTCCCATATGTCGTCCTGTTGTCGTGCTGTAAATAGCTATCCAATTGCTTTCTAGGCTCCGCCTTACATATACGTGTCACCGTACAGATTTCATCGGCTACTGCGTACTAGCTGTCTCAAATACGTCTGGGTTGAAGTCGACATGATGAATTTCTTTGACCAACCGCGTCCCGCAGATCCATAACCAGATTACCTGAGCGACGAGCATGCGAGCATGCGAGCTCACTACTATTAAGGTAGTTACCAGTGCGTACAGTGAAAGACGTGACAAGTTTGTACTATAGAGCATCGCACAGGTTTGGAAACCCTCACGCGTGCCATGACATGCATATGACATCACCTGAACATACTAGGACTACTTAACCTGCACACGCCGTCAGAAAAAGTGCAAGTTGCTTCAGACAACATGACCTCGATCCTCACTGCTGCTACTGAAGCCGCTCATTCGGCCGTGGGCGGATTACTTGCGAAGGCCCAGATCCAACCTGGGGGCACAATTCCCATTGCATCTGTTAAAGAGGGCGACGCTGCCAAGGCATTCGAGCTCAGGCTGCAAGGAAAAAACATTATAGTGAGCACAAGCTTCATATCACTCATTACATGATAAGTAGTGGTTACGGATCTCGTATATCGGCGCTTGATGCATGATGTCGGCAAACTGATGAAGTAACGGTCAGGTTGGAGTTCCCGGAGCTTTCACTGGTAAGCTGCTGTCAGAACGTGCCGAATTGGTAGTTATACTTTCCCATATCGTTCCCAGGTACTTGCATTCAACTGTTCGAACAGTTCAAGAGCAAAGGTGTCAATGACGTGTTTGTCGTGGCAGTCAACGATGTCTTCGTCATGAAAGCATGGAAAGCTCAGCTATCAACTTCTGATACTGGTACGTGGCCTGCTGTTGTTGATGAGCTTGACGTTGCAGCGTTGATACTCTTGCCAAAGGTGTTCGGTTCATCGCAGACGATAAGGGCGCCTTTGTGTCTCAACTCGGTTTGATCTTCGACGCATCCCCGCTCCTGGGATCTCCCCGATCTGAGGTGAGTGCCACCGTTCACCGAGCTTTCTTCTGGCAATGCTTAACATCGAGGCGCCAGCGGTTCGTCATCGTTGCCGACGGACATACGGTTGAACTTGTCGCGGTCGAGCCAGACCCCACCAAGATCACTGTGACTGCCGCCGATAAGGTATTGGCCTTGCTCTGAGCAACGTCTGTATCAGGCCTGAAAGGACTGCCAACGTTGTACCACGTGTAACAATATGCTGTGAAATCCTATCGGGGAACAACACGTGTGGGATCATAGACGGTGTTGTGAATATGATGCCGTTTCAACAATTTCCATATCTCTGTCAGGGAGGAGTTGGGGTCCATCGGGTTCTTTCACTCGGAATGTTCAGCAAGCAGTGATTGCTTACGGAGAAACAAGTAACCACGACCGCGTTCCGTTATGGTCCGCTGTACCCTGCCCTCTCCAACGCTGAACCTAGAGCATGAGTGACAACATAGACGTCGTCCCAGAAAGCTGGCCAGTCTTCCGGTTGACCATCACGTCCTAGCACAGACCATGCTCAATATTTCGCCATCGGAACATGATAAGCTGTACTAATCTGCACCTGTTAGATGCTTCTCCGCTCCTTCAACGATGTCGCGAATTGTAAGATCCAAAGTAGGATTTGCACGGCGGGCAGGATCATCTTCGGGCACCCGCTTCACATCTGCAGCAATCGCTTTTATAGTTTGGGCAACAGCAGTCCTCGCTCGGTCCATCGTAGAACCCTTCGGTATAGACGCAGTGTCAAAGCGCTGAAGCTGGTCAGCAACCAGGTTGCTCAGCTTTCCGGTGCGCTCATGACACTCACGAACATATACTCCTCGTCGCCTTGACAGTTGACGATGAAAAACATGATCAACTTCTCGATGTGAGCGTGCGCCCGCTTGAGACGCGCACTTGGAGACAGGTTTTCCGCTTTGCGTGCCAGCTCGTCATACCGCACGGAGTTCTCCAAAGCTTCAAGTACAGCCTCCTTGGGGTCAAGCCGAGGTAAGGAGAAGCCGCGTACTCGTGGTGTCATGGAGCAGATCCGAGGACCATGACCGGCTCTATGGAACTTCGAGTAAGATCCGGCGACATAAGCACTTGCTGACGCTGCCAAGTGACTGGTCATCAGGGATAGGCCAAAGCCGGATCTACCAGCACGTAAAGCGTGCTGAATCATAGCAGGCGTAAACATCTCTTCGTGTATGCGTGCGTCGTAGAACTATTCCAAGAGCGAGGTGGATGGCAGTGCTGACTCAAATCCGCACGTTTGGCTGCTCGGCAACACTCATCACCTGCTGGCTCGGGCTGCACGTTCCACACTCGATGTCAGTCTCTCCCTGGTTGCGTCTGCACAAAGAGATCTTCCTCTTCATTCCAATGCCTCAGAAATAGACGGCTTCTTAACTGTGCGCGACACAAAATACATCACATACAGAGAAGAATCTGTACGGGCATTCGCAACATCGGTGAAGCTTGGCGTGAACATTCCTTTGAGATCTCAACAATCCGTGGCAATTCCAAGTAACTGACGAGCATACGTACAGTACCTAAGGCAGGGATTTGATAGAGCAACATCGGTAAGACTATTTGAGTATGAACATGCAAATCAACGACGCACCGGATTGCCACCGGTGACTGCACTATATAGGCTTAATCTTGAAATGAAGCGATATCAGGGAGAAGATCAGACACTGTATCTCTCAGTTAAACGGATACACTAGACACGATGCAACGCTCACCTTGAGATCTTGCACAAGGTAATAAAAGACCCGAAGACCTTCTGGATCTTCTGAGTCTTGGATGTCCACCAAAGATCCGATTTTGGCAGTCTATGCGCCAGTAATGATCAGCGCATGGCAGCAGACAGCTGAAGCGAAATACCTCGAAGGCAATGTGGTCATTGCCGAGACGAATTTCAAGCTCTTGTTTGCCAACGATGTTTTTCTTGGGCCAGTTGGCGTCATCTTCCCTGTCGAGCCATCAGACGCTCATCATGCATCGATAAGTATAGAATTGGTGCGCACTTGACAATTTCGCTCGATTCCACGATCCGTTTAAGCTCCTTCACCACCAATGGTCCAACCCACACTAGAATCATGTGAGGACTGCGCCAACGCGAGAGGGCAAAGAGTATGGAATGCGCCTTGCGCCTCGAGTATGACAGGTCCAGAGAACACCATTGACACCCCCAAAAAAGGTTGAGACACGTACTCTCTTTCCTGATCAAGCTATCGTTCCGGTAATTGGAGTTGTTCGCGTAACGTAGCCGTCCATGTGAGTATTCAAACTCAAGGAATTCGTGTCCGTGCTTTCCCGAGTGACCCGTGCTGTAGAGTGCGAGATGGATGAAGCTCGCGCCGAACATTCGTAGAATGGTGCTCACTAGTATCTGACGTCGAGCGCCTGCATGAGGCGATACCCCAAGCAGGCGCGCAGCTTTGCCCGACTCACCTGAGGTAAAACGGATCCTGCTCATAGCCTGCCATGTGGTGATGTCTCGTGTTCGCAGCGCACTGAGCCAACGAGAAAAAGCGAAGGACTGCTGGTGGTAGTTGAGAGAGAACCGGCCGCGGCAGTTCCCGGTTTATGCTGCGCGACGATTCGCGCATTCCAGTCTCAGTCCTCTCGCCGCTCACAGCTCAATGGTTATCGCTACGTTGGACAGTGGACTTTACCTGGAAATCTTCAAGCGGTTAGTGGAGTGTGGGGAGTGGGATAGGTGACTCTGCAATATTATGGAGTCCTACGTCGCTGTCGAGCTGATGAGCCCACAGGATCACCTCACAAATGAGAAGTGCCCTGAATGAAAGCGGCTGGGTGGACGAGCTTTTGGACAACGCCAGAGGTGATACTTCAGACGTTCTCCCTGCCTGTCAGAGAACCAATCCTTTCTTCTAGGGCAAGCACGAATCATGGATCCACCACAGTTCAGAGAGCTGATTGATACTGTCCGGGGAAACCTATCGGGTGCATACAATAGCTTTACGTCTATAACCGGTATCGAAACAAGCTGATGAACTGTCAGGATCTTTGCCGGCACACATTCGTGCGGAAATATTACTATCACTACGGGGTTTTCTACAATCACATCTGAGATAAATGCTCAGGGCATCGTTTCAATGGAATTGTAACGGCGAGTATCAGAATAGCCGTAGCATTAGTCAGCCGCTGTTGCGGCATGATGCAATACAAACAATTCGGGCGCACCTGATTGGGCGCCCGAGTACTATATGAGCCGCCGAAGGACCATATGGTCCTTCACTTAGGATATTCCGGTATCTACTTATTTAAGAGCATACAATCCTCACTGTACGGTCGTCTTTCGCAATACTACTGGATCCTGCTCTGTTTTGTGCCCCTCTTGTACAAGACGCGACAAAGTCACGTTGTAGCATAACTTTACATAAGCGTACATACATTACACTTTTTTGAGCACCCGCGAACGTATTGTACCAACTGTACAATCAAATGACGAAGGTGTATACTCTACGAAGTAAAGGTATCACTACTGATGCCCAACAAATAATAAAAGAAGGCTATGAAGCCACTAAGACTCATAAGAATAGGCCAAATGACCCATCTGAAAGTGTGGGAAATGATCCATCAGATCACTCTAGCAATCTATCATGCTCATTTCAATCAGGACCCGAGCACATGGATGGAATCCAAAAAATGACTGAGAACCTCTGGATTAGAGGAGGAAGACATCCCCTTAGAATAGAGGACATATCAACTATTCTAAGACATACTACAGATAAGGAAGGAGATGAATATCTCCTAATGCTACTACTGAAGTGGCGCATGAAGGATGGCCGAATTGATGACCTCGGACTGACGGAATGGTTCAATAGTGGACCAAAGGACGAGAAGGACAAGGAGGCTGGTAACCACAAGGCCAACGAGAATAGATCGACCGGAACGGCGGCGCCTGCAGCACACCGAGAGTTCATCATTCCGCCGGGTGATGGCAACGAAGGCGATACAGAAGATGATCTGTATGCATCACCGGACCCTGTTGATGGGATCCGAAGGAATGGTACACCACAACTGATGGGGACAGCCTCACAGCCACGTGCCCTGATACTGCACACACGAGCCGTAAATGCGCCACCCACCAAAAACTGCCAAACGAGCAATATTCTATCGAATAGGAGCTCTGGGAGTAACCCCAGTAGCAGTAATAGGAGCTCCCGGAATAGTGGAGGAACCCGCTTACCAGACCAGCAAGGAAACACTCCTTGGAGTGCCCCAGGAAGCGGGGGAAATTCTGGATCAGACCCGGATGACGACAGTGATGGCAATCCTGAGAACAATTCGCGGACGCCGACACCCAGACTGCCAAGAAATGATGAACGTCCCACCAGAGAAGGGTCGTATATACCGTTCAGTAATGAATTTACTGGACGTAGCTTACGAAGTATATATCATAGAAAAATAAGACATATGATAGAATTGTATGTAGGAACATACAGGGAACCGGATCCAAATACAAAAAATCAGAAACCACCAAGCCCAGACCGATGGGATGCCCAGAATGATGTAGACAAATTCATGGATTGGCTCGAATCACTTCTTGAATATTTCGTACTTACCGGTCTGTCTGGACCAAATCGAGATCTCAATCGCAAGCTGCACACGCCGGCCCGATTGGGCCAGAAGGCGCACCATTGGTGGCGCCTGAAAGTGTCCAGAACAAATCCCGGAATGCCAGTTTTAACATTCACTGAAGCGATAATCGATATGTTTGACCGATTTGTGACTGATATTACACCTGAGAAGGCTATACAGAAATATAAAGAAATTCAATTTGATCCCGAAGCGAGAGTACAGAGTTTCTACGACGAATTGATAGAGGCATCGTCAAGGTTATTACAACCCCCATCAGAAGTTGACATGTCTGAACATTTCCTTATGAAACTACCTACGCTGTACATGACACATCTGATGCGCAACAAGAACGTACGAATCAGCATTACTAAATTGAGAGACATGCTTAGGTATGCAATTGCATACGAGAATTCTAACATTGCTATAGATGTGGCATTAACACTGAAACGCAGCCACAAGGGCCACAGCACATGGGAAAAATCACTGGAGCGGAAGCAAAATAGCCGAGATTGCGATCGGAACCCAAGGGACCGACGCGGATACCACGATTCACACCACTCTCAGAAAAATAACAATAATGATCCATCCTATCGTATTACGCGCAACCCTCGTAATACAGATTCAATCCCTGTAAAGTTAGCAGATACAGGGAACAATAATTATGGAAATAATAAAGGAGAGGGACGGGACAACCACCCTGGTGCTCAGAACACAAATTACATAGCAAAACCCTGCTTCAATCCAAAAAAGTGCATCTTGCGTGCTGGACTTGTGGCGAGAAGGGACACCTGGCGGCGGATCACTACCCACCCAACGCCACCCTGAATGCGATTGAAGCCGGAGATGAACGGCAAGGGGCCGAAAACAAAGAAGACCTGGACAACGCCGAAAGTGAGTCCGAGGTGAAGACTGACAAGGGAAACAATGAAATTTATTATCTTGAGTCGTATGAGGCTCACTCTGGAGAGCAATACAGTGATGAATATTCCTCAGATGGAGGGGAAGTAGTATACATGAATGAGTTATTAGTTGACGAGGAGGAGCTGGAACACGACCCAGCACCTCCAGCATATGCACAACCAATCCAAAAAGGGAAACACCCTAATCCTCCAGTGGAGGTATACAATGCTATCCGATCATCGCTACACCATGACAGTAGTCAGAACCAACCGAAGTATCCAAAGGAATGGACGGAGCTTCTCGCCGCTTATGTTACCATAAACTGTGTACATGCCTGGACCCTGTTCGATCTTAGGTCGAATACGGATGCAGTAAGCATGGAGTTTGCACAAGTCTGCACATTAGATGTATTTGAATTAGAACAGCCAATTGTATTGAAACTGGGATGCAAAGGCAGCCGCTTGAAAATCACACATGGCGGATACTGCAGAACTAAATTAGGAAGTATCAAAGCTAACTGGTACTTCGATGTTGCTAACATTGCACACTATGATGCATTAGTGGGATTACTATGTTGTGCCAAACATGGTATTACGGTGATCCCTGACTGACGGACAATCAAGTTAGCCGACGGCACCATAATCCCTGCGGAACTGGAAGGGGGGAAAAGCCGAGGCGGGGACAAGTGGGCAAAAATAGCGGACACCAAGCCCTGTGCTTCCTTTCGGAAGCAATCCTAAGAGGAATAGCCTCCACCCGCGACCCAATATAGCGGTCCGCTCACATGGCAGGGATAATCAAATGCCTGACATTACTGAATGAAATGTACCTACAGTAGTAACGATGGCCAGTGCAATCGCCAGAGAAGAGATCAAGGACATCAAATTTCCGCAGGAATTCGAGTCTGCATACAAACAATACAGACGAGAAGAAGAATGGCGAGCAAAAACACCCTGGGGGAAGCCGATCCTGTTCCCAGGACCGCCAAGCAACAAAGCGGCACCACCATCAACCGCCCAAGGAGCATTAACCCAAGAAGATGTCCCAAGATTGCGGCAGCAATGGACGGAACACATTGCCAACATCACTGGTGATATACCTCTCGAGCGACCTCTGTTTTGAGAAGTAAATCATAGAATAAATATTATTGACCCCAGTAAGAGGTACAGAGGACATAGGCCTCGATGTCCTGAGGCATACCAAAGGCTATTACAAGATAAGCTTGAAAAATATGCTAAAGCTGGCTGGTGGGAGTGGAAACTGGTGGATAATGCATTGCCTATGCTGTGCATACCTAAGAAGGAAGGGAAACTGCGTACCGTCTTTGACCTACGCGAGCAGAACGAGAATACGGTGCATGACATAACGCCGATGCCTGATCAAGATCACATCAGGAACAATGTAGCCCATGCTCGATACCGAACTAAGCTCGATATGAGTGATGCATACGAGCAAGTCCGTATAGAGAAAGGGGATGTACCAAAAACGGCATTCTCTACCATATTGGGAACTATGGTTTCCCACATTATGCAACAAGGAGACCGCAATGCACCCTCCACATTTCAAAGGCTAATGACGCATAGTTTCCGCGATCATATCGGAAAATTCATACATGTATATCTTGACGATATATTCATTTTCTCAGATACTATAGAAGAACATGAGAAATACTTAGCAATAGTATTTGATACGCTAAGAAGAGAGCATCTATATCTATCTAAGAAGAAGGTAGACCTTTACTCAGAAAAAATGGAATGCCTCGGGCATATCATCCACTGGGTCTGTGACTGAATTTTTAGACCAAAAAACTGATGTAAAAATCTTATATTTTATACAGAGGAAATCTTAAACCAAATTAATGTTTTTACAGCTAAAAGTTTTAAACAAAAATCTTATAAGTTTATCACAATTTCTACATCATTTATATTTGCATTTTTGGCTCTAAAAGGATTTCTTAGGTAGAAATTTTGAAACTCATGTGCAGAAAGTTCTTATATTCAACTAGTGCGGCTCATTTACTTATGAAAATTTCAGAACATAGATCAATAGTTTTTCAATATAGTTGCTTGCTTGACAAACTGGTTCAAGATTTTTATGGCAGGAAATCTTTTACAAAAATCTTAAAAGAGACACAGGATTTTTTCAACATTTAGATCATACTTTTGTGAGGTAAAATTTCATATGCCGGTTTACAATCTTTACAGAATCTTTTGGGCTAAAAATGTTATAAAGTTTTTAAAGTTTTATAAGATTTTTTCATCACTTTTATAATTAAAAATCCGATCACAGACCCAGTGATCGACAATCAAGGAATTCACACCGAAAATGACAAATTAGAACAGATCCGCAAATGGCGGACGCCAAGAAATTACCAAGAAGTAGCACACTTCCTCGCTCTAGTACAGTACCTGGCACAATTCATGCCAAATGTGGCAACTTATATGACACCTTTATTGAATATCTGTAGCGACGGTGCCCCGTTTCATTGGAGACCGATGCATCAGAAATGTTTTGATATAATCAAGATGCTCGCCTGCCGTGCACTGATACTGAAGCCTGTAGACTTCAATCATCCCGATCCGATCTGGGTAGTATGCAATGCTTTGAAAACCGGTGTCAGGAACTATTACGGCCAGGGCCCAGACTGGAGGACCTGCCGCCCCGCGGGATTCATGTCAAAGAAATTCACAAATGCGCAGCAAGGCTACGCCACATATGAGCATGAGATGCTGGCTATACTAGAAGCCCTTCTAAAATGGAAGACAAATTACTAGGTAGAAAAATTAATATTGTAACCGATCATGAAACCCTTGAGTTTTTCAAAACTCAAAAAGAAATGTCGTACCGACAAAGGCAATGGTCCGAATACCTCAGTCGCTTCGACTACACTCTAACGTATATACAAGGAGAAATTAATGTAGTGGCCGATGCGCTATCGCGATGCTACAAAGCGGATCGACCGCACAAAAAACCAGCGTCGTACAACTTTGTCGATGCTGATCGGCGGCTAGATCCCACCAGAGATGACCTTCCCACCCTGAGAAATGAGGAGATTGCCCACGTCAACGTGATGCGACTCCCAGAAGCAATCGTGAGCCAAGACCTCGAGGCCAAGATGCTGGCACTGGAAGGTAAGCCAAATTTAGAGCGACCACAGCCTAATGCCGATGATCCGACCATGTACAAATCTATGGCAACAGAGCCACTGACTCCATGAATCATGAATGACCACACAGAATTTATACAAGCTGTAAAGCTACAATATGCTACGGATACATTGTTTAGTAAAGTCATAGAACGACCGTCTGAGCACAAAGCGTTTGAAATAAAAGACGGCCTCATATTCGGAAAGAACTGAGCTGCCCAGGAAGTACTTTGCATCCCAAGCGGCTGGCTTGGCGTGAGAAGCCTCTGAGAACTTGTGATTGACACTGTGCATCGCACACTGGGCCACTTCGGGTTCCAGAAAACTCTAGATTACGTGAGAAGGTTCTATTGGTGGCCTCGTATGATGCAAGACATCGAGAAATTCTGCAGCACATGCCACATGTGTCAAACGATGAAGGACCTCAACTGAAAGCCCAAAGGACTGCTACACAGCCTCCCGGTGCCTAGGCACCCTTGGGGCTCAATTGCGATGGACTTCTTAGGGCCCTTCCCAAAGTCGAGAAACTTTGATTACCTCTGGGTCATGATATGCCACCTGACCGGTATGGTACACCTAATCCCCTGTACCACCAAATCTCGTGCATCAGAATTAGTGTAGAGTACATGTTCGTATGTAATATAGTGAGATTACATGGATTAACCAATACTATTGTATCAGACAGATACTCTAAATTTAACTCTAAGTTTTGGTGCAAAATGCACCGCATATTAGGAACAAAATTACTAATGTCCACCGTGTTCCATCTCCAGACCGATGGCGTCACAGAACGAGCCAACCGATTGGTGGCACAGATCATGCATACCTTGATCAGACCTGATCAGACTAATTGGGTTGATGCACTGCCACTGACTGAATTCGCAATGAATGCTGCAAAATCAGAAACCACTGGTTTCTCAGCATTCGAACTAAATTACGGATACATACCAAAGATGTTAACTAATTTTAGCGTTGAGAATACTTCACTGGGTGTCCTGGACTTCGCGCTGCAAGCAAAACATTGTCTGGAAGCAGCACATGACACCATCATCGCAGCACGTGTAAAACAAGCTCACCATGCGGATCAGCGGCGATGCAATCACAAAGTTTATCAGCCAGGTGATCTAGTATACATCAGTATGGCAAACCTTAATTTGCCAATCAAACGCGCACAAAAGCTGGTGCCTCAGTTTATCGGCCCGTTCCAGATCCTCGAGGCAAACAATGATGCAAGCGTGTACCTAATCGATCTTCCCGCTGATCTCAAAGTGCGTTGTGTGCACCCACGATTTCATATTTCCAAGCTTCGGCTGCACATGCCAAACAACGACAATTTATTCCCAGGACGGGAGCCTGCTAACTTCTATGACTTCGGGCAAGCAGAAGACCTCGAATCTGAGGTCGAGGAAATACTGACACACGAATGGAATGGTGACGAAGTATTATTCCTTGTACGTTGGTCCTTTGGCGACAGCTCCTGGGAACTGTGGGAAAATGTCAAGAACCTTGCGCTGATGGACAGATACTTCAAAATTGAAGGTGTCTCCCACGTGGAAGACTTGCCGAGAACTCGGCCGCCAGTCCGAGGGCTCCCTGCACCTGAAGGAGCGATAGTCACTCCGTACAGCAAAAGGCCAGTTGGACGTGAAGGAAAAATATTTTGGATGATTGGGCCTTCAGATATAAAAGTGTGCTACCATGCACCAAAAGCTGCATAACGAAAGACATTGCAGCTCATACTACACACGCGAATACCCTACGACGACTATGCCTCTCGCAAAGCCTTACGCGATTGGCCCTAACCGTGGCTTGCCTTACCCAATGCCCATGGTAAACTTACCCAATATGTCGCGCCAACTGGAGCAACTTACCCAGCGCGTTGAAGCGCTTGAAGCTGCCCTTGGCTTCCAGAACACCGAACCCGCACCCGGCGTCCAGTGGGTCCCTGATGCTGATGGGAACCTAGCCACTCTGCCGGCTCCCTTAGGCCCTACCTCTTCTGGGGGAGGGGAGGACTTAGGAATAGAAATAGCGAACGAACACGATGTTGCACGTCCATGGGCACATGTCGGAGATCCACGCTGTCACCTCACTCGTGAGGAAATTGGCAAGATCATGAAAGGGTGTATCGTGCCGCCGACCGGAACCATATTCTACGATCAGCTGACCGAGAGTGCAAAATGCAAATACACGTGGTTCCACGTGTTCCTCGCCAAGCATTATGTAAGCCTGATCAAAGGGCTAGGCATGCACACCACAAAGAACCAGAAGGCTTTTGCCAACGGTTGGAAGGACCCCGATTGGTTCCAGCAGGCTGTCTTCATTGACAAAAGGAAGCGTGCTCAGCTGCGTGAGAAGTCTGAGAAGGCCAAACGGCCGACTGACCCACCACTCTCCAACGCAGACACCTGGGCCCAGTTCCTAAGGCAGAACGCATATCGACACCCACATGGGATCAAATTCGAAGGGGATACCCCAAACGAACTGCAGTTGCGCAGATGGCTCATCCTGTGCCAAATTGGCCCTGCCTGACCGAATACAAAGGAGGAGGCGCGCTGAACCCATAATATGGTCACACGAGAGGTATGCCGGTACTTTGCCGAGCATGCCGCTGATTATTGCAGCACTGTGATCTCCCTTGGATCGACGATCCAAGAGATGTGGGGCCCATCCCATTATCCCCACGCAGTGGAGAACTTTGAAATTAACGATTTTCTCAAGCACACTGCCTCCTGCAGACTTCAGCACGAAATGGCCAAAGGCCCACTCCACGCATTCGCCATGCAATGGCTTGCAGACAATGCTAGCACCTAAACGCCGGAAAGCCCTGTCCATCGACATGCTCCCGTAAGCCGCACTGTCTCTCGACTAGGCGACACTAATTAATTATTATAGTCAAGCCTCTTTTCCTGGAGGGGGAAGGGTGTAACGGCGAGTATTAGAATAGCCGTAGTATTAGTCAGCTGCTGTTGCAGCATGATGCAATACAAACAATTCGGGCGCACCTGATTGGGTGCCCGAGTACTATCTGATATGAGCCGCCGAAGGACCATATGGTCCTTCACTTAAGATATTCCGGTATCTACTTATTTAAGAGCATACGATCCTCACTGTACGGTCGTCTTTTGCAATACTACTGGATCCTGCTCTGTTTCGTGCCCCTCTTGTACAAGACGCGACCAAGTCATGTCGTAGCATAGCTTTACATAAGTGTACATATATTACAGGAATGTCTCAGTCAGGGTTCTACATGGATGCATCCAGCTGGATCTGGATGGAATCCACCAGATATTTGGAACTCTGCCATCCAAGGGATAGACATCGGCAGAACTTTGCTACCCGTATATATGGCAGGTGGCGGTGCACTCTAGTAGTGTTGCTGCCAAGTTGAGTTGGAATTGATTTTAATTCAACTCAGCTTGTAAATCAACTTGGCTTGTGGGTTTCAAGTTCGAATTGCATGAACTTGTGAGTTGGTCGGGTTACTTCATCTGGTAAAACTCCATGGCTATGGAAGCTATGGAGTGCTATGGTAGCACTATGGTAGTACTCTATAGTATATAGTGTGCCATAGCAATGTAGAATTCTCCTGAGTGAACCCTCTGTATCTAACCATCAACCCATAACCCTCAAAAAGCCCTAAAAATGATTCCTGTGATTTACTTGCCTGATCTGATAGTAATAACCCTTGAGGATGTAGAGCAGTCTAACCCTTGCATTCCTATGTCCCCTAACTCTCATACTCAGATAGAAATCCTTGATTGTCGAGGAGCATGGACTGGTAGAGATGCCTGGCACAAAGATATACATGCTCGCAAGTAAACATTGACATGGTTTGGGTGATGAAGTGGTATGATGTGCATATACATTACCTCTGTTCCATCAGGTGTTGCAATTGATTCTAAGTGTAGCAGCTTTTTCTATCAGCTTTTACTCAGTGGACCACGTGTTTGTATATTTCCAGAAGGCTTCTCAGACTCCTCCTGGGCAACTCTGAGTTTTCTATGAGTAGATATGGGGCCGTGTGCAGAAAGTCGGTTGACAGAACTCACCGTGCTCCTCAGAGTCTTGTGACTATGGGAACACATATCTATATCAGGAAGGTTGGGGTGGGTGGGTGTCCCAGCACCCTTAACAAAACTTTGATACTGGATCTCAAAAACTTTGTTAATGTCTATCCCTTGCTGCCATCTATGTAGATGCTCACCCGTGCAGTTGACACATATATGGATATGCTGTGAGTCACACCATATTGTGCCGCAGTTTGTTGTGCAATATACAGACATGCAGGGAGGTTTCTACATTCTAAGAGGTGCACCATGTTCATATCTGAGATGATACATATTGCATAATCCAGAGCAAACCATGGTGCATCGGCCCTGTCAGGGTATGCACTAGACCTCCTAGGAGCAGCGGGGATCCCTTGGGATGGCAGCAGAGACACTGTCACACAAGGTAGGGAAGCAACCGAGTATATATACAAAGGTACAAAGGAGATACACATACCTGTTGCACAAGGCAGGGAAGCAACTGAGAGAACAAGTCTAAGTTGCTCCCTGGTGCGACAGGTGACTATATAGTAGCTGAATAATCCATCAGCAAAACGAGGGATGGTCCAATGAGGGAGAGAGGGAGGCTCCTCGGGTGCCCGGCATGTGACCAGTGGAACGGCCTAGGAAGGCCGCGAGACGCGTGGAGGCCCTAGAGCACTGAGCAGCAGAGCAAACAGGGGAAATGCCAAAAGGAGCGCATGGGAAGCCTAGGAAGGCATGGGAGAGCATAGCCAAAAGGAGAAGCAGAAGCATTAAGAGGAATGAGCAAATGGGGAAAGAAGCGGAACCAAAAGGGAAACAATGGGGACATGAGGTGAGTGTGGGAGGCATGCCCTGACAGGCCCAGGAGCCAAGAGATATTTGCACACAAAAAGACTGAGAGGACATGCAATGCTGATTCCAGCTCAGCTGGTTACAATCCTCAGAGAAAGCATGGTCTATGTTGACCGTGGTTGCTCAGATAGCCAATGTTTGTAGTCCAGCAGTTATTGATTCCACAAAGATCATAGCTATACCTGGTGCAGAACAAAAAATGAGAGTCATCGTAGAAAGATGAGGTGTCTGTTGGAGATAGACAGGAGACGGGCATGCAAATGGACATTGATTGGCTGTGTCATGCTGTCGTCCAATGGATGGGTGTGAGTAGAGATGGATTGGGATAGTTAGTAAGTTTGGTTGAGTCAACTTGTTCCCAATTAAATCTGTCTTAAGGTCCCAGGCTATCTAGTAAGTCCAAGATTACTTGATAAGTTTGGCCGCTAGTTGATCTGACTTGAATGCGACAAGCAATCAAGCTTATCGGTGCCTTCAATGTAAGTGTGAGAGTGTTTTGAGGGTGTGGGAAGGTTGGGTTCTGAATACTAGCTCCTGCTAGTAGTACACATGAGGTCTTGAGGTGTTGAGAGAGAATAAGTAAGTAAAAGTGAGAAAGTGCAGAGACTGAGAGAGTTGGAAACCAACTACAGCTGTCCATGGCTGTGTGCTGAGTCAAAATACTAAAACCAGGTACCCTTAACCTGATTGGAGTGTCTGAGAGAAACCTGAGAGAGCTTACGAGCACTGTTAGACTGTGTGTGTATATGGGAAACTTGTTCGTTATTTCTTAGGCTAAAGGGGCTACATTTTATACTTTTCCAGAAGTTGGCCTGCTCCTAGTCACTGTGACGAGCGATGTGCGGGGGAACGCCCGTTGGGGTTACCAACTACTTAGACAGCCGGAATGTCCAAGCAACTGAGTAGAGTTGGAGGGAAGAGCAGCATTGTTGGCACTTACTATAGGCAAGAGTACACGCGAAGAAAGAAGAGCTGGGCTCGACTCAAGGTTACTGGACACGAGGTCGACAGCAATGCAATAGGCACCTAATGGACTCAAGGTCACATGCTAAGTCCCCAAGACACAAGTTAGCATAGTATCCAGTACAGAGACGGTTACTCACCTAAGTCCCCAAGACACAAGAGGTCGAGATGGGGACTTAGGGCGAGCTATAGGGGTCTTATATACACAAATCCATGGTCCAAGAATAGTACAAGAGAATCACATGCAGGGCACAAGGATGAGTAAGACTGACCCACTTAGGTGGGTCAGGATTATGAATCAAAGAAGAATGAGTCATAGTTCATAAGTAAGCAGAGTAAACCTCCAGTGGCTGTGCAGGGCAGTGCAGGGCGGTGCCAATGATGCTGTACTGCTGCCACTGAAGGTCATATGACTTTGGAAAAGGAAAGGTGGGAAAAGGAAAATGATAAGTCGATATTTGGAAATGAAAAAATGCAAATATAAATTGTCCTTCTCTTCTCATCACAGTCATGGCTCCCTGTTGAGTCATTTTCTGACTGATTAGACTCATGTGCTGACTTGTCAAAGTTGAGTTCTGACTCATTAGAATTGTGCACTGACTCATCGGGCTGACTAAGTTTGTGACGACTTGCTATGCTTGAGTCATGAGTAGTAAGCAGGGTGTGATCTGGATACATGATTATAAGTATGCTTACTGAGCTAATTCTGTTTTACTTATCTTACAAATCGGGCAGTTCCACACCTAAACACTTTAGGGTGAGGCATCATGGGTGGTGCTTTGAAACAACTGTCCTTGATTGTCAGATTCTACATATATCACTGATTGCTGGTCTATGGATTGTGTTTACAGACTTCCCATCTCACTGGTGAGTCCAGATTCTAAAGAGTCTCGTCATGCAAGTCCTATTATGCATTAAGGACATCGTCATACAACTGATATGCTAAATTAAGTAAGTCCATGTTGTGTATCATGCATTTACGTTCACAGCAAACCTTCTCTTTCTTGAGGCCCATCCCAGTCATTGAACATGTCTTATCACTGGGTCTGTGACTGGATTTTTAGTTATAAAAGTGATGAAAAAATCTTATAAAACTTTACAAACTTTATAACATTTTTAGCCCAAAAGATTCTGCAAAGATTGTAAACTGGCATATGAAATTTTACCTCACAAAAGTATGATCTAAATGTTGATAAAATCCTGTGTCTCTTTCAAGATTTTTATAAAAGATTTCCTGCCATAAAAGTCTTGAACCAGTTTGTCAACCAAGCAACTATATTGAAAAACTATTGATCTATGTTCTGAAATTTTCATAAGTAAATGAGCCGCACTAGTTGAATATAAGAACTTTCTGCACATGAGTTTCAAAATTTCTACCTAAGAATCATAAATAAATATACAAATAAACAACTTATAGAAACATGGTTTTATCCTTTTAGAGTCAAAAATGCGAATATAAATGATGTAGAAATCATGATAAACTTATAAGATTTTTGTTTAAAACTTTTAGCCGTAAAAATGGACTAAAAATCATTAATTTGGTTTAAAATTTACTCTGTATAAAATCAGGAAAAGATTTAAACAGTTTATAAGATTTTTACATCATTTTTTTGGTCTAAAAATGCAGTCACAGACCCAGTGTATATATCCGATCAATATAAGCCAACCCAGATTCAATGTTTG